CGGAAGCTATAAAACACCTTCTGGGGTTTGTTGTTTTGTGGGGGCTCGAGGTTCATCCCATCCATCGCCCGGGTCATCTCCAGTACACGTCTAGATCTCCACCTAATTAATGTAGTGGTAGATGCATCATCCCATCGTTTCTTTCCGTTCCATGTTTCATATTCCCCTCATGCACATGGGTTAACTTAGTTAAAGGAAGATCGGCGGGGAAAGGCACGTTTTACTGTAGGATACGATGGCGCTACCTGCCCCACTTTTCTTCTGATTTATTAGCCTGTTGTGAATGTGCGGTGTAGGCTTAATTAAGCTTTATACTTTATATGCATGTGATGAGGGAAGCTGCAGTGACTATAATTGTAGGTTATACCTAGGAGCTCCGTGCTCTAAACGTTAACAGGCCAGACCTTCTTCATACACTAATTGATACAGCTTTCTAGTGTTTGAACTGTTAGTATATATGTAGCTGAGCACAGCTGCGTTCTGTCCTTGTAGAGATAATGTTCGCGGAATTTTATTTTGGTATCATAATACATAATTCTATTAACCAGGAATTCGAACTAACAAACAAGTTCAGGAAAAATAGGCATTTCACTACATGCACATATTCAAAATTGGGCGTAGAACCATGATTCGCTGGTTGGACGGCACAATTGCACTGACAGCAGAACATTGCATTATATTACCCCGAGGCTTAGGGGCTCGAGAGTTTGCGATTAGAAGGATTAAGGAATAATTTGTATTACATAATCTAAAGACGCGTACGCGGTAAATGGTGTCGATGGCCACGATTAAAAGTCATTGCAGATCTAGAGGGATTTAATGAGAATCACATCAAGAACAGTAGTATGTTATACATATGCATAGATCATACACATAAGTACTAGTATTAATCAACATAGAAGTTATAAATCATAGGCTAAATTCAATTTCACAACCTCTTGTCTATCCTTCTTCTCTTTTTGAGGGTTCTACTTGATGACAGTTAGTTTTTGATCATGGTTGCATTGACCATTGTATCAGAGGACGCCACCCTACTCTCTGGAGTTTTAGTGTACGTTTCTTGACACCGTAGCTCTGCTGAGAAAGCTAAACCGAGCTGTTTTGGGTACCAGTTATAAGCAGTATTGGCTTGACAATAATTATATGTACATGTATAATCAAAGGAGATTTATAAGTTCACAAGGTAACAATTCCCAACAACGAGGGAGGAGGGAAGGGCAGATTCTGGCCAAGCATCAGAAGGAAGGGAGTTGCCGGAGATTTCAAATTGATTGAATGAGCTCTATCCTTTGAGGTGATAAAGAATTGCGGGAAGGACAAAAATGAGTAAAGCAATTGACGAGTGCCATTCCGGCCAACCAATACATGCCACCCCAACCCAAACAACTGATGTATAAAGGACAGATGATAATGAGCAATTTACTCTTCAACTCGCACCTGCCGTCTTAGGGCCAGAAATCTGGCCAGGTCGGCCGAAGGGGTCCCGGTGGATTTTTGCACGGAACGGGCGAGGATGAATACCCGGGAAGACAATTATCTCCGAGTTCTAGATCTTTTTATGGCATTTTGGCTTTTATATAAGACGCTATCAATGTTAAAAGAGCCTTTCTATAACGGACCATTACGTTGGCCATATATATATTGTATCCATTTCGCGTTTGAGCCCTCCTTCACAGGTTGTCACTCGCTTCTTCCGTTGTCAATCACTTATCTTGTTGAATGAATATTCTCAAGGAATGATGAACCGGAGGCCTCTTGGGGCCTTAGCCGGACATGTAGATTACTTTCCATCGGTTTTGAAGAGTGGGGAAGATACATATATCTCAAAGTCTCGCCCAGGCCTCCTTTTGATATATCTATTACCGGAGCTCTACGCGACACCACGCCATCATTATATCTAAAACAAGCCAGATATATTCCACTCGGATTTCGGCAAGTGGTAGAATACAACGGAATAAATGATATCAAGAGCTGTTACTAGAGCTCGATAGTTTAATCTATCAAATGTGCGAGTAGTTATGTGTATCGATCATTTCCAAATAAAAGTTCAAGGACCCAAAAGGGGGAATATATTAGATGCATGCATACATACTTTATACAGATCTTGCGTAACATGCAAGGACAGCAATTTAGCCGGGATAGCTTCTCCACGTAAACCTGAAACATGGGGAAGACAGATAGAGTGTGAAAGCGTGCTTGAGAAGAGCATGCAAAGATATCACTCACACCTGCATGTAAAGGTGTATACATGCATGTAAATTTACATACGCGACTCGCAAGACAATCGAGTCGTCAATTGAGCTAACCAACCACAGGAATTCAACTAGATATATTTTGGGCCACAGATTGCCTACATGCAGTAATATATCCAGTCGATCAACGCCTTTTTATCTAAAATACAGAAGGGCATCCGACCCCGGGGGACGGGGGAATATCTGTCCCTCTTTATACATATATTGGCTGTACGTGTGGCTCTTAGTCATTGAATATCACTCGTTTAATTGTTACTAAAACGTACACATTCTCCTGAACCCTTCTATTGGGAATTCTAGGTACATGTATAAATATACACACTGTATAACAGCTCGTTTTGGCATGGCTATCCTGGTTGATCGATAATATAATGCGACGTACTAGATATCGAAAAGGGGCTTCCCAGTAGTAAGCGAAGGCGGATTTGACTTCAGCACTTCTTCTTTTTTTTTTTTTTTTTACCATCGATCCGATTAAGAGTATATTACCATCGCCCAGCTGTGTCAGTCTCTATGAGGTCCCAGGGCTAATATAATTGGTTGTAGGTCGATAAACACGGGATAATTCCTAATGTATTAACACCCTTACTGTGTATGTCGCTGCTTCAGGACTTTTATACCAACATGCCGGCATCGTTAGTATCTATATACTAATATATAACTCAAAGTTATATAACTACATTTACATGTTCGTATGTATTTGTAGTTCGGGCTTGTGATTTGACGAGCTCGTAGGGATAAATATATCGATATGAAGTAAATATTGTCAGCAGAGGATAGGTCTTTTGTAATCTCATGTGGCGTTGTGTTGCCCATTCCCACACACATATACATACTTGTATACATACATTCAAAACAGTGGGCGTGGAGGTTACCAAAGGGTATTGACTTCAAGTACATGTATTGAAAATTTATCAACAGCCAAGAAGATCCTTCACGACCCAAAGACATGCACGAAACAAACGTGGGCTCCATGTCAATAAGACTTAGCATGCAATATCGTCTAACCTTACCGGTATAACAGTGACAGAATGTGTCAGTAACTGGGTTCTCGGGTGCTGTGCATATTCTACCCCAGGGACGCACCTTATTTCAACCACCACGATCCCACAAATTCGAGTATGGCGCTAAGTCTAAGAAGAAGAAATTGGATTTATAAAGCTGTATGCAGAGGGAGTGGATCGAGAGATCCAATCACGCAGTACTGTGTGCAACCTACTAAGCCTTTTTTTTGGAGATTGTACTCGCTCTCCAAGTATTTATCACGCCCAATCACGGTCACGGTCGCGGAAACTCGTGCATCATGCATATATTGCAACCTTCATAAAATAAGGATTTGCATACTGCATGCAAACAATAACGCTACATAAGATAATCCAGGGTGACGCCTTCAGGTGAGCATAGCGGATGATTCATTGGCAACCATTGGAAGTTTAGCCATCTCCATGAGCACCTACTCGAGCGTTAAATCCAGTATTTATGTAGTACAAAATCCCCAGTTTTCGCTTAAAGTCATTTTGCGGGGTCTACGAGACGGAAATCTCGAAGGGCTAGACACTCCGGAGTAGGCCCGGTGATAACTCCGCCTCCCGATGATCATTTGAAAACGATTATTGGGTGTGCGTAGCAACCGGAAATTCATTTGAGTGCGTTTACATCGTATATCGTCATAGCCATGATATATGTATCGTCAGCTGGTGCGGGGAGCTTGAAGAATATCCCATAATCCGGTGCTTAGATGCTGTCTATTTGACAGAATATTATAATTACTAAAAGAGGAAGGGTGGCAGCCGAATATATATGTGTGTGATCCAGACACAAGCCACAGCTGAAAATACGCCGCCCGAATCAATAGACAGCTTTAACGGACTATGGGATACTAAAGCTACTATTGGGTGTTCATAGTAATATCCAGACCCATAAACAGTGAAGGTAGATCAAATACCGCAGAAACTCGCCAACTTGATTATCTCCGTGCAGGGATTTCTTCATTGATGATTGGCTGAAAGGCAGAGATCAGCTTCAGATATTTCCTCTACAAGTTAGTTTTTGGTCAGATCCGCTAGCAAAGTTCGTGAGTTTTTGCGGTACTTGATTCCGACAAATGCGACCCGTTTCAGTTACAGGTCTTTAGAAATAAGTGATAGTAATGTAACGTATGTATATGTATCACGTACCAGTTATTTTTCTGTGAACTCTTTGAAGTCTTCCAGGTATTTTGCATCGAGATTAGCTTCTCTTTTTTAAACCCGAGGTATTGACCAAACCGATCTCATTTGTCTCTGTAAATATCTGGCCAGACGATCATTACCTTGGAACCATTACCCGTTTAGGGTTGACTAGGAGGGTTAGGTACCCCACAAAACTACCGCCCTCGTTGATCCAACCCTGTATCACAGAAAAGGGGTAAGATTTCACTAATGATTGTGAACTTGCATGATCGAAGAAGATAATTCAATGTAGTTTAATCAGTACACTGGTTAACATTCTGTCACAAAAAATTGCAAGATAACTCGCTTTTAAATATCCCGAGCATCCATTGGTCGGGGTATCTCCGGCCTGTCCCCGGGTATCTCCCTATAATCTGGGGTAATTTTTCTGCACTCCATATTTGATATTCAGTACTGGTATCTTTAGAGATTTGCTCATGACCCGGCTTCGGTGATTTAAATATGTGCTCCCTAGGCTGGGTAGTATCTTAATCACTAACCCCAAAATCCAACAATACGACACGGACATTGAGATACGATGAAGTTTTTTGTGATAGTTAGTGTTTCCGAGAGCATATGCATACCTTGAATCAGTAGGCGCAATTAGCTAATGTTTGGTTAGAAATCAGTATTGAGGGCCGTCTTTCCCGTGGTTTTCGCTTCGGCACTTTCATACGCTGCACCTGTGGGATCGGATACCCTGCTGGCCTCCTTTACAGCTCCTGAAAGCTCTTCTGGTTGTCATGTCCTCTGGCATTGGATGAACGGGCATATGAACAAAGATGCTATCACAAAAGATCTCCAAGCCATGAACAGGTCGGGGTACACTGGAGCACTCATTTTCAACGTTGGTGTCGGGATTCCAATTGGTAAAGTGGAATACGGTAGTGCCGAGTGGTTCGAGCTCCTTGAGCATACATTCGATGAAGCAGAGAAGTACGGCATTGAGATCTCTCTGCATAACTCGCCCGGATACAGTGGCGCCGGCGGGCCCTGGATTACCCCCGAAAAATCAATGCAACAGCTAGTATGGACGGAAAGCAGACTGGAAGTTGGGCTTAACGGAACTTCAAGTAACTCTAGTATCACACTCAAAGAGCCATTGAGGAAGCTAGGTTATTACCAAGATATAGCGGCCCTTGCATATACTAGTTTACCAGAAGAAAATGGTGCAGTTTTCAGGGATGAAGTTCAGACGATTAAAATCAATGACACGGAGGTTCCCCTTGATGTTACTCAAGGGATCAGATTTGATGCTATGCTCCGTGTCCAGTCCGCCAGTGCAACTATTGACATTACCATGAAGTCCTTGTTCACAGCTTCCGCGATTAGTATATTCCGTTTTCCAGAAATTCCTTTAGATACGTTTGACGGAGCTCGGGATTATCCAGCAACCTGGACTTTGACCGCTTCAAACGATTCGACAACATGGAAAACTGTGACTTCAATTAGCAGCCCTGCTCTCCGAAAATTCGATGCTCCAGCAGTTGGAACATTCTCGCCGGTTGTTGCACGCTACTTCCGCCTCAAGCCAAATCGCGCAAGTTGGATATCTGGTATCGAGATTCATTCGGGCCCACGACTTGACAATTGGGCTTTGAAAGCACATGCATCCGCAGGGTCTGTGGCGGACCCAGCTAGAATAGTCACAACCACCACTTCAACCATAAACCCTGATGAAGTAGTCGATATAACGGAGTTCATGAATGAAGACGGTACACTGAACTGGAAAGCACCTCCGGGGCGATGGACCATTGTAAGATTTGGCCACACTGCTACTGACCAAGAGATGCCCGCTGCCCCTGAATCTGGTGAGGGGTTGTCCGTTGACCTTTTCAGCACTGAAGCGTTGGATTTCCATATCGAAAAACACATCAAGCCAATCGTTGCAGCTGCGAAAGGTCATGTTGGACGGTCATTCAGAGGATTGGAAATCGATAGTTATGAGCTTGGTTTGCAGACTTGGTCTACAAACTTCAGAGAGGAGTTCAAGAAATATCGTGGATATGATATGGGGTCATGGTTATTGGCAACTACCGGCAGAATCTTGACTTCTGCTCTGGAGACCGAAAAATTTCTTTTTGATCTTCGAACGACTCACGCGGACCTTGTTGCAAAGAATCATTATGCCCATTTCAGGAAGGCATTGAATGACATGGGTGTTTTGTTACTCGCAGAACCATACGGAGATGGGCCTTTTGATTCAATGGAAGTTGCAGCTGAGGCTGACCTTGCTTTCGGGGAATTCTGGGCAAGATACACTTATGGAAGTGACGGGTATCCTCAAATCGGCACCTCAATGTCGCACCAAGAAGGCTACACCCTAAATCCGGCTGAAGCGTTCACTGGTCAACCCATGACTGCGAGATGGACGGAGCATCCTTACAGTTTGAAAGCAGAGGGAGACAGAATGTTTACTCTCGGGGTGAACAGACTTATGTTACATTCGTATGCGATGCAGCCGGAAGATCACGCTATGCCAGGAATGACTATGGGGCCTTTTGGGTATGAATTCGTCCTGTGAGGAAGGCCACTAAGTCCATTGCTGACAAGATATACTTAGTGCACATTTTGACAGAAGGATAACTTGGACTGATCAAGCGACTGGATGGACAACCTACCTTAAAAGAGCACAAGGGGTATTACAACAAGGAAGGCCAGTCGTTGATGTAGCATGCTTCGGTCGAGAGGAACCCGACCCCAAAGTCACTCAGACTTATTTTGCACCCTGCAGCGTTCCATTAGGCTACGGAGCCGACATTCTTAGCAAAAGTAAACTGCTTGAGATGACAGCTTCAAATGGGCGAGCTGGGCTTCCAAGCGGCGTTTCATACAAATTGATCGTATTCCCTGTAATGAACGCAGCGTCGAAGGAAGTGCTGGAAAAAATTAGCGAGCTTGCCAATGCTGGTGTAGGGATATTATTATCTGGAAGCCCTCCATCAAGAGGGTTAGGCCGGAGTATTGCTACTGGCGCCGGCACGGACGAAAACGTTATTGCAGCTGGAATTGAACTCTGGAATAAGACAGGCAACGGCAATGTATTCAACGGAACAGCCACGAACACTACCCTGGTATCACTCGGAATCGAGCCGGACTTCACGTTCACTTCAGACACAAACGATGCTGCCATCTACTCTATTCACCGCGTTGTGGGTGACAGTGATGTTTACTTTGTTAGCAACGGACTCCGAAAAACAGTTCAGTCGGTTTTGTCTTTGAGAACGATAGCTGGCGTACCGGAACTTTGGTACGCAGAGACCGGAAGACGAATTTCTGCAGCCTATGAGCGTAAAAATAACAGAACATTTATTTCTTTGACACTCAATCCCGCCGAATCAGTGTTTGTTATCTTTCGGCAGGCGAACCCTTCCTCCTCATTAGTTCAAGCATCGCATAATGGGGTGTCTCTTTTGCAAACAGCACCGTTCCCTTCTCCAAATCCTGCCTTGTACAAAAATACCTCTGTGGATTTCTCAATCACGTTTTGGGCAAAGCCAGAAACCTATCGAAGAGGAGGTACCGGGTATGTTTTCTACCCACCTATCGGTGCGACGACATATGGGTCTGGCCATGCTGCCGTAGGCTTTGGGCTTGGAACAAATGGATTTCTACTTTCAGAGAGTTCAACAAGTACGCCCGCTACTTTCTTGGAGGTCGCTATACCTATCTCAGGATGGACACATTTTGCAATTGTCTACACCGCGAATATCCCAGTCGTTTACATTAATGGGAAAGTTGCGGGAACTGGAAAAAAGTCATCTTCTATCGTACATCCAGGTGTGGGAACCCCGGATTCCACTTCCCAAATGATAAATCGATTCGAAGGAGACCAGATTGGTCTTAAAGTCCACCCTTCCTCCCTCACGATCGCCGATATTAGTGATCTCTTCGAAAATGATCTGCCAGAGCCAGTAGCCCCACCGACTATCGAAATACTGGATCAAAAAAATAACCTTCTATTCCGTCAGAACGGCGAATACAAATTCAGTCTCAGTGATGGTAAAGCCAAGAGCTTTAATATCACTAGCGTATCTAGCACCGCTATTTCTGGCCCGTGGACAGTTAGCTTCCCCGAGGGTTATGGTGTAAATTCAAACATAACCTTAGATAAACTTCAATCCCTCCATAAGAATGATGATTTCGACGTTGCACACTTCTCCGGCACCGCGACCTGGACGACAAGTTTCAATTTCTCCAGTCGCTCCAGAACTAGCAGCAGGATACTACTCAACCTCGGACGAGTGGATAATATTGCCCAGGTTTTTGTCAACGGCAAAGACGCAGGCCTTTTATGGAAACCCCCTTATGAACTCGATATTACCTCTTACGTCAAATCAGGCTCGGCAATCAACTCATTAGTAGTAGAGGTTACAAATCTTTGGCCTAATAGATTGATTGGCGATGAATCTTTACCTGTGGAGGCGATGTTCAATTCGACGAATGAGAATCTTGCGGTTCTGGAATTCCCTGATTGGTACTTGAATAATCAGCCAAAAACCGGTGAGAGGGTCACATTTACGTCGTGGAGGCATTTCGAGAGCGACGAGCCGTTATATGAAAGTGGTTTGTTGGGACCGGTAAATATTATTGTTGCCGCTACGAGAAGTCTGTAAATATATGTAGATTGCGTGTATACATGTAGTTGATTTTTACTTTCTTGTGTTTTTTTGGGAGCTTTCATCACGATTTAAATTACGGGTACGATATTATAACGGACCTAATCGGTTTTGGAATTGGATGCGTGCGCCTGAATATCTCAATCGACTCGTGATCACTATTCATGATATATCACTGTCTTAACCATGACTCGGCGCGTGTTAGGGTTGGTGTCACCATGCAAACTTCAGGCCCCTAAAATTCAGGCCTCAACTTCTGCAGCATCCCGATACATACTATACGTAGCTACATGCACTAACATACATACATATAGGTAGAGTACTCTAGCTGTCCCCAGAACTTGTATCTCTGTTAACCAAATACTGCTCCCCCTAGTAGTGGCGGGTGAATGCAAATTAATTCCTACATATCAATTACCCAGTCTAAATCAATCGCTCGCTAATCTGGCACTTAAACTTTCTGTGTCGTTTGGTGGTGCCACACAGTAGCTAAGTACCAAGCTGGAACTGTCTCTACCGTTGTTTACGCAGTACTCAAGAGACCGGCTAAAGAGGGCAGTGCTCATGGGTCCAATCACAGCGAGATCGAGTAGCTAGCTAATACATGCATGGGTCAGTACTGATACCAACTCTTCCAGTACTGGGTCAATTGAGGGTATTGTTTGATGGTTGCCTGAAGCGCAGTGCGTGTTCACGCGCCCAATCAAGTAGGTTAAGCTTCAGGCATGCCATTCTTGTTGAGGATAAAAGTTACATACAGTAAAATCTAATTTTCAGGTATCTGTAAATACGTGCGTGTGTAGATTTAAGGCTACCCTAGATATTCCTGAGACGAACTTAGCTAACTAGTTCTATCAATAATACTAGAAAGCCCGAGTTTGCACTGGTTATATATATATATGTGTGTGCTTGTTCCTACTTAATTCCCTCGATTATCCTAGGTCCACCAAGAACTCTCTACTTCCTGATACGAGGGATATTTTACCACCTTAGTACGTAGCAAACAAGGCTATATTATAAGTACCAACCAGTTATGTACTTGGAAATTCTCCCTGAAAACCTTACGTGTACACAGATACACACTCATAATCACAGTACGAAAAACATAATCATATCCTCAGCACTATCTTCCAAAATGCACGTACCCGAATTTCACCCTGTCACCACGATTTTTGTGATCCTTTTCGCCTTAAGCTTCTCTATCATCTCAATCTCCCCAACTCTTTTGTTCCTCTGCGCCAAAGGTCGCAAAGCAAAAGATATTAAGAACAAAACTTTCATCTATCAAAGCCTAAAACAGGCTAAAGTAATCCTGAATGGATCTTCAGATGGAAAATTCAGGCGTTTAGAGGACATATCGACAATACTCAAATCCAGAGCAGAGCCTAACAGCCGACTTATTCGTGCCTTTGGAATCGATAACGCCTTCACAACCTCAGATCCCCAACACCACAGAGACTTTGTGAACAGAGCTTCGGATCTCTTGAACCTTAGCAACAGTCGGTGGAAATCTCTCGCAAAACACATCGATACACTAGTAAAAGGAAATGTCGAGCGCCAACGGGTCTCGTCATTCGATGGCCATAGTCGCACGGTTATTTTTTCTCAACTGCTGCAGATTACAGTTCTACGAGCGGTTCTATCAGTTCTTTTTCCAAACGGCGGTACACCACAGCTGTCTGAAGAGGAACAAGACTCCATTGCCTACGAGGTTGCAGAGAAGATTACCAGTCTGTGGATCGAGTCTAAAAGCACAGAAATCACAAGTAACCCCAGAGACCTCGAATCGTTGATGGAAGCCTGCCAGAAGCTTCTTCCGGGAATTGATACAAGAGTCGAAAATCCACTCAATTTGATTCTTCCTGCATTTGAGACCTTGTGGCGTATCGTGTTACGAGGTTTCTTAGAGGTCCAGTTCCGGGATAAGGAGAATTTTTCTCTCAATAAATCACTTTTCTCAGAATATCTCACCTCTCCCACCTCTACTGTTTTTATGAGAGAAGACACACGGGGAGTTTCAGTTTCTCACATTATCAACGAGTCACTACGACTCTATCCACCAACCAAGAGAGTCTACCGTAAGATTCAAACCGAATCAACCCAACCCGATGTTGCTATTGACATAGAACAAATCCATCGAGACCCTGAGACCTGGGGTTCTGATGCGAATATCTTTCGGCCCTCAAGGTGGAGAAAATCAGAAATGAATAAAACTATCGCGGCGGCATTTATCCCGTTTGGGATGATGCCACTTATTTGTCCCGCCAGAAAGATTTTTGGTCCCAGGATTATTGGGATATTTTTGGCAGCTTTATTGGGAGCAATTAATGAGTTTGGGGAGTTGGATGTTGTTGGGGCGATGGTGGAGGGAGAAGTGCTGCTGGAGAATGGGAGAAATAGTTATGGGGAAATGGGGATGCGGTCAAGGAAATAGTCGGGGGTTCATGATTTTATTTATTGCTAGGGACTAAGGAGTTTTGATCAATTTTGGGAGTTTTTTATTTCACAATTACATGTATACTCTATCATTCGTTTACGTAGTCACGATATTAATCGATGCCCGTAATAGCAGTCTAAAGATCAGATCAGACCAGATTTGTGAAAACCCAGGTACCCATAAACCAACTGGATCTCAGTACAGAAGATCCATGGAAATTAGAAAGAAATACCCTCAAAAGCACATAAATTAATTAACCTCAGCCTTATAAGCTTACCTATATATACGCAGCATGTATCTGACATATCCTCATTACATGTATATATATGCACCAGGCTGAAAGCTGGAATTATAATAACCTACATATACGCGCGCGTAGATAGCCCTGGCTCATCTATCGAATCTAAGCTGTCTAATTGGTTGCTTTCTGTCTCGCAACTATTAGTCACCCTAGGGGTTAAGCCCGGATTCATCTACATGTAGCTTTCGAGATTTTACGGTATACATCTACAGCTACAAGTATCTAATTAAACAGCCGTCTCGCAAAGCACAGTCCTAATGATATATATACCGTTAAGTATTATGATGATTTCGCTGGTGGGAAGTACATGTAAGTACAGGAAACCGGTGCACTAATTGGTCAAGTACGTACGAACATATATGTACATATGTACTACATACATGTACTTGGTTGACGTAATTATACGCAGTGCTACTCTAGGTTTTCGGGGAAATGTTGTTCCTATTAATTAGTCTTGGCAGATCGAATATTAATGAAATCGATCAACCTTACCACTTTTAAAGGATTAAGGCTTACCACATGTAGCATTCATACACTCACAGAAGGAGTCATTATTATTTTAAATTCAGGATTAGAGGGGCAAATCACATATACGTAAACTATACACATTGACTTATAAACGCGCAAGATTTTTATTTAGTCGTCATTTTTTAATGTAATATGAAATTTACAATAACCTAGCCCGCCTTCTGTACAAAAACTTATACTGTCAAGCTCAGTCACTAATAAGGGAGCTCCCACCCCGCCATAAAAGTCTGCTTAACCTTTGGCACTGCATACTCATCATCAAAGAACATACCTGTCGGGTCCAAAATACCGTCCACAATATGTATAACCCCCTATATATAGTGGACACCAATTAGTCACCTTCCCCCCTTCTTCATCTAACCACGCATTAATCAAAACTTACCCCAGCAACCGGAATATCGCCTTTGACGACCTTTACCCTCCTGTTCAGTACCAAATCCTCGCCTACTTTCTGCGTACCCAAGAATAAGAACGTCGCTGTCTGCACGCGCGAGAACGTGTCTGTGAAGAGAACGCCGCCGTCGGTTTTATACACATCGACAGGGAGGTAATGGTACATCAATGTGTTTCCAAGGTAGGCGCGGCCCCTAGTAGAGGGTGTGATGTAGAAGCGTTTTAGGTTTTGGGACATTGAGGCGAAGGCGGCATTGTTGGGTGCGAAGAAAGTGAAGTTATTGGTTTCGGGGGTGTGACTAAAGGCCGTTTCGAAGCCTGTGGGCGAAAACGTCTTGTTAGTATTAATTATACATCAAGCTAGGTTTTAGTTGGCGATTGTGGGCCTTACCAAGAGGGAGTTTCATGGCAGCGGCGAGACTGGAAAGGTCGGGTTCAGAGTTCAGGTAGTCCATTATCGTAGTGCCAGCTGATGGTGCAGTATAATTCTCTCGCGCTGAAGCTGTGAAGCTCAATGCTAGGAGCATGAATATTCCAGTACCAGTGGTAAAGCGCATTATGTCGGCGGTCAATGATTAATACTTGATGGTGAGTGAGCTGTCAAGATAGAAAAAAGATATATTGACTTCCTTCTCTCCACATTAGCACCAAACGTTCCAATTGAGCGGGCCTGGCGGGTATCTATTTGGTTATATGGAAGCCTGGCCAGTACAGTACTATACTACATGTATATAGCCTGCAGGCCTGCGCGTGCGACAGTACTACATGTATCCTGTGAATATATGCAGACCACCGGGAACAATTATCAGTAGCGCCGGATACCCCCCGACCATTACTGCTCTCTTCCGCACATCGCTCCTCCTAAAGAGCTGCAATACCCCACATTTCTGCCCTGGAGGGAGCACCCCCGGTCATTCCCCCGCCATGAACAACCAACAGGCTCGGCGGAGAATAAACCTATGCCGAAGCCGAGCCCACCCCTGCATAATCCCCAATGGGGTAATGATATCATTCAGCCTACGGGATCTGGTAGAGGAAATATAAACTCTTTCCATAATAAATTACAGAGTGTTCTTCTTTCTGGATTGTTTCGTCGCTGAGAACGGTTCTTCTGATCCCGCCTATCTTGTTCTTGTAGCTTATAGCCAGTAGCAGTGGTACCGGTTGCATCGTTGTTACTGCGGTAAACATGAAGTTCTCGAGCACCAATTCTTTTGTCCTGGTTCTGTCGGGCCTGACTTTGCCAGCGGCGGCGCTGAATGATGGGATCGCGAGGAAACCACAGATGGGCTTTAACACGTTTGTTGCCCTCTGAGAAGAACACAATTGCCATGGTCGAGATTAATCTTGACACTCATGTGTCTACTAGATGGAATTCCTTCAAAGCAACGATCGACGAGAGCGTCATGGTAACAGCAGCCGAGAAGCTCGTGTCTTTGGGTCTGAAAGGTGGTAAGTTAACAGCGAGAACCCCTCAATATTGCTAATTGGTTAATTGAAGCTTGCATGTCGACTCAATAGTTGGATATATCTACGCCAATATGGACGAGGGCTGGGTTTGTACTCCCTTTTGAATCCTACGACCCAACATGGATAAGAATATTGAACTCTAACATTGAGGATAGCAAGCAAACTACACCCGAGAGGAGACGGGGGGAAAGCTTTTGGCAAATTCTACACGATTTCCAAATGGGATCAAGCATCTTGCAGACAGAATACATAACCTGGGGCTGAAGGTTGGCATCTACTCGGATGCGGGAGTTTGTGAGTATAATACACACCTAGCTTCGAGTACTTGCAATTGGTTTTTCTTTGGGTATTAAGATCCTTGGCTGAGTGAAATGATGTGCCGCATAGGGTCTTGCTTCAAGAACCCGGGGAGTTACGGGTATGAATATGAGGATGCTCAGGATTTCGCGTAAGTCCCTCTTCAATTAGCTATGGAAATAACTAGTATCGAAGATATAGCTTACTGAAATACGTATTTTTCTAAATTTAGTGACTGGGGGATCGACTATCTGAAATACGGTACTTAACCCTTCCTAGCTATGTATATGTGTGTGTAAATCCTGTCGGGGCATTAGCTAAAGGTTCCTAAAGATAACTGCGCTGGTGCCGAAAGCTATTATCACCCGCCTCAGGTCCGCTTTGGAGGTTTGAATCCCTTATATAGTTTCCTGATATATATACGAGAATTGTTTGACTGAAATCCAACCCACACAGAGATGCGCGATGCCCTAAAAGCAACTGGTAGAGAGATTCTCTTCTCCCTATGCGAATGGGGCTATATGTTTCCCTGGTTGTGGTCCCATGAGATTGGCCACTCCTACCGTATGAGCGGCGATATATATCAACATTACACCGTTGACAAGTCTGGATGCCGTGGAAAGACGGCATATTCGTTGACTACTGGCGATGTTCGTGCCAATTCTCCGTATTTTGGTTATTTTAAATAAATCCCGCTTCTAACTGTTATTGATGCTGTAGGGCGGTTGTTCTGTCCTCACTATAATCCGCAAGATGCGCGAAATCACCCAATATCAGCAGCCGGGTTCATGGGCCGATGTAAGTATACCCTCATACTCCCATATCATATTCCTCCTCCAAAGATTAACCCCATCGCTTGACATTACCAGATGGACATGCTCGAGATTGGCAACGTTGTCAACGCCACTGTCTACGAGGAGCAAACACATTTCTCCTACTGGGCCGCTCTCAAATCCCCACTCATCATCGGCGCCAATCTCGCCACTATCTCCAACAGTTCCGTTGAGATCCTCAAAAACACTGAGATTATCGCCCTAAACCAGGACGATCTTACCGTTGCCCCATGGTATATTGCTAGCATCAGCATCGAAAATAATCAGCAGTACTGGGCTGGTCCGCTCAGCGACGGGTGGGTCGTGCTGATGACGAACGAGCTGAAGACGGAGCAGGATCTTACCATAAAGTGGGAGGATATTGACGGTCTACCCGCGGGTAAGTGGAGGGTAAGGGATATATGGGAAAGGAAGGACTTAGGTGTAAAAAGTGAGGGAGTTACGGTGAAGGGGGTAAAGTACTTTCAGACGAAGGTATTGAAGTTAACGAAAGAGAAGAGGTGAAAAATGTAGATGTCTTCGCTTATATATGTAGTCGGATGAAGGGACTGTATATTTCCAAAAATGCGAATAAGCATTGTGCATAAATTTTACTCCGATTCGTCTCTTGCGAGCTGCGGTAACGACATGTCCGTATGTGGCTCATGAGCGAGTGATAAATGATGACCCAGATCACTCATAATCGAGACCTCACAAAACTTCTTAGGACCTGATTAGCGCGCGAGTACACGCATTAGGTCCTTCCGGCTCGACCTCGCGCCTCGTTTTGAGTGTGAAAGTGCCGTCAGTAGAACCTGATAACTTCACCGCCCGCAGTTGGTTGGTGGCCGTTAAGGACAATATCCCCATCGGGACACTGTACCACTAGCCATTCCGGGTTTTCAATTAATTCTGCGGTCTCTGGGTAAATGTTCTCTCTCATACATGAGTCTAGGCTAAAATCGGCTCTGCCCACATATCTCCAGCCCGTTATATGGCCTCCGTTAGTTTTCCAGCAAATATTCGATTCCTATATATATCATTCTTAATCTAGAATGGATACAACTCTCACTAAAAATATTGTGCAATAAATAAACCGGGGATGAGTAAATGATAAAACCACCAGCTGCCCGCTAGGAATAAACGCGAGAAAAACAAAACACCAGCAAGGAAGAAAGAAGAAAAAATGGGAAGAAAAAAAAGTAGCTACACATAAAAAATCATGACGCCTTTGTGAGAGGTTCATCTACCTCTTTTGATGGCAAAATTCCTGCCATGTCTTCCAGACACATCCAACCCTCTACCAGAGAGTTCACATGTCTCAGTCTTTCAGTCGGCTCATTTCTCAACGGTCCGACCCTACATTATCACCATTCTTGCTCTACGCTACCCGTCATATTGAGCATAGCATCTATTTGGTCAACTTCAAGAACCAATCGGCAAACAGAACCGTCAACATTGCGTGCGGCGCAATACGGACGTAGTAACTAATCTAAACGTTAGCTTCTTTCCATGCGGGCGCAGGGAGGGATACACCTACGTTCCAAATCCTCTGTAGAATCTCAACAATCCCTCTTCCTTAGCAACCTTCATCGCACAATCGAGAGTTCCCTTGTATGGTAATTTTCCATCGGGACCCTTAGTCTGCTTTTGCAACCTTGTTTTGACCTACAACCATCGGTGTAAGAATAGATCAATTGAGATAGATATGAGGGGACATACGAAATCAAACGGCAAGCTGAAGAAACTGGCAAAAAATCCCGCAACAGCGCTTGCTGCAATACCCGTGGCAACCTCTGCATTCTTCTTCGATCCCAAAACCTTCTCAAAATCGTATTTCGCGAGTTGAGCCTTACTCTCACTATAAAATGCGAGCTGCCCAAAGTTCAGAGCCATAGCTCTGGCAACCGTCGGCAGACACCCGTTCCATAGAGCCTTGACTCCTTCTGAAGCAGAGATACGCTTGAGTGCATTGAGCACTGAGGTATAGTTCTTACGCTCAGCAACCGGGCGCATTCCATCAGACTGCATTCTGATAAGTGCAAGATCTGCCGGGTTCCCAAGGATGGCTCCAAGGCCACCCGCACTCAGCGCTGCTAATGTACGTTCGCCAAAGGTTACAGCACGACCTTCCGACTTGGCCTTAGCGCTAATCTTGTTCATGAAGGTTCCAAAAAATCCCATGCGGGCTGTAGTATATCTATAAAGATATTAATGGGAATTTATGCATATAGATATAGAATCGAGACTTACACAGCCTGGCGGAGAAGACCAGCAGAAAGCCCGGAATACAAGTCAAGGAATTTGCCCTGCTTAATAATATCGCTGGTGACCTTCAAGGGGGACACTTTCTGGTTACCTGCAAGTTGAATGCGGACCTGCATCTCGTTAGCGAGTTCTCAACCTGGCTGTGAATTGCAAGGGTTAGGGTAGGCAACAATAACAATTGGATCTGAGCTAGCTGCCCTAACCCAACCCGGATAAATCTATAACCGGCCCGCAACACAACTATTTCCAACTACATGTATATCTGCTAGATGCAACCAATAGGAAACAAAGAAGAAAATTCAACTACATACCTTAACCATATCAACAGGTTGGATAACACAAGTCGCGATCATTCCAGCAGCACCACCATTCAGGAACGGCAATACACTCCTGGTAATAGGATGATGGAGGAAATCGGACTTGCTCCCACGCCCAACTGAACGGGTAGGAGCGGTAGCAGCTGCAGACATCTTTGAAGTATTTGTTTGGTTAAATCTGGATCTTGAAGTGACAGATATTAGCTCCCGCGGGAGAAGAGGAATCTTAGGCGGATCTTAAGGGAGTGAAAGTGATATCTGATATGGAGGAGGTTCGGAGTATTTATAAAATCTGATAAAGTGCAGAGCGGTATAGATATATTTTAAGGATATGCGTGAATAAGAACGCTGGGACCCAATAGCAGATCTAACAAAGAATCTAATCGGCGAAGAGGATGCAGAGGGCTTATTTGAAAGGAGGAGGGGCAAACAAGGAGGGAGGAGAGACGGAAGAAGACGGAAAAATATAACAACATACCAGAATTGAGAATTGCCCGAGAACCGTCAATCGGATAATCTACGGGTTGAAGGTAGGAACTGTCCTAAAGTTAGCCGGTTCCGTCAGCTCTGTCTGGGCCCTCGGTAAAAAAAAAAAGAGGCCAACCCGGTACACGAACCGAACACGGAACAAGAGTGATATCTTTGCTTTTTTTTTCTCTTTCTTGCTAGGACTCAATCCTTTCAGCTTTGTGCTTTGTTGCGGTAGCAACCAAGTGTTGGGTCGTTGAGGTCAAAGTTGAGATCAAGAACGTTGAGCTGATGCTGAGCTGCAACGAGTTGTGTCGAGATGCAAAAGAGCGAGCAGGAGAGGAGGGGCAGATGGAGAACACAAACAGCCGGCCCCTCGACATATTACCAGAAGATATAGGATTGGCATGATTGAGGATGAGGGGTTTCTTGTGTACTGTAGGGTCACACGAGTCCTGTATATTGAGCGTTGAACATGTCGATCGTAGCTATAAGTTGTGTACGTACGTGCATGATACCACTTTCCAAGTTCTACCACCAAGCTATCTCTCCCTCGGCTGTGGAGAAAGTAATATAAGAGATATCTTAACCGAGTTATTCCCCGCTGTTTCATTTAAAGGAGCATCCCAAAAAGCTTTCATGTATGTATGCATGTATTTTTAAGGACTTACAATACCCTTAACTAAACCTTCGCCTTCATACCGGCAAATATTCGTTTCCGAGGAGAGGAAAACCGCAATTGGGAGCTCACCGAGTTCAAGCGAGCTTGGCCGAAGGCTTAAAAGCAGTGACCGGAATTCGGTAGTGGCGTGGGAATCCAACGATAATGACTCGGGGTTCGATGTAATCCCAGTTGATTACATAATTATATAATCCCGAGCTCATCCGATTCCGGTGGCAGTAAACTGAAGCCCTTACAAGAACAAAACCAAACACAAAGTCGGGCGGGAAACTGGGGCCTTTATAACAAAAAAAGATGTAGGCAACTACTGAGAATCCTGTTCTTTCCGCAAAAATCTGAGCGGTGCACGTTCTCTGTCGTGATTAACCACGATGCGTTCTTTAGAGGCTCGGGTAGGGCCGCTAATTGCCGAGGAAATCAGTGGAACGCGGGGTAATAAGCTTTGACCCCCTGGATGATAAGGATTACGGAGGGCGCTAATGACAAGCGATGACGCCTTGCGAGATTCTAGAAAGGAATGATGTCAAATATTCAAAGTCGATATGAGAAAAGGTATACCTTTGAGATCTATATTCTCATGACTAAATGTTAGTTTTTCGCAAGATCTTGGTGAGCTTATATGTATTTTGCTATTTGCAAATTGCAAATCACCATCGTCCGAATTCATTCCAGTCGATCTACGCTCACGGGGAGAGATTTGATTTAATTTTGTGACCATGACAGGCCAAATCGCGATCTAACCTCAACCCTCTAACCTCGCAGCTAGGCCGGGAGAACTTCAAGGACTGTTAATAGCCTAGAAGGTCTTGACTACATATCTATCTATCCGCCAAGAGCGCCCCAATTTATTAGCGAGCTGTCAAGTATGAGGTTTAGGTACCATCTCGATTCTATGTAGATACAATATCAAAAAAGGGTATGGATTCGCTAGTAATGCAGCAGGAATACGGCATTACTACGGCATTCTTTGTATAGTGCCGGTTTAATTCTGTATTATCCACTAAATCCCGTAGTCATACAGTACTGATTTCACCCCATTTTTTCGTACTGTATATAATAAAAAACCAGAACATGGAGGGAGGAACGCGCGCCGGCCTGAATGATCTACTAGATACATTGTTAATAACTACATGCATAATTCAAACGAATTCTCAGCACAATCCTTCAGGAAAGAGTAGTCAGCTCTCAGCTATAATAAAGGGTAAGTTCCCTGGCAAACATTGAAGTCATAGACCCAGGCCCAGCACCGCCAGTCAGATCTAGGCCTAATTGACAAGCGAATTTGTATGCCAATGACCGATTTCCCAGTTTCACACGGTACCAGATTACAACGCACTTCTTTGTTTAGTCATATGCATTAACTCGGGTTCGCCGAAAGACGCGGGAAACGAGGAATAGAATAAGAAAAGAACTCGGGGGCGTTTATTTCCTATGTCAGAAATATGTGAGAGGAGGCGGAGGAGAAGGGATAGTTCAGGGGTATTGCCATAACTGTAAAGTTGCATGCAATTAATGAATTAAACAAAAAAAAAAAAAAAAAAAAAAAAAACTCGGGTTCGCCATTGACACAGAAAATACTGTAGTAGTACAGCCCCTTTACTCCGAGAGACACAGGTCTTGGCGCTAGTTACCCGGACCCTTAGCTATGGCAGATTATGTACTTAGGCGTTCTGTAAAAGGTTGTACTTACATGCAGTACTGTAGGTCACCCTGCAGCTCTCATCACCCCTCCCCGTAGCTCTTAACTCTCAACAGCTCTCTTCTATCTTTATACTGGTATCATCACTACAGTCTGCATGTCTCGCCCGACTCTTGAATCACTTCCTCTCGATGTCTCCTATAATATCCTCTCCTACCTCTATGCAGGAACACGGAATTCTAGTCATCCTTACCTAGCCCTATCAGCCGTTTGTAAAAACCTTAATGGTCTTGTCGAAACATACAGCTCCCACATCCTCACCACCCGTCTTGTGAATACATCTGGCCCCGTGCCTATCGCAAGGCCAACAGCCAGGCAGCGTTTATTACGTCATGTATGGTGTCACTGTGAATTTTGTGGCAAAAAGACTACACGCCGTGCTACTATGGCAAACCTCCTAGCTTGCTGTAAGGTTTGTGATAAGCAAGAGTGGGATGAAAAAATTACCATGACGGACGCTATGAAAAGGTCTTCCTCCTTTTCTGTACATCAGGGATTATACTCGCCTGCTGATACTTCCTAGATATCATTTGAAGAAGCAAGATCTTTTCGCTTCACGCATTCGCACCGGACAGTACTATGGTGTCAATGGAATGACCACTCTTTTCCTAGAACCTGAGGTTCGTGAGCTTGCAACGCGGATTCATGTCGGAGTTGGCAATGATATTGAACCCTTTCTTGCGGACCGCATCTCGAAAAGTCTTGAGCGTAAAGCCGCACGCGAAAGAACTCGTCTGGCTAAAAGGAATCATCTTCACCGTGCTCTTATTGCCAATGGACTTACCCAACCCCCCACTCTCATAAATAATCTGGTGCACTTCCTTGAACCAGGTCGCGATAGGCGGCCTGCAATGCCGGTGTTGGAAATTGTACGCATGAAACTATTGCAGCAGCGTTTACAAACAGAGGTAGGACATTAAAATACCTCTTGATCCTAATCATAATATGTTTATGATATGCATCGTGTGGGATCGGCTTTGATTCTGGACACGTGACTAAGACCTTTCTCTTGCATAGAACTTACATCTTCAACCACGATACAACATATTCCGCGACTCACGTGACAAGGCACTGTTTGAACTGTTTTGCAGAGAATTTGATCTTTTGCCACCTCAAAATCAAACGAACTCGGAGGATGGAGAGGTGGAAATAGAAGATCGCATCAAGTTTTATGAGCACCACCGGAAAGAGTGGGCCTGGACTTCAATCCCCGAGGGTGTCGTATCAATGCTTCGGAAGCAGATAATCATTTCTCCTAACCGACGCGACAATTGGGAGAACACTGTCAGCATACTCAACGAACCACCATGGAGTTGGGCATGTTTTCCAATTCTTGTGAAGGACGCTGCTGCTACCGTAAACCCGGGAAATACGACTAACCCAAAGGAGGCAAGGGAGATGGAGAAGGAATTAAATAAAGTAAATAAGTGGAATGAAAAGGCCGAGAGTGAGATGGCTAGGATTACAGAACTGATCAAGGAGAGGGGGCTGGATAAGAAGTTGTGGGGTAGGCCTGAGAATAGCGGCGTGGTAGAAGCGATGGACCCACTGCAAGAGTTTGCGGATAGATATCATAGTGCTAGGTCTACTAGGGCCTAGCAGTAGTTATCTGTGGTAGGACCAACAAGTAAGCAATTTAAAAGGTGAGTTGCGTGATGAGAGCTCTACCATTAGAGTTGATCACTTCGAATGTTAGAAACTAACCCCCCCCAGAATTGGTCAAGTCCTCGCGAACACCGAAGCCACGCAGGTACATACTCCAGAAGATTTTTTCATAGATATCCCATTTAAACCAAATCCTCGGATAAGGACTCTGGGGCCTATTTATTATTTGTTTTTCCTTTCGGTTTTTCTTTCGACCTCGATTTATCGTTATGTAAGATTACCTGTGAGATCCGACCGTGATATGCGCAGTTGTTTTTTCAAATAGCCATTTAAACACCCACATTCGTTGTGATAATAGTGCGTCTAGTTTTTACATCATGTGCAGTTCTTTAGGATAAAAGAACAGAGACTACTGTAAATCCAGGATCACGCATACAATTGATGATGTAAGATACAAATAAGTCCAGGATCACCACCGATCACTCACCAGATGCTCGAGCCTTCCCATTCGTTGCCCCTATACTGATACTACCTGCTAGAATAGTAATAATCGTTCGTGTGACGTCGCTTGCATACATTGTAGCTTTACTTAAATCATCTCGGTCAAAGATCTTCACGTCTAATCATAACAAATACTGGTAAGAGTCACTTCGGCACACGGCATCCGAGTCAGCTCATGGGGTATATAAGCCCTACAAATGCCCAAGTTCAACAGTGAGTCTACATCTCAGTAAAAATGCTCTTCTCACTTCAATTAGCTTCTTTTTTGGTCCTCCTCTCCTCCAATCTCATTGCTGCTACGAAATCAGCAGGATGTGGAGCTGCCCTTCCAACAAACTCAACCCCAGGGGGTACAAGCCAGCAGTTCTCAATCACATCCGGAGGTATTGAAAGAACTTATAAATTATACATTCCAAGCAGCTACGAATCCAGCACTGCGGCGCCATTGATACTCTCGTACCACGGGAATACAAGAACAGCGGATGATCAAGAAAGAATATCAGAATTTTCGTTGGAGAAATGGAATACTGAGTTTGTTGTTGTATATCCAAATGGAATTGATGTATGTGTTGCTCGTACAGTGCTCACCATCTGAATCTAAGCTGACCCAGCTCAGAATTCCTGGCAAGGCGCCTCCTACTCTGCTGCCGGGGTCGACGATGTCTCCTTTACCAGCGACCTCCTGGACCATCTCGAGTCCACGCTATGCATAGACACTGATCGCCTCTATGCCTCCGGTAAATCCAACGGTGGAGGTTTCGTAGGGTTACTAACATGCGACTCTGCAATGTCGCTTCGAATCACCGCTTTTGCGGCTGTTTCAGGGGCCTTTTACCCGGACACTAGAATACCTTGTAATCCTACCACGGAGAGGGCATATGTGCCTATTATAGACTTCCATGGGATGAACGATACTACTGTAGGTTTTCCAACTCCCGGCATAGCCCATGAGTGATAGTTCACTAATCTGTTTCACATAAAGATCCCATATTACGGGGGTACAGGGAAGGGCGGTGCGCTACCTAGCATCAGGAGCTGGCTCGAAGATAAAGCTTCTCGTGATGGTTGTAGTAAAGCACCTGACACTAGGGAGATCCTAAAGGATGGACTGGTTTGGAAGGATGTTTGGACTTGTGGGGAGACTGATGGAAAGAGAGTTTTGGTGGCCTACAACGAGACTGATTTGGCGCACAAGTGGCCGGGGACAGAGCAGACAGGGGACGATCTGGTCATTGCGACCCCGAGAATCCTGGAGTTCTTCAGAGAGTGGTCGTGAGAGTGAACCTTATAGGTGGGGGACCTTTGGTATCTTTGGGCGAACGTTCGTCTAGATTATCCGGTGCATATATGTGTACTTTTATTGCTTGAGCCTTCTGTAGCTACGTGCAGCTACATGTAGTAATTTCCCTAGGTGATTTTGTTATGTATACGTAGGAGGGCGGATTTCCTGTTACCTAGAACATGGTACCAGTTTTAAACAGATAAACTATACATGTAGCTGGTATATTTATAGATCATTATGCTTGTTCACTACATGTATGTTGCCGTTTCTTCCATCGTCTACCTTCGTCAATTTATAATGGCCCTATAAGCAGTAATCATTCGCGTCCGACCTTGTTTTTCATGGGATATCGCTAGCGATTCAGCTCTATAGCTATGGCACATATACTACTACACAACTAGTTTACCAGGCAGCAGCCATATGCCCTGAACGAAGACCTGGACTGGTTTTTAGTAAGTGCCTCCTCGCTTATAAGGGGCAGTTACGCAGCCTCGTATTACTAATTTAATTATAATATTTAGAAGATTGATATCTTATTTTAGGTTGAGGCCATTAGTCACATGGAGTAGTCAATATTCGGAGAGCGATATATAAGCTCTTAACCCATATGTACCCCACACTTCATCATTATGTACTTGATGAACAGAGTCACTTTTGGGTAAACCTCTTATATCCCTTCTCCTTATTTATGTGCCAAGTATATAACTACTTCGAACGAAACCCGGGTTCTTCAGTATGTATGATTATGAGTTAGTCGAGCGAGTGATAATATATGATGCAATACTTCTGCCCCTAGCCAACATGTTTGTTCAACCTTTGAATTCTAACTAGCATGCCTGCCCAATTACAATATACATCGCCTTGGCACATGGATGTATTCTTCTTGAAACATTTGCTTGATCTTCATAGCAATATTCTTGGCATTATTTAGTAGTCATTTAGCGTAACTACTAAATTACATAACACAAGCAACAGCCCCACAGACCATCTGAATTAATTACAAAGTCCCTTGACAAGCTCCTCAATGTCCTCCTTGCTCAATTCCTTGATTCCTAATTCCTCGTTTTTAACATCCTCGAACTTTCCACCGTATCCTTCACCCCACAGACTCCTGTAGATCAGCTTCCAGATGGTGCTGAAGTCTCCCTGGGCAAGCTTGGCGTTGGTCTCCTTCTCGACATCGGCTGTGCTCTTTTCCTCAATTGTCCACTTCACTCCAGTATGTTTCTCGAAGCAGTCTAGAAGGTTACGTTGAGTGGTGACAGTGGAGTGAACATAGATAACCTGGTTCTTGAACTTGTCGGGATTTGATAGCACAGCTACGACTGACTGGCCAATTGAAGCCAGGGTAGTGGTGCTAAAAGGAACAGAACCACCGTCGTAGAGGGTGGCCTTCTTCTCGGCGGCGTTGAGGCCAAGGAAACCAACTTTCAGGCCTATTGATTTGATTTTCACGTTAATCGTGACCAAAGAGCATTGGGGCGCACGAATACATACCCCAGTCAAGGAAAGGCCCGTTGTTGATAGCAATGTAGTTGATCTTGCCCTCTGAAGCTTTCTCTTTAAGATATTTGCATGTGGCGACCTTTTTACCAAACACAGCCAGTTTCCCGGTCTTATCGTTTGAAGTATTGCCTCCAAACTCGCTGGGAATGAAGTACTTTACACCTGCCTCGATGGCAGCATCGACGAGTTTTGTTTGCTCACCAAGGCCCGGGGCACCGACAGTTGAGACAACGGCATCTTGTCCTTTAAATGCTGAGACAAGGTCTTCATGTGATGAATAGTCTGCTGTCACAACTTTAACTCCGCTGGGTGGATTTTTTGAATCTTTGCGACTGAGAACTGTGACGTTGAAGCCGGGGTTTGCTTTGAGTGCGTTGAGGACGGCGGGGCCAAGGTTACCGGCGGCCTAAAAGACGTTAGATATCTCTTGAGTCTATTTACATTCCGCTCGTCTACTCCTAAACACTAGATTTATAGACGAGGGAAATTCTGAGAGAGGGATTGATATATAGAAGTGTGTACTTACACCGACATGCATGACGTTCTTAATGGGAGACATTTCGAAGATCGTAATGTTTTAGAAGCTTGAATAAGGTCGGGGAGATTGTTTACTGATGATGTAGTAAGGTGAAGATGTGAGTGATGGTGATGAGACAGAAAGAGTGGAAGACGTGGTGAATATATATACTTCTGAACATTACCTTACCTAACCTTTTATGGTCAACGATATGCGAAGCTACATTACTCTGTGTCCCGCATGCAATTCCTCTCATGTAACGTCAACAACCATTGATATCGCAATATTCACGATTTCGAAGCATTTACAAATGCTACCTTTGGATTTTAAATGCTACGTGTGATATTACTGAAGATGCCGCGATACCGGTAGATCCCCCACATGTACGCATTCCTTGCTATTCATCCGGGGTAAAATAAGCACTATGTTTGGTCATAGTAATCTGTTTGAATTACCTGAGGTACCATAAAGTGCAAAAAAAAAGCCTATTCGGCTCAGAAATGTGCCTTTCTCAGACAGTACGTACTCCAGTGCTTCAGCAGCCCGGATAGGCAGCAAATACTACACGTAAGCTTGGAGAACCTCATAATCCATCACTAAACTAAAAGAACCATCGAAACAACTTGCTGTGTTCTGTCGCGACTTGTATCTATTGTCAACTTGGGAATTCTGCGCGGCTCGGCATCAGAACAGCTAAGCACTTTCCAGTGTGACAAAACATGAGGGGTACAGCGTGATGATTATGCTGTCACGCAATGGTTGTTGCTTGATAAGCGATTAAAAATCTACAAATTGATTTCTCAGCAAGTGGGGGGTGATAAATAATAGGGTTGTGCCGATGCTGGTCATGCAAGAGGCTCTGTTGTGCAGGAATGGAAGATCCCGTGTTGCACAAAGACTCCTCGGCCGAGTACTCCCACGTATGCAGGCCTCTCAAACATAAGCCCACAAAATGCCTGCAGATGGCGAGGTTAGGTTTACTGCTGCCAATGCTGTGACTTTCAACCTCAACTTCAATTCATACCCTTCGATACACCAATCATGCAGATGTGTCGGAAATGACGTACTCTCTCGTAGATAACACATATGTACATGAATTACGAATACATTATCGTTTACCTTGCTCGAGCACATATGGCTACATGTCGAGCAGGTAGGCTCCAAGGAATCATAAAAAAGATTCCTAGTACATCCATCCTCTTAACGTATTTGAAATATCACCCGGCTTGATTTTCAATACTCGAAGTCCATATGTGTACTAGTTACATGTAACGATGAATGATAACTACAACGTAACGATCATGTGTCATCACTCGAGGAATGCCAACACGCTAAATAGCTTTAATTGGTTTTCTATTTTCTAATTTCATGCGGTGTTTACGTAGGGACGTAGTAACCCAATTTGAAACTATTCAAAATTTTCTAAAATACATCATCCACAAAAGAGACATATCTTAATACCCATCACAAACTGTAGACTTGGCTCCTTCTGAAGCATCACTTGGAATGACACCCGCCGCAACGGCCTGCTGGTAACCCCATCTCCAGTCTATCCTACCACCAATTTTTTCAACCTTCCACGACCAAAAGATCCATCCCGCCTGTTTCTCATAGCTAATGGTCTGTGCCGCCCACCATTTGCTGTACCATGAAACAGCATCAGAAGCATCGATGCTGAACTCACTGCCATCTTCATCTGCTGGGCTCAAACTCCATTCACCAACAACGACTGGAGTATTTCCACCACGATCATTTGTGCAAGAATGTTGCATATAGGCGTCGCGCGTAGCCGTGACACCAGAGGTCCATTTAACGTAGTGATGGTCATCATAATATGCGTAGGTTTCATCCGTGAGTGCTTTTGTCGGGTCCCCAGAGCCCCATTTTTGGTTCATCATCTGAACGTGAAGCTTTTTAGAAGTAGCCACACCAAGCCCCCCCTCCATGGAGTTGATCCTACTCATGGCAATCGGGTAGTATGTATCTATCATTGTCGTGACCGAGCTGGCAGTCTGAAGAGGTTCATTGACAACCTCAATGGCATATACGGTGTCGAAGTTCGAGTTGGTGTGCGTTACGTTCGTCATCCACTCGAGCCACTTATAGGCACGCTCATACTGATAGTCGACATAGAACCCAGGAGTCGATGCATACTGCCCAGTGAACGGCTGATCGGCTTGTTGAGCGCCAGGGGCACCATGAAGGTCGAGGATGATATAGAGCCCCGCATCCTTCGCCCACCCGCAGACCCTCTCAAGGTAGGTGAACCCGCCCTGGGGGAAATGCTCACTATCGGAGTAAACAAGGTCCTCCTTTATCCAGTATCCAAGTGGGATTCGGATGGTATTCAGACCCAACCCCGCAATCTGAGTGATATCGTCCTGGGTGATGAAGGTATCCCAATGTTTTTGAAACGCCGTATTTGCAGCCTCCTGGCCAAGATTCATGACACAGTCGAACTCACTCTTGTATGCTGAGCACCCGATGGTGCTCCAGGATGTTGCCTGCATCCAAGGCTCGATGACAAAAAGACCGCCGAGATTGACACCGCGTATCTTGTCGACGGGGGGAAGCCATGCCCGTGAGGCGGGTAATGAGGTAACTGCTAGAAGAGCAGCATATTGAAGGATTGAAGTCTTCATAGCCTTGGGCCGTCTGTAGGATAAATGAAAATTAAGAGAGGTAGTTATAGAATTTTAGAAATTGACCCGAGCGATGGATAAGAAATTGAAAAGAATGTATTTGCTGGTTAATACAAAGCCTAATTTACAAGAACCTTCGATCCCGAACTTATATCTAAAATCGGTCACGGCTATCGAAATTAACTTTCCGTATCTTGGTGAGTTTTAGCTAGTAAATTGAAGGGCCGAGTTGTTTCACTAGTATACCATGAAAATTAATTATATCACCGAAGAAACCTATTAGGAGCTTGATAGTGCAGGACCATTAAACACCTGCACTCTAAATACAGTACTACACAAGCATTGTCCCCAGGACAAGCAATAGCCAAGGTTCTCGGCTCAGGTACCCGAGCTAGCGTTGATTTCCCCGGTGTCAAACCCCTGCAACCCACCCGGTCGGGTGGTACCATAAATACAAATTCGGTGTATAGGTATGTTTCAGATAAGCAAAATACCTACTCGAGACCTCAAAATCCCAAACCACAAGTCCTGGAATTTGGGGGGCATCGATATATACCCCATAGATCCCAGATGTTGGGCACTGGAAGGATATCAACCGAACACCGACCTCGCTGGGTAGATCCTTCAAGTAATAGGAAACCGCTATGACATTAAGAGTACTCTACAAGGCGCATATATACAGACATGGTAAAGTAGAGAATCAATCGAGACACATCTGATCATAATATTTAATTAGCTTAGTGCATAAATGGTCTGTTTTGGCAAGCACTGAGTATTGCAATACCCCTCCCACTTTCCTTTTGATATTCTGCACTTCCATGGTCGTCATGGTTACATGTAATATTGCTATGAGATCTTAGCACTGGGCTGATATCATGATGTTTGAAGTACTCCTATTACAATGTGTAAAGAAAGTGGCTTCATAAATTTAAGTCTACTAGTACCGGTGGTGAAGACAGTTGGTCTTCGCATCAACCAGAAATTAAGGGCCCGTTTAGAAGCCGTCCGGAATGTATTTCCGAGAAAATGAGTTGCGATTAGTAGGCCATTCTATATATGTTGGGCCATGGATTATCTGAGGAGCAGCCATAAGTATTATTAACCTTAGCATCTTCACTATTCCCAAATAGTACATACATCATTTCAAAAGCCTTTTTCCTATAGTGGACCGCTCCCAAATAGGTGTCATTAAGATTGATAGCCTCTATAGTGGCGGAGGGGTTGCTAAATTAAGCTGAGCATGAACTAGGTAGATCATGGATACATGTAGGTAGATGGTAGGAGAGAGATAGATGTAGTAGGTAGATAGTGACAAGGAACGGGTAAAGCCGGGCACTAAACGGTACATCACTTTTAAACACTATCCCCAAGGTTCTCCGTTTTTTTTCTTCCTTTTTTTTTCTTTTTTTTTGTCACCGCCTGCTCCCAAGCGGGCTCTGAGTGTATCTCTTGGGTTATCAGGCCTGAGTGACACTCAAGTTTTAAGAGTAGAACTTGCTAGTTTACAAGCGGTCCTTTGTCTCCAACATTTGGTCCGCTTGGAAGCTAAGTCGTCAAAACCTTAATTCACTCTTTCGGTGTATATTGATGTGCCCTTGGGTATCTAGACAAGCTATAGGAAAAATAGAAACAAACTGCCGCCTGGACTATTTAAGAAAAGTATCCGGGCATCAACCATTCCAATTTCTTCACCGTCTCCGCACCTCTCCCAGCCGGCGCAGTGCAGCACGCGAATTTTGAGGAACCTTCCACATGTTTGGCGTTGACAAGGTCCTGATGCTCCTCCTTGACCAACTCCTGAAGAACAGCGGCGACAAGACGCTTTGCATTGGCACCATTAGCGTGCATGTTACCCATAACTGTCTCGACAGTAACGGCCTCTTCACCGACCTCTATAATCAAAAGATAATTTATCAGTGGTAGTCCTAACTGGAAATGGAGATGGGGATGGGGACGAACTCCAGCAATCATAATCAGTTGACATGCAGATCATGCAGTAAGCAAGCTCAGCCTCGCGGGCAAGCTTTGATTCTGGAAGAGCTGACCTGGGGGATAAATTAGTTACGAATCAACATATATATCTCATCTCATAAGCGACTTCACTTACATGTTAATAACATCTCCGCCCCATGATCTGTAGAGGTTGCTCTCTGCTCTAGTACTGAACTGAGGGCCCTCTATTTTGCTAAATTAGTTTCAATAATTCACACCTAAAGGGTTCAAGATTCTCTGGTGGTCAATACCCATACAGATCAAAAGTTTGTCGCTATGAAGCTTGACATCTGTTCCTTCGAGAACACCGTTACTCGCAACCCTTTCGACAACCCTCGAAAGGATAGCATCGAACGGATCAGCAAAACCAACATGTCCTACAACACCCTTCTCAAAGAAAGTAAAATCTCTGATTCCCTTTGTACGATCGATAATTTGTGACGGGATGACAAAGTCTCTGGGCTTGATCTTTTCCTGCAAGCTACCGACGGCAGAAAATGCGATCACAGACCTGACACCGATAGAGCGTAGGGCGGCAATGTTGGCACGGTTGGGGACTTCGGTAGGTGTAAGTTCATGGTGGAGACCGTGTCGGGAGAGGAAAGCAATGGGGGCTCCGGCAGCTGTTTGTAAGATCGTAATCGGAGAGGACGGCTTTCCATACGGAGTGTCGATATCTAGCGACGCAACAGCCTAATAGGAATAGTCAGTCATTGCATTGATTTTGACAGTCATAAAACGAAGGGGATAGAGAGAGATATAAAATATCAAGAAAGAGGGAATAACTCACGGTGAAGCCTTCGTGCTCAAGATGTGATATTCCGGTACCGCCAATCACAGCTATCCTCACAGGATCTTCATTATGGCAAGTAAGTACATGTACACGTAATATAAGTATAGTTGAAGAAATATACCTGAGTAGGTTTTTGGCAACGACATCCTGCTATTTGAGAAAGAATAAAATACGCCAGTCAACTGCACAAATTTTCCCTGAACGAGATTCTACCAGAAAAGATTGCCCCGCGCGGCCTACCAGAAGAACCTGGACCTGGACAACAAGGTGCAACTGTTACCCGGCCGTTTTGAATACAGCCAAGCCATGGCCATTAGACGAATTCGAACATATATACTCTAGATCGTTTAGAAATCTTGACTCGAAAGCTATGGATCGGACGCTATGGCGCACGTTAGCTATAGATAATTCAGGAGTAAGTGCTGGAAAGTTATCGGGATGTTTTGTGGTGAAATAACGTAACGTAGGCGATCGTAATGCCTTGTTATCCTCACCCAAACTCACTCGCTTTGCGAGCAAGGCCGAGATCTTGATAAGATCCCGCTTCATCTTTCTTATCGGATCACACGCATCATGTACCTACATGTACATGTACTCTAGACACGTACTTTATACATATCTGTTCCGAAATGATGAAACTTCTGCAACTTGTGAAACCAAACTCTCTCTCACCTCCGGCCTAGAACTCTCTCATTACGCAATACCGGTCGAACCTCTTTTAAATTGTAAAGACCCGCAACCGCCACCGTATATTTAGCGCGCTCCACAGCCGATGGCGTTAATAGTTAGGACTCCGCGCCCGGCCCGAGATTGGGTGATATTACAAAATGGCGTAACGATTTTGCAGACCTCTTTGATATTGATATATTTGCCACGAAATATTGGATATAAGGCATCCATTCTCGATTTGACCATGTTTTATCTCATTCTCGAAGTATATCAGCCTTTACAGCTTGGTAAGGAATAATATCCATGATTCAATATTTATCTTCAATCCATATATATCTAATGAGATGAATGCGCAGACAGACCTTTTATTCAGTACCAGCTCCTATTTCTTTTTGCAAATTCCAATACTTTAAAGGTTGTCAATCCCATGTCCCGACTCTACAAACTTCAAGCCAAAGCTAACACACACCCTAGTCAAAATGTTCGGCTCAATCACCGCAATGTTCTTATTCATTGTCTTTATGCTTTCTACGATCGTCGCCAGCACTGGCTGGCATATGGACGTAAACTACGCCGACGGGGCTACCGTAAAGCTTCACGGCCATACCAACTCTGGGTGTACGAAATTCAAAAAGACGGGTTCTGAGATCACTTCAGTATTTTTCGACACTTCGTTATTGGCGGATACTTTTGTCCTCTACGGTGAGGATGGCTGCAAGGACGAGGTATACAAGGGAAAGAAGGGGAACAATAATGTTCCTAACGATTACTATGCGGCTTATAAGGTTTATTAAATCATGTACATATACCAACGCACTAGGCACGCAAGATACAAAAAGTAAGGAGAAATACACAAATAATTCAAAGATATTCGAACTATAATCCCATGATGTGGATTCAGTGGTTCATGATCAGACCCATGAATCTATGCAATGATTTACGCGTAACTTAATCTAGTTACTAGCAGCGGTGATAATGTACATATCCTTTGTGATTTTATTATTTTTTTCCGGATTACCAACAGCCATAGTATGTTCACAAGCTATCACTCGAAACATATGGTCACGTGCTTGCCGAACAACATAAAATACATGTATGTACATGTAGTCCCATATCCCATACTTGCGCAACGAGGCAAACTTAAGGTTCAAAGTGTATGAGCCCAAATGTATTTAATAAATGTACTCGAGATCTTCCTGGTCTTCTAATGCGTATCACAGTGCTTCATCCGACATTACATATATTAGTTGTTAATGCGTTACATGCACATATATGCATGTCTATTAGTTACTGTCATATATCTGCATATATGTTCTCTCACAAGGAAGTTTCATTTTACGAAAGGTATTCATTCATAGATAATCACTCGTCACTTCTGTTTCACCAACCATCACTCGGAGCACTCTGAAACTACATGTACGTGCAGATTGGTTGCTGGTTGCATACATGTACATTGTATGGGTGGAACCACGCCCCACACCCTGGGTTAGGACTACATTAGTCTCATACCTATCCCCTAGCTGATTACTACATGTAGATTAGGACTATATTAGTCTCGTGCCCGGGAGCAGGGGGGTTTGGGGGTGAGCCTAGGACTCCATATATGTGTGGGGTATAATCATGAAGTACGTAATTTTTCCCTTCATGTGAGTAATTTTGGCCTCACTTAGAGTAAACATTGATTATATTGACGAGATCAACAGAAATACATGTACATGTAGTTCCACTACCATGGTACATACATGTATCTAACACATGTCAAGCTCAAGGATAGAGTGCCTGTTTGATTCGGTTGGTGCTACGTGCGGTGGTACAGAACTGGACGTCTCGCGTAACTATATGTACATGTACATGTAGCATGTACTCTGCCGCCCTAGTCTTTCGAGTTAATCGAATGATACATGGGCCTGGTCTTGTTCACTGACCCATTCGTTGCCTTCTTTGATGCTGGTTTACTATTAGTTAATACAGGTATAGACCAAAAGGTTGCTATTTTGACGGAGAAATAAAGAATCACCAAAAGTCATTGATACCTATAGAGGAACTTAAAGTATACAATTTTATTTATTTTATTCTACACTACGCTCACAAATCTATTCTATGCGAATAGATCTACACTAAGCATACAGATATAGAAGGCATTGGCTCTGCTTCTCAAAGAAAAGCGGATAAAACAAGTCGAAAGAAAAAAGAAAAAGGACTACCAGTTCTTACTTCCAAAGAACACCCTTCTTCGCTTCATATCGAGCCTGGCTCGCATAGGAACCTTTCTCGGTTTAATTCTCCTCCTCTCGACCCAAGGCACCCCAAACTCCTCAAAGATCTTCTTTGAGCAGGAGTGCCTTGGGTCCTCCGACCTTGCAAATCCTTGGAACGAGGAGTGGTCAGTGATTATGGCCCTCTCCACGAACCCGACCACTCTGTCGATCCAATCAACTGCCATTTCTCCAGTGACTGCTGCGTCTCCCTGCCTAAACTCCACGGTTCCATGGGTCTTGACCGCATTCAAATTGTACTTGAAAAATTTGTGGGGGCCGATAAGGTCGAGGAGCTCACGCTGTGTGAGAGCGTTTTCGAGAAGCTCGATAGCTTCGAGCTTGGTGTAGCTGGAGAGATTGTCGCCATGGCGGTTGCTGGAGAGACACCAGTTTTTTCCCGCCTGGCGGTGGGCGGGATGGTATTTGTCCATCGAGGACTCGAAAATCACAATAGCCTTTGCTATCTTTTTGAGGTGGTCCAGGCCCCAACCTTCTCCGTATCCAACATGGACATGGAGGCCAGTCGTGAAGTTGAAGCGGCAATCGAAGCTTGCCCCGAGATGCTCCATCACCGTGGGGATGATGTATTTCCACGATCGATTGCGAAGGATTGGTGTGCAAATTTCGACGACGTATCCTGGGATTTCCTCCCCCACGTCCTCGTCATAGATACTGTCACTGACTGACTTTTCGTCAGTGACAATGAACCGTTTACGGTTCGGGTAACTCCCAGTAAACTGGGTCCAGACATCTGTCTGGATCGACGCTGCGTTCATGGCGTCGCTGACAACTTCAAAGATAGTTGTCTCCTCCATAGCCAGTTGACCCAAGGTCGCTTGAGTAAGATTGACAATAATCATCTCGAGCTCCATGCCAATAGAAATATTGCCAATAAGGTTGTTTTTTTGGGAGCTGTTGGAGGTTTGGAGGTAGGCAGTTGGAAGCCGCAGAAGAAAGCTCTTCTTACTCTCCGAAAGTTCTTGGAGAATAGCCTGAGGGCTGAAAAAGGGGAGAAGTGCTGGATTGAAGGGCCGCCTGTTCTGATTATGGACGGACATCGTGGGATTAATTTATATGTGGGTATTTTGTCGTGCGAGAAAGTATCAGGAATGGTTGTGGTGTTAGTAAACTCGCCTACATATGAGATCACTCGGTCTACGGAACCATAACTGCTGCAGCCTACAACTCCTCGGTATACTAAGCTTTAGTCTCTTTTTTAGCCCTTGATAAATAGACAATGTTTATACTTACAGCTCGGGATACACACATGCATGGAATACGTAAGGATTTCGGATTGTTATGCATGTACCTCAGTAAGGTTGGGTCAAGTAGCATCATACAATAGAATTTATAAAATACATTTATCATTATAAAATAAGTGTAGGTTGAGACTTAAAATCGTGGGTGGGCGTGCATGATATGGCAAGAAACAAAAACAATAACCGCTGGAGATTTTTAAGTTTACAAACCATCTAGGATTTTGAGCGAATATTTGTGCTCTAGAAAGTGGGATTTTCTCTCTCAATACATATCGAGACAACTCAATTGAGGCATCTCATAGACTACATAGAGTTTAGAACTCTGTACTGAAAGGTCTGAGAGACGGTTTATCTCGGGCCTACAATGTAGCTTTCTGCTGATTTTGAAATCAATACATTATATGTATGCACGTATCCTGATCGATAATACAGTTTCTATCCCTTGAGCATCTCCTCTGTGGGAGGCGATGTTCGTTGACAAGACCCTATGGTGAAGAAATCCTTTTGAAATGTACTAGCTATCGCCACATGTAAGTACTTATGAGTAAGATATGAAATTTCGGTGCATTCGTAGAGTTTCTCAATTCATTGAAGAATCGAATTAATTACTCCATACCATCCAATGGAAGTTACAAAAAAGCAAAATCAGACATGACCCTAAGATAGCAAACATTTTAGTCGGTAGTGAAAAGGAAGACATTCTGTTTTATCCCCCCCCCCCCCCTTTCCCCCGTGGGACTTGAAGAGGATATGAGAATGCAAAATAGGACCAGCAAGGAACTAGACCCGCTTAAAAGAAACCCTGAATACCAGGAAAAATCGCCAATGCAAATAACCCCCTCCCACATCCTCTCCCAAATCTATCTATATGAAGAAGAAAAAACGAATCAGAAAGCAAATTTCCCGCCCAATAGATACCCATCTCATTGAACCTCCTTCTACAGATTACTCCCCCCATTAATTGGCCCCAGTAGCAATGGCAACAAGGTTATCATAGCCACGGATGAGATTTTGATCTTCGTTGTAAAGAAATTGAACCAACTGGACAAGCTTTTGACGAGTCTCCGTATTTACTTGTTCTTCAGGGGGTGAAAGTACTGAAGCGATGATGGGAACGAACTGTCCAGTCATGCTACCAACAATCTGGTTCCTTTCCTGGTCTATTACACAGAAAAAGAATTAGTCAGAGTAGCCAGTAGTGTTATCGAGGAAGTGCCTTACAAAGTTTTACAAGCATAGTATAGATAGGTTCATTCTCTTCGTAGTCTTCCTTCAAAGGAAGCACATTGGCAATCACCGGAAGGACCTCGCCCAAGGGCACATTGTTGGGGTGAGCCATAATCATTCTTGAAACGCAACCGCAAGCATTATCAAGCATCCTGTAACTCTGATCTTGCAAAAGAGGTTCTAGTTTGCGGAGAATAGTGCTGTAGTTACTGGTGATTAACTGGGTGTTTTGGGATTTGATACACAATAATCCCATGGCGTAGGCGGCATTTGACCTTGTTTCTGGGTCTGCATCCGAAAGCTTGTGCATGAGGATTTTCAACAATTGCTATTATTGGGGTATTAGAATATTTGATACATGTTTTTAGAGCAGATATCACTTACTTCGGTCCTAGGAGTGCACCCTTCTTCCATATACTTGATACAATCGGCAATCACACCCACACTAGTTGATCGTTCAATTGCTTCTGACGATGAGGCAAATTTGATGAGATGGCTTCCGACAATTTCCCACATCTCGTTGAATTGGGTACCAAGAGCCGTGGCGAGACCCAGGATCACGTCCATGGCCGTATCAATCAAATGCCAATCATATTCAGATGATTCTTGAAGTTCTGGTAAATCGTCTTCCTCGTCATCGTCCAACTGGCAGGGATGTTGTTTTTTGAGGATCAATACAAGTTGGGTAGCAAGCTCGACTAAGTTTGCTGAGTCGGCAAGGAAAGCAGGCCCACATAGTTTGAGGGTCTCTGCAATGTTGCGACAGATATCAGTCACGGTACCCCTAGATGTTCTGTTAGCTATCGTTCTTGCGAGAAAAGAGGGCTTTCATAATAAGAAAAAAAAGAACGATTTTTAGGGGGAGGAGGGTACTTGCCTATCAGTCTCGTTCTTCCAGTTCACGATTGTACATGTGATGACAACAGTCCCAAGCTTCTGTAATTCTGGTGATGGTTGTACCTTCAACGGCAGTCCAGGCTGCCACTTTGCCATTCCCTGGTTCTCCATAACTTGCCAAAGGGTAGCATAAGCCCTCCATAGTGTACTGATGCTTGCCTTGCGGACACCCTCATATGGATGTTGGGCTTTTTCAGCAAGGAGCTCAACAGTTTTTTCGAGGTACTGGAGGTATCCTTCTTTGCAATGACTCAAGACATCTCCAATGACTTCGGCGGCAACTTCTTTCTCCAAAGCTACAGCACTAACAGCAGTGAAATCATCCCAAAGCGCTTCGTCATCTTCATCATCCTCAACTTCAATGTCGGCAATTTCAGCGTTAATATCGGATCCCAGAGATGCTCTCTGAGTGCCTTCAGCACCAACACTGGTGATATTTCCAGCAAAAAGCCCCTCGATATCCGCCTCGATATCCGTCTCAGTCTGCTCCAGACTCGAAAATAATGCCTGTGTAACATTTGGAAGGAAGGTAACGAAGTTTTCACCATATACCTTTGCCATAGTAGCAAAAAACATGAAACTTGTTTCTCTCAGACGCGGGTGTCCCAAATTCAATGCGTCCTCGGTGGATTGCATTAGTGGTTCTACGTATGGAGTAAAAGCCTGCATGCCCACCGACTCCGCAATAGCGGCCATGGCATCGACGACAACACCTCTGAGATCAAGCTCCTCCTCTGAGTCTTTGACCGAGATATAGGGCGACAGGGCATTCATAGTTTCCACGAAATATACGGTGAAATCTCCCTTGGCAGCCATAGCTGTGGAGCCAATGCCACCAACAGCAGCCGCCTTGAGCTTAAGGTCTTCCTGGCTAAACATCCGGAATAATCTAGGCATTATCTGGGGGAGGTATGATGTGACGTCGGATTGCTCAATCCCAACAAGCACTGCATCGATAGCGTTGCAAGCTGCCTTCCAAATATCTAAACCATCACTGGAATCAAGCATTGCAATGAGAGCTGGAATCAATCTAGCATGTTCTTTGCCCATATCTTCGGCGAGGTCGTCCGCCAACTGGGCAATGGTGTGTAGCGCTGCCTGTCTCACCCTAGATTCGGGGTCGGCCAGAAGAGTGAGAACAACTGGGAAGATGTGTCCGATTTGCGTGGCGATAAAGTCCGGGGCACCTTCTACACACATTCCCAGGGCTAAAACTGCGGCCTTTCTGTAGTCTGGGTCCTGATGTGACACGTATCCCGGGAGAGCATTCAACAAGGGCACAACCACTTGGCTGGGGGGCAAAGATGCGGAGAGGTAATCAAGGAGTCCCAATGCTGATCTTGACGGAGTCATGTCATCGCTGTCCTCGATCTCCTTGAACTCAGTCACAATTCCCAGTGCGCGAAGTGTAAGCTCCTCCCCAACCCGTAGACCTTGCATCTTCATTTTCTTGTATCGCAGGCAAGACATGAGGAAAGAGATGGCCTTCGCTCTGAAGTCATCGTCAATTTCTTTCGAAGAAGCCATTTCCGAGAAAAATTGAACCAGATCACGGAAGTGAGTTGAGATGAGCGCAGGATCTCCAATCAACAGTGTCTGGAAGACCTCAAAAGAGGGATTGGCCTTTTCCTCGTCTCCCGAAGCAACAAGTTCTCGCAAAACGTTGACCATGGAAGGGAGTACATCTCTAAACGCAGAAACACCCTCAGGATGATCTTCGGAGTTGAGAGACTCAGCCATTTTACCAAGTGCAAGGAGAGTGTTGAGACGAACAGCCATGCTCTCCTGGTCGACAATTGTTCTACTGAAAAGCTGGAGGAAGTCCCTCCACCTATCTGCTACAGCATCCTCGAGGGTCTCTAAGAGGGTATAGAGGATGTAAACACCAACTTCGCGGTCCTCTGCTTTAGGAGACATCGCTGCCTCAAGGAGGTATCCAGGTAGCTCCAACCACTCGCCTACTGACAAATCAATCTTTGCAATGGCGGAGATAGCTCGAGCAGAGGAATGTTTGACTAAAGAGTTGGGCTCAGCAATTGTTGATTGAAGCAGCGAATCCCGAAGCTGTGGCTTCATTTCTGCGGGAATCTTTGACGGAGCATTATTCCTAACACCCCAAAATTGAGGGATCAAGTTACGGGTCTCAACAGCGGCCATTTGGCGAACTTGAGGATTATGATGAGTTTTCAGGATGCGAATCAAAGTCGGAAGCGACTCGGGTTTGGAGTAGAAATCCCGGCGGAGGGTAGTAGTCGCATTCTTGACGATATTAGTATCCGCTGTATACATGCAATGCTTCTATTAGTTTATGGATTCTTTGAGGAGAGACTTTTATGAGAAGTAACAGGAATCAACTGAGGGAAATTACGAGTGAGAATTTGCTCCAAGAGCTGAACGAGACGTTGTTCGTCCATTTTTTCTTTATTGACGGCACAGGTCCGTATACCCCACCAGAAGAAAACTTGATGTTTCTGTGTGAAGGTAGCGGAAGGAGAAGTCGAGCGGAGACGAAAGAGAGCTGCTGTGGAGGGAGGAAACAATCGGGCTTCGAGCAGTATTTGAAGTGGTGGGGCAAATTCGGCGGGGTAATTTTTTTGTATGGAAAACTTTTTGTCAACGAAGTGCCAAGAACTGACTGCCACAGGGTTTCAGCCTTCCAGGGACCATAGACACGATTTTAATCTACATGTAGTTAGACATAAGAGAGACGGCGATAAGTGACCTAGCCTATCCTTCTCTAGGCAGGCACCAGATATGCTCAACTAATGGTACACTGCACAGCTGCAGTCACGGCGGTCTTTGTACTAGCTGTTGAGGACATGTAGCTAGAGATGATAACATTGAGATATCTGTCGTTGCCCTCGAGCACCGCTGTCTGAGGATAATCAAAATCGCAGATCTTCCCTGATTGCGGATGAAAGATAGCGAGTCCACCGGGTGCCCTCTCGATCCACCTGCGATTCCTTGAAATGGCACCCCTTAGACAACTTATTAGGGTTAATCGTACACTAGGATCCGGAGGTTTTATTCAATTTACGCGTTTTCTACAGCATGATCATGAGTATCGGTTTTGATGGCTAGGATCGACAGCTGCAGAAGGTGTTGAAATCGACACCGATTAAATCTGCCATTCCTCCCGGAGATGTTGGCCAGTATCTCGAAAAAATCCGTGGTCTCTGCTGTCCATCAAATCATGATTAATGCAATTGACGCGGGTCACCTTCAGTAATTGATTGTCATGCCAGACATAGTTTTTTTCCATCAGGACAGCTATCGATATATCAGATATACATGCTATTAGCCTCTGTCTCTGCCTCTGTGCCTAGGTGTTCAAATTGACACAAAGTGATATCACTGCTGGGGAGCATGCACGTAGGGAGGTACACTCCCCCCAATTCGTCCAGCGCCATATTTCATACAAATTTAATCTTTTACCAGGCATAATTAATTCCCGGCTCCACGCGCGGTCTCCGGTTGCACAATATTCAATCCCCCGCGCACCAGCCTGGGATTCACTAATCTAGACAACAATAAAAGAAAGGATTTTAGAGCACCAGATAGGGCACACCATCTTCACATCTAAATCTGCAGTCCGGGGCCGGTGCGATGGCAGAAAAATATCGATTACGAGCCTCTCTGTGCAATTCATTTCAATTGCATCCCATAAAAGCCCCAGGCCCTGGGAAAGACCTGTTTAAGTATTCCTCCTCCCCATGGGATTTTCTACCGCAGCCGAGGAGACCTGGCGGGTGGAATATCTTTTGACCGGCATGAGATGCAATGCACGGATCACCTAATTATTTAGAACCACACCACTACATCTTCGACCACAGGGCACAAGCTGTCAGCTGTAGACTGGATCTTAACTCAAGGCCATGCAGTTTGGGTTGGGACGACATGAGGCGCATGTTTGACGCAATAGTACATACATACCTGTATTATCTATGCCAAGCAGCCTTGGAGTACCTACATAAATCTACATTAGCTACCGGCAGTTCAACTCCGGCAAAATCGAGCTTGATTACATGTAGGTATTGCACATGTCACCCGAATAAGGAGAAGTCTTCGTGGGCAAAATCTATTTGCTAACAAAGCCTGTCTATTTTTCTCTCTTCGCCCACACAATTCGGGAGTAACAAAAAGGTATGTCCTTTGCTCGTGCCAACAAAATGGATTTCATTTTGTGTCTTTGCGAACGGGACTGCTGTGTTTTTACCCAAATGGAGGGATCGGTTTATCTCACTTGCTGCATCTGCGTATAGAGCGAATCATTTCCGCACTGAATGTCTTGGCAAGGGAATAATTCCGATCTCTCCTGCTGTCTGTCACTCATCAGATTCGGATGCTTATTTCAACGTCACCTGTTGTGTCCCACTCCTACGAAACCCACCTATATCATTTTTTCTTCCTTTCAATATTCCTCACAAAACAGTACTTTATTGACTTAATCTAATTGTCCAACTGTCAAACTGGGATGCAACGTAGGTCGACTCATATCTTAGATTACCATCAGTCTTCCAGATCTTCTCAAAACCTGGCACTTCCCTGTATATATGCGCCAGCGATAGATATTTTTCGTAGAAAAACACCATCACCGCCCTACTGTGCACAGAAACCTGGATTTCTTTCATCGCTTCTTTCCGAGGCCCGCATGTATATGCAGTTTATATTCAGCCGCGATCTTGAAAAATGATAAGGCCCAACCCTCGGGGACGTTGTGATTCGAGTTTTAGAGTCTAGCTTAAACTCTTAGACCCAGCTTAAGCCGTAAAGACTCGGATGCCAACGATGCTATTGATAAGAGGGAAGCATAGAGATTGGATGAACTCGTGAATGGCAGTACTGTCGTTAGCCGTAAGAACAGTACCGTAAAAACTCGATAGGTGAGCCCGGGCTTAAACCAAAAATATAGGGTGAATAACAGTACTGGAGAAACGTAAAGCAACCAATCAGAGAGCTCGGATTCGATAGATGAGCCCGGGCTCACCTATCGAGTTTTTACGGTATCTGCCTATTACAATGATTTACGTTGAGAACATGTATGGCTTTAACAGTAACTCTTGACCGGAATGATACCCGTAAAATGTTGAAGGTAAGAACTGATGAACCAGCGAGGCCCACCTTCCTGATTCTCAATATTTAAGTCTTTCAAACCTTGCCCCACACTAGAGCATATGCAGTAATATGCAGCGAAAGTGCCGGATCGTCAGCCTACTTTAAATCACCCCAATCTACGCACGAATGAAATTCCATTCTTCCTCGGGGTATACCGGGAAAAATCGGGGGTTGGAACGAGGTCTGTGATGAGATCTGTCTCAAGTTCGGACGAAGACTCAGCCTTTGAAGGATACATGTATATATCATAGAGCTGCATGATTGGCTGCCTGTAATGTTCCCGGGAGGCTCTGCGGATAGTTAAAAGGGAGTGTTGTGTCTGAAGTTACATGAATCAAGCCGCCCAGTACCCCAAAGCCTCCCAGCCCCCAAGTTACGCGCATCCTATCCCTGGAACTCAGCACAGAGAGCCATGTCCATCCGTGGTTCAGTACCCGCATGTGCCATGGATCTACATAGAGCATATACCCACAAGACGGTACGCTGCGCATGCGCCATGCTGAATTGAAGACTCCCAGGTTATTATATACATGACCTCTTACCTCGTACTATTGGGCCCTAACTAAGATTATTGTCATCACAGTTTCTCACTCGTGCGAAAGATGCAAGCACCAATGAGAATAATTTAATTAGGACGATCAGTAGGGTTTAATCCCACCAGCCTAGGATACGTCATTGATCGATACAGCCCTATAGGCCCGGCCTACCAGAACTTGGCCAACCACCACCACCGCCTTAGAGATTTGTGACCTCCGAACTGTTTGTAGTATACTACTAAATGCCAGTAAACGCACAACCGTAGGTACAAGTACTCTTCGAGGGAGAGGTCCACGTGGCTATGTACTCATTTCTTTCCTCTAGCATACGTGTGTAGAGTAGCTTCCCATCGTCGATTTTATCATTTCAGAGCACGTAGCTAGCCCTGTTTCTGGGCCTACTACATACGCCCACCAGGCTAGCACATATGATTTCATAACAAATGCCCCTGTTCGTTTCGGTCTTGCATACATGTATATATGAACATAAAACATCACTCCTAGTGACAGTGAGCCCCGATAACGCTCCGTCCCCGTGTAACAACCTCACGCTGCCGAAATACATATATACATACTTGCAAGTAGATCACCACAATACCAAGCTTTTTTTTTTCCTTTTCTCCTCTTCAAAGGGAAGGGATTCGGCACTTTCACACGTCACAGCTTCACATTACTTCAATACCTATTGGATCCACTGCATGGTATACGTGCGTACCGTGTGCCATTAAATATTATAGCATCTCCAGCTAACAAAACAAATCCGATGATAAAATCGAGTACATTGCCTGAGCTCCGGCAGTATATTGTACTTATGCCACGCTATGTCTATGTAATCCCTGTGATACAATTCTCCCTCGTAAAAAAGAGAAGAAAACCCCGAAAAATCGAATGCTCCACATGAAAAGGAAGAGGGGCTGGACTCAAGTGCATTTCGGTGTATAAAACATAAATAGCTGACGAATAAGATCTTTCGAGGGGTATGATCAAAATAATGTGCAAGAAAACGAGATGAAAAACTCCAAACCCCAATATGATCCTAGATATGAATATAAAATTGTTATAGACAGTAAATGATGAGAAGAGATAAGCAAGAATGTAACCGGAGGAAAATTGGTTAGACTGGCCCAGTTATAAACGCCACGTTAGTAGCATTACACCGACGTAAAGAAAAAATGCCGAAAAATAAAAATAAAACCCATAAAAAACTTCACATAACATCTTCGAATAACAATAAACCCTCCATTCAACAGCGCTATCCAAAGCCTGCGCTCCAAATAATAAAGAGAAATCACCGCACAAAGGGCTACAGACAATATGGAAAGAAAGCGAACACCAATAAAAAAAAAGGGAGGAAAAAGGAAAAAAGGAAAAAGGAAAAAGGAAAAAGGAAAAAGGAAAAAGGAAAAAGCAGAGCAAGTAACGTAAATAATAATGCGAGCCTCCTACCACTGCTGAAACAGCTCAAAAAATGACCTCAGGGTTCTCACGAAAATCAACTCCAATCACCTCTACCCATACTTCCACTACCACCAAGACCACCACGACTTCCCCGTCTACCAGGAGAACTTGCAGATACATCTCTGCCCCCGCTCCCCTGTTCTAAGCTCCTCCTTGTTGACTGATGGGTACCAGTCATGTCGCTCATGTCAAAAAGCAATTCGTCATCCTGATTATAGCTCGGCGTTCTTCTTTCAATAGATGACGGCCCGTTCATCCGATTAGCAGGCGCCCCACTGTTAATACGTTCACTTATCAGGCTAGATGAACCAGCTGAGGGCTGTCCCCGACTTAATCTACCTCGCGAGGTTTGACCAGAAGATCCAGGGCCGGAAGGTGTACTTCCTCTTGTATACCTCTGCTGGAATCGAGGTCTTTCCCCTTCAGCAGAATCTATAGATGGAGGTCCAGGCGGTCCAAATGCCAAAATATCATCGCCGCCATTATCACAAAGTTCTCCAGAGTCTTCCCTACCAGAAATAGCTGTTTCAGACGCATTTTGTAGGTCTAATAGCCGACTTAGACTTAGTGGGACCATATTTACACTCCCTAAACTAGCACTCTGACGCTGATTTGGACCATATGCGACAGTCGGATCGAAGTCGAGAGAAGCACCGCCGTCTTCGGGCGGTTGAGACATAGAGTTTGATCTACGTGGGAAGGGACGGGGTGAATTGGGAATATCCAGTGGTGATGTCTTAGAGGCCGTAGTCATCTCTTGGTCAATCTCCTGTCTTCTTTCGCCAATAGCGCTCTCCATATTGTTTTGCTGCCCCCCACGGGGCGGGAGCGGGGAACGATGTCGGCGTTGATCATACTGTGCAGTGAGACCTTCGCTAAGTCGGGATGGAATTGCCGGGGTGTGTGGGGTGTGTGGGGTGTGTGGGGTGTGTGGAGATATTGGTTTTCCAGGGGATGAAGATGATGAGAGTGCTGTCGATGGCACCATTACTGGGACATTCGTCAAGTGCCTGCTCGATGTCGAGGGCGAACCCAGTGAAGGCTGCAGCAATAGGGACGAAGACATTGAGTCTGCCAGAGCACTTTGCGAGTCTCTCATTTTCTGAAACTTTGATAAAGCATTTCCTGCCCTTTTACTTGAACCTTCACCAGCAATTCCACTAGGTTGAAAACTCTTGAGTGTCTGTCTTTGGCCGTCCGCCAGCATCGACATAAAGTCCCTTATTTGAAGGTCCTCGTCCATAGTAGAGTTGGCCCCAGCGTCCAAATAAAGCCCTGATCCGGGTGCAGCCGATGAGCTATAGCTAGCTTTCCCACTGCTTGTATTGTCATCATCAGTCCGGCTTGCTCCAGAAATAATCCTTGGCCGACGTTGGCCGAAACTGCTTGTAATACGCGTAATAGGCTGGCCTTGAGCGAGAGGAGATGACCCAGGAAAAGAAGATACAGGCATAGGTGTTTGGTTAGGTGTCCCATCGGGGAGTCCAGGAGAATTCCTAAATGTTGGCGACATCGTTCCCAGGCTTGGCCGCTGCCGATGGCTAGGAGCTACTGGGGTCATGATTCGACTTAACGACGTGCGTGGTGATGATGCCACCTGATCCGAGTTTGCGGGCGAAGCTGACAATGAAGGCGATTTGAATGGCTGCATAAAAGATACTGAAGGTCGACGTTGTACACCCTCAAAGCTTCGAAGTGATGACTTTGAACACTGTATTGACCGCAGCCCAGTGGGAGGTCGTTCGATAGGCGAACTATTCAATGAAGCCCTATCGGCTAGCTCTGCAGCAGTTCTCAAAGCGGATATCGGGCTAGCACCCGAAGGAACTGTTCCCTGATGATGAAATGAGGATAAGCTTCCATATGTTTGATTATAGTCCGGTCTTGGTGGTGGATGAGTATTAGCTGAAGGCAACGAATTCATTTCTTTTCCAACAGAGGCGTAACCAAGAGGCTGCTGTGAAGGGGCTTTTTGTGTTAATGATGGCCGAAAATAGTGTTCATCAAGATTTATAAAATGCGAGCTCAGTAGGGCTTCAGAGTCATCAACCCTAAACTCGCAATTTTTCCTAAACTCCACAGATATATCAAAACACCCCGCTGGACTTTCGACCCTTGGGAAAGAATATGTATCTGTTACTTCTTTATCGCCTTCATATAGTGGTACCTGTAATAAGTCCCATTCTTTGGGGGCTCGGGTATAATTGCGGCCATTAATTATTCTGCAGCTTACTTTCAACGTACTGGTATTGAGTTTAACCTTCGACAACCGCCGCCGAAACTTCCAGGTTGGCATAAGTCCTGCATAAGCATACAATGCACGGAAGAGTATGATACCCTTTTTATATACTACTGGAAGCTCTGGTGCAAGGGCGATATCATATGGAGGGCTGATTGCAATATTAGCGATAATGTTAGTTTCCCAAACGAAGTATAACCCGTAAGATAGCATATGGAAGGGGGAATAAATGAGGGCTTCTATCTTTTGAAGGCAGGAACTTAAGAAAAACCAGGGCATACCTCAAATCTACGGTCCACCTCTCCAAAATCACTTCGTGGCGCGATCCACCACCACGCCCAGCCTTCCTCGATTCTGTATTGTTTACTCCGGCCACAGCTGCAGCTGTATCAAGGGCTTCATTTACGTTCCATCTCTTTCCTTCTCCATCTAGAATTACTAATGATTGGTTTGCTGTCAAATCTGTTGCGTCTAGGTATGTTTCTATTATCATTGGAGGAGGTCTTGGTTCAAAACAATCCCCCTTACGCCATAATTCGAGGATTTCTCGAAATGCGTCCGTCTCATCAAGCTCGATATTAAACTACCTCGGGCAAGAATATTAGTGAACATCCTCTCTTCGTCAGGTATATCTGATTCACAAGTATAAAACAAATGGAATTTTTGCCATACCCATCTGTTGACTTTCTTTTGCCCACTCTTTGGTGAAAATGTTGGGGGCAGGACCATTCTTGCGTGTAAAATTACCATCGCGGCCTTCCCAAAATATGCCTGCACTATCTGGTTTGCTTTATCTCTGCTTGTCCTCTCGACGGGTGCCCCACCGCCACCACTTCCCCCTGGCACATTTGACGAGTAGCCACCATGCGATCCGGAATGTGTATGTCCTCCTGTAGCACCCCCAGAAGCGATATTCGTGAACCCCCCAGAAGAAGTTGAACCAGAACCATCCATTCCAGCATAGGTAAACCCTGCAGAGAATCGTCTTGTTGATGATGAATCTGGGCCGTCGTTGGTTGTTGCTCCTGCAGCAGTTGTTCTCCGTCGAGGAGGTGTGCTCCAAGGGAGCGGTGATTCGTGTCCGTACATGGCGAGAAGATCGTTATGTAATCGATCGACGGGAATAACTCGGTGGGGGATAGGATGAAAGCTGTTGTATGTATTTATGGGTGTGGAGGTGATGCTGCTAAGCAAAGATGTCAAGGTTGTCTATGAAATCCTGATCTGTGACAGCCATCACATTTATTTAATCCACTGTATTTTCTCGAGTATCTTAAATCCCTTTTTGTCCCTCTCTATCCTCCTTTCTCTTTCGCAACTTTTGATGTGTTCTTAGGAAATTCCGGGGGAGGTGAGCTTCGATAGCGATAGAGCTAGAGGGTATCGCTCGCTTGATACTTGGTGGCTGCTAGCGGGCAAGGGGTCTGGGTGATGTGGCTACAATACTCAGCAAAGTCGATAGGCGATAATCAAATTATCCGTGAAAGCGAGCCAGCGCCAGAAAAAGATAAATGAAACAGAAATTGGTATAATCTTGAAGGTGGCGGAGAGATGTGAAGGGGCGCGGGCAGTGAATATGTGGGGGGTTGGATAACTAAACGCTGTTTAGCTGAAGGCACGGACAGGGCAACCTTCTAACAGAATAAGGTTATGAATATCATCCGAAAACCAAGAGGGGCAGCGGTGAAAACGCGCAAAGGATAATCGATAACTAGGTAGATAAGATATCAGGCGATGGGGGAATAACTAGGAAATATAACTACTGGATCGAAGGAGAGGGTTAAGGACACAACAAATTTGGTGAAATGCGAGATAGGGTAAGAGTAGGTAGGCAGAAAAGCATCAACAAGGTATACAAAAGTAACAGTGAGATACAGGTAGTTGAATGGGAGCAAGGAATACGCACTTACAAGTCCAACACTGGGTCCGTGGATCTTTTAGTCGCCTGAAATACAGAGCCTTTGATTTGATACCGCGGAACACTTTTGGTGCTAGTTCTGCACAAAAGTACTAGAACAGAGGAGTACAGCACCGGTTGCCTGTTGTCCCCAGTATGTACCCGTAACTAGTCGGTGGTGTTGTTGCTGAAGAAAGGGAAGAAGGATGGATGGATGGGGGGATGGGGGGATGGATGGATGGAAGACACTTGTACCTGCTGTAACAAAAGATAATGGATATGCCACCTGCAAGCCTGGCAAACCCCCTTGCCGAAGTTCTCGATACGATGGCAGCTACTAATCACACGTCCTCAGGTTTGATTTTTTGATGTTTGGGCAGATAGACATTGTATGTAGCTTTGAACCTTGGCTTGACTCAAAGGACCAATCGAACAATAGGTGTGTGTAACAACCACACCTCCAGTACATACATAACAGCTGTATATACAATACCGGTCCACATGTACAATACCTACAATACCTATCACCTTCTCGAGCTTCCCACTTCAAAACTCCACAGCTTTTCATAAATTGACGGCACGCTCATCGATAATGAAAGATGGTGTGGGCAAGTTAGAAAAAAGGAACCTGCTGGTATGCGAGCAGACGCAACCAAACAATCTCGCGTGACTCAGGACACTGAGATCGAGACGTAATTCGTCACTGGGACATGTTGGAACAGAGACCATAACTCTATCTACATACCATAGGATTATACGAAGAGTAAGTTGCCCTAATCAATAAGACACATTTATTATATCTAGAGAACTAGAACACAATCCGGCAACTCAATATGTATACACACACATAGATATTATCCACATGAGCCTTGAACTTTAGATCTACATACGGTACCAGCCTGGTGGAAGGTACTGTATATCGTACTGTATATGTATATATACGCATTTTCTAGTTACATGATCATGATAAGGCACCAGAAATAAGTCCTCCACCAAAATCGGTATCTATCGAATACAGCCCAGTAGATCGATAAGCAAATCCTGGCAATATTAAACTCGCGAGTACCTAGTTATCAATCTGCATTGTCTATCAGTATGCCACTCTGCGTCATCTGCAAATCTCGACAGTCGCCAAGATAGGCCAGATTTTGTAGGAAACCCGATATCACGGCAGTTTGTTAAAAAAAAAAAAAAAAAAAACATAATTTTTGTGAATTTACCTAGGGTTCTTTTGATACTATAGAGCCAAAGCATCGGGATGTAAGCCCATATGGCCTACATGTACGTTGCATATTGCGAAATCATGCATATATTACATGCCTGCAGTGCTTTGACTCTATCCCGCTGCTGTGCTTGCTGCCTAGTGTAGGCACATAGATATGGAGTGACTCCCAGTGGTCTGTATGTAGGCTTACAACCTTGCAAACAAACAAGCTTAATAGATGTATGTACGTCAAAGACTCATAAGAGTCAACTACTTGCACCGTTTCTAACAGCCAATAGTCTTGTTTGCCGAGAACTAGAGTACATACATGTATCCCAGCCCTCCAATCCTTAAGCCAGCTAGCTACATGTAGGTACGGATGTATTAGTATCACATATTGAGACACCAGATAAAACCCATGTATCTAAATACATGTAATCATGATATCAGTGATCTCAGAGCCGGCTTCTACCACTAAGATTTTGCGCTCAAGAGGACTCATATTACTGGCTAGTATGGCTCCGCTTTTGAGCTCGATCGCCCTTTGTATTCTTTATATTTGCCTGACTAAGCCTTTCGTTATTTCTAGATCTGTGTAACCTACATGTAGTTACAAGCACTTTTATAATTGATTGACTCCCATATAAAATGAGCTTAATTAAGCTTTGCAATAACCACAGTCACAACTGCTTCCCTTAGAGTACCATGAACCTCTATAGCTAGATCAATAATAATGATTTCTATATGTGGTCAGGCAGGGGGATGCTGAGGTTTGCAACACCGTATGTGGGTCTTAGGGTCGATCTATTGGATAATTACGCTGTAAGCACCCCGTTAAAGTCCATAATATATGCGGGAAATCAATCACTATAGTTTGTTCTGCTTGATCGTATTTATCAGGTACCCGGAACCCTTTTATGTATAAATATCGTTGATTATCTCGAGTTTTGTACTGTATCTCGAATCTCTTTAGTCAACGATATAAACTAATGACCAGTACACGCAACCATAGCACATGTATGTACATGCTGTATACGTAGGCGTCAGGATACGAGACTCGAATTTAACTACTCCATGAACAGATGAGCTAGAACAGCCTCAAAACTCTTTACTCAATACTAAGAAACAATGTTGGTGTGGGTATAATTGAAAAAGTAGCTTTAACCATTTACGCTAGTAGAGCCAAAGAAACTCTGCTCCTTGCTAGCATGTAGATTAAGCCAAGCCAACCAGCTTCTTATTCCTTTTCAATAACTTCTCGAGTTTCTTCTCGAAAGCCTCTGTTTCTTTTCTTGCTGCGATGACCTTTTCCTTCAATTCCTCCAAAGTTACCTTTCCCTCGCCTCCCCCCTTCATCTCCGCCAGTAATGTATTTTTTGGCATCCATTTCCACTCCTTCATGGTTGTAGGATACCTCTCCCATGCTTTTTCACGCTTTCGACTTTCTTCCAGTTTCAAAAAATGATCTTCTTGTTGTTGTGTGAGGCCAGTAAGGACATTACCACCGGGAGTCACAAGTTGGTGCATCGTAATTGTACCGCCTCCACGGAGATTTATCCCCGTTGTTCCAGAATGCTTCAACTGTTGCCCTTGAGGTTCGGACTTGGAAATGGTATCATCGCGAATCTTGATCTGAGCGAGTTCGTCCGCCGTTATATGGAGCTCATACCTGATGCCTACTATTGGTTTAAACATTTCGAGAGTAGCGAAGTGAATATCGTTGATCTCTTGAAGAAGTTGAGCCACAGTCTTATTTGACGCGGGGGGCTTTTCAGATTCTGTCTGCGCTAGTGTTGCAGTAGCCGTGCCGACTGCAGAATTTGTAGGTGTATCACGCTTCTCCGGCATAGGCATCTGGGGGGCGTCCAGCTTCTCCGTCGTATGAGGGCTTGGAGGGCTCTCGATACTTCCATCAGCACGCTTCTTATCCTTCTTCTTCATTCTTCCAATGATAGGGGCATGGACCTCCTCCACTTTTTTTAATCTTTCTTGCTGCAGCTCACGTTCCTTCTCCTCGGCTTCCCTGCGGCGTTCTCTTTTAAGCGCGCTTTTGCTCTTCTTCTGTGGTTGTTGCTGGGATTGTAATGGAGGGGAAACAGGTCTACTTGACATCCCCGATACTGATGCTGTTTCTGATACTGCACTCTCCGAGTTCGCACTTTTAAACCCAGCTTGTGTCGGGAGAATTCTGACCATGCGAGGGGCTGTAGCCAGGTTCGGTGCTGTCTCGTCTTTCACAACATCAATGATAGTTGGAAACGTATCAACCTTGGGTAACTCTAGTCTTTTTGTACTAGGTGAAGCTGGCAGTAACGCTGCTGAGGACCCCGACATCGACGCCTCCTCATCTGTTTTTGTTTTCCATGCGGAAGGCAAAGTGGGAATTTTTGAGACAACGCTTGTTGTCTGCTTACTCGTGGCTACTTTTTTCGATGGGATTGAGATAGCAGGTATAGCTACAGGTACAGTTGGTTTCGTTATTGCCGCTGTTTTAGGAGGTGCTAGGGCTGGGAAATCTTCCTCGTCGATAATTCCAGGGGTCAAATTTCGCGATGGTGTTTGAGACTGGTTCTGGGAAAAGAAACCCGTACTGATATTGAGACCGAAACCTACAGTACAAATATTTTAGTATTTATGTTTTGAAAATCTGAAGAATTGAAAGTCGATAGGTAGTTAGGTATTGTGGGCAGGTTCTGTACGGGCCTTCATCAACTATAATCATCTTCCTAACATATCTTTAACTATGATAGGAGGCAGGCAGGCAAGGACTATTCTACACTGCATGATTCTCTGATTCTTCTAACTGCAAAATGAAAGGAAGAGAAATGAAATACTAGAAATGAAATACATGAGAAGCGGCAGCCAACAATGTAATCGCAAAATGTTAAAGGTAAGGTATGGACATACATGCAGTGCTGAAGTGGTAGCTTTCGAAAAGCGTAGGCCCGCAAGAGACTTTTCAAACACCGTTTCCAGCCCATTAGGCTTTGTTTCCACCCGTATATCGGATTGGTTTTGGTCTTTCCTTGTCCTGTATCCAAACCCCCCGAATCCAAAACAAAATTTTGAAATAGTAAGAGATAGCAAGGGACTGGAAATAAGAGAACAACCTCCTATAGAAGCGGTTGCACAAAATCAATAGCACAGTCAAAAATAACTGGATAAAAGAAGAAAAAAGAAACCCATTCCCCAAACACGAACGCCTCGAGTTAAAAGAGAACACAAAATATAACCAGCACATGAGAAATAGTAATAGTATCCCTGCCTGCCCGCCTGCTGCCGCGAGCATCCATGACATTTCGAAAGAAGACCTGCGCAGAACCCTATAATTCCACTACCTACCACCTGCCGACATTTCCATAGTACATGCTCTGATTGTACGCACCTTGTTGTCCTTGGGTGTTTCCAGCTTGAAGTCCTTGATGGTGTAACTGGTGTTGTTGCTGTTGAGGTTGGGCGACCCTAGCTTGGAGAATACTAGGATCAACAAGATCGACTGCATTTGGCGAATCAGTATACCTTTCCCCACTCTGAAGTGAAGCAGAAAGCATACGTTTTCCATCTCCGGATCTTCCTAGCCCACTTCCAGAATTGGCAAGTCCACTAGCACCACTTCCCCTCATAAACTCCCTCAATAACACTTCCGAATTCTCGCTTTTTCCATGATGACCGCCCAGTCCCAATCCGCTAAATTGTCCACCAAGACCATGCAAAGCTCCCATAGGTATTCCCATTCCCGGTGCGGGCGGAGTGGGAGCACTCTTCAATCCTGGAGGCGGTTGTTGAACGTTTCCGCCCAACATTCCGCCACCAAGGCCTGGAGCACCCCCTGTTGCCCCATAGAACTGTGCAGCAAGCTGTTGATTGTGTAGTTGTTGCTGTGCCTGTTGAGGCATCATACGGACTTGTTCGGCCATATGGACAGCATTACCACGAGGGTTGACGGAGGTTACCGCTGAGGCCGGATTCTCATTGGCAAATGTATATCTCGAAGATTGGCGCGCGTGCATAGAACCAGAGTGTGATTGTTGTCCTGGGCCACCTAAAGAGGCAGCACCAGCTTGGAATGGATTAAACGCTTGCTGTTGCTGATGAAGCAGACCGCCTGGAGTGTGTACCCTCATTGAATTTTGTTGCTGCTGCTGTTGCTGCTGCTGCTGTTGCTGCTGCTGCTGCTGCTGCTGCTGCTGCTGCTGCTGCTGCTGTTGCTGCTGCTGTTGCTGCTGCTGCTGCTGCTGCTGCTGTTGGAGTTGCTGCTGGATGTTCTCTTGTTGTTGAAACGCACCAAGCCCTTGTTGCTGATTTGCTGCAGTTTCCTTTAGCAATGCAAGAGGATCCCTTTGTAGTGGGGTTGCTCCTCTCCCTGCTACGTTCAGAGGTAGCCCTGGAGCCCCTGACATGGTACCAACAGGTGGCTGGGGTTGTGAAACCTCTTCCACTGGCTCTTCGTGACCACGATCCTGCTGACTTCTCATCTTTTCTGCAATCTCTCTCCTACGCTTTCCACCATGACGATCAAACATTGGCGGGATGTTCTCGATATCTTGGTACTCGTCAGGACTAAGAAATTTGGTAGAGAAAGCAAATTTAAAATTGGGATTAGCAGCGGCCTTTTGACATCTCAAGAACCGCTGGAAATGTTCATCCATTGCTGATGGCTCTGGTTCAATTGATTTAGATGGTGGAGGTGGCGGTGCAGTTTTATTTACTGGAGGGGGTGGAGGTGCCTTTGGAGGTGAAGAAATTGATTCCGAACCTATATCTGTAGCTACATTGGGAGATTTCCCGTTGTTATTCGAAGTACTGGATGTAGTTGTCGTTGATGTTGAACCTTTACTCCCACTAGCAGCACTCTTCCCACTCTCTTGGCTGCGACTTTGTACCATTGGAGCTGCGGGTGCAGTCTTTGGACTAGGTGTTGAAACCTTTGATACAGTGGCAGAGATAACTTGCTGCTGAGGTACAGGAACTGCGGATTTTACTGCAGGTGTCGGTGGATTCTTGGCCCAGTTTGCTGTTGATGGTAAAGCAGACGATTCTCCGCCATCAGGGGTGCCGGAGCGCCCTTGGTGTGAGCTTATTCTGGTCATTTGAGCGCCATGCTGGTGTAAAGGCGGTGGATGGGACGGTGCCGCTGCTGCAACTGGAGGCTGTTGCTGTGGCGCTGGTCCCCGTGTAGATGCTGTATGCATACGGGTATTGTATTCAGATAGCCCTTGGCGATCAAAAGATTCGGCCTCTTCTCCCGGCTCATGTAAGAACATGCAATTCTTATTAGGACAAGCTTCGCCGCGAAGATAAGCAGAACAGTATTTCGTAGTTCCGTAGGTCGCTCTACCCCGTAAGTTAGCATAAGTCTAGAAAATCATTACACAAACAATACCTTAAGGTTCTGTCACCGTTTTGACTTCCATCTACGGCTGCAATACAGGTATGTGCATCTTCTTTCCTAGAAAATGTGACATAAACCCCGAGTCCTTGCGGCGGTCCTTGTGGGCCAGGACTATTGCTACCTCCCCCTTGTCCATCCTGGGCCGTCGTCCTTTTATTCACAACGATCTTGATTATTTTGCCATATTGACCAAAATATTGTGCACCTCTTAACGTTTGAAGTAAGTCCTCCTCACGGATACGTGGGTTTAGGCCTGTAACGTAAACGAGATTCTTCTGGACAACTCGGAGACCTCTAAGACGTTCACGATTCAGAGCCTCGGCTTCACGCTTCTGAGCTTCATATTTACGTTTCTCCGACTGTTGACGATCCTTCTTTGCTTTCTCGGCCCTAACTCTATAGAATCGCAAGAAATACTTAATCAGTAACGAATCCCAATTTGCGCTGTAAGAATTCAGCGTATCAGCGCACTAAAGATGGAACCTACTGTTCGCTGGGAATGGGTTTATATTCAATAGTCTTTTCGTTGTACGCTCGTCTACAAGCAGGGCACAGGCCGTTTAAATTCGTCCTGATATTGTTGAAACAGAACTGGCATATCTAATTGAAAGAACTTTAGTATTGATGCCACCAAGAAGCAGAAAAGAGTGACTTTAGGAATCCTTACCTGGTAGCCACAAGGGCAAGGTTTGAAATTCTTGTCTTGGATATCTAACTCTTCGACACAAAGAGGACTGTAAACCTCGCTTTAGTTAGTGAAGGTGGGGGTGGGGTGGCGGGGAGGAGTAGCGCGGTACCAGAACTCCTCGGTGTCGTCGATGAAGGTGTCTTGTTGTACTCTCGACATTGATATGGGTTAACAAGAAAGGCGAATAGATAGAGCAAAGCGGCACAGGTATTTGGATGATGTGATAGCGTGGAAGGATATCTATCGAACGCTGTACAAGTGGAGTGGAATAATCAGCAGTAAGGGTTGATGGTGGGAAAGAGATGAGGTGGGAGTTGGTGTCTAAGTTGTTTAACGAATCCCGTGGCAGGAATGACTTATGTAAGCCCTCCAATTAACACAACCTTGGCTTTACAATGTCACATACATACATGTAGGTACATGTAGGTACACGTGTAAGGTACATGTACCTACATTTTGTTTGTAGATTTGCAATGTTTGCCTCTGTTCATGTAACGAATAGCCAGCAGGACCTTGATCTGAATATCTGTACCTACATGTAAAGTACATGTACATTTTCACTCGGATTATTTCTGTGACAGTGAGCTGCACACCTTTCAAGCAAAAATCTTCATATACGTACATACAAAGTACCGGGTGTTGAGGGACCATTCTGTACCTAGAATCAGAAGTGAAATGATTTCACACACACACACACACACACCGGGTGTTGAAGGTATGATCAGAATCTGATAAGTGAATGTTGCGGTGAATACATGTATTTGTCTTATCAGATTCTGATCACTTTTCGCTACACCCTAGTACATGTACAAGCCTCTAGTATAATTTTTATATATGACATAGAAGACTACGATTTATAATATATAAAATAGGAAGTATTCAAAAGAAAATGCGCTAAATATAGCGAAATTTTATCGTAGTTTATTTGCCCAGGACTTTGAACCCGCAAAAATTTACAAGATTACATGAGAAAACGAGATAGTAAAATCTATCATGTACATATTTATGTAAGTAGCAGAGAGGTAAACTCATGTCCTTGTATGAATACATACATACGCGGTATCTTCTCCAAATTGGAAGACAATGGTTTATTTGGGTTTGTTCTTTTGCTACAACTTTGGCTGATCAAAAAATAATATCATTTCTTCTGTTCACCTTTACTCTCCGGTTCCGGAGCTGGTGTCGGGAGTTTGAACTGCTCAGAAAATGAGAATAAGCCCCCGAAAGTAGGAAGGGTGCGCATAGAAACATACCGACTCGGGTTTATAATCACGACCGCTTCCAACCTGCTCCCAAACACTACTGCCACCTTGGAAGTTCCTACATACATACATACCATTGTCAAATCTTTATTCCTACCGGAAACACTTTCCCTAGCATCAAAAAAAATCATGAGAGCATACCTGAAAGCTTGTGTCATCTCCAAGGGCTCCACAACGATTCGCTTCTTCTCCTCGTCGTACCGCAGTTCAGTGTATCCCGTCAATGGAAAATCCTTCCTAAGAGGGTGTCCATCGAAACCGTAATCTGTCATAATACGCCTCAAATCCGGATGTCCGACGAAAAAAATGCCAAACAAATCATACGCCTCACGTTCATACCAGTTGGCACCATCGTAGAGACTGCAAATTGAAGGAACTGGTGTAGCTTCGTCGGCATATGTCTTGACGCGAATTCGAGAATTGTGGTGTACAGACAGGAGGTTGTACACGACCTCAAAACGATTGTTCCTTGTAGGATAATCCACACCAGTAATATCAGAAACCTGAGTGAACTGGGCTGCAGTGTGATTTTTTAAGAAGGCAAACACAGGAAGAACAGATGTTGGGGCAATATAAATTGTAAGCTCGTCTTTCCAGACAGAAAACTGTTGAATGTGCTTTGGCAAGCACGAGATAAGATAACGCCCATATGCGTGCAGCGATTCACCAGCAGAGGCATACTTGTCAGCACTGTTGGGCAGCAGGTATCAGTATCATTGATGACTGTTTTATCGAACGCGAGATTTGTAATGTAGCCTTACGGGTTTACAATTGGCGCTGAGAGAGGTCCAACCGCTAATCGTGATATAACCAAAGTCAGTAATTGGGTGGTTTAAATAGTCAATGAGATAGTAAATCATACGGAGTCTTTCTGCTTTCCTAACGTTAGGAAGTTCTGAACCATCTGGTCTCTTTTGCCCAGAGTAATAGGTCCTCATAAGGGTAGTGGCGGGGAGAACCCCCCGGAGGGCGGGGGAGCGGCTACCACCAACGGCAGCCTTAGAAAGGGAACGCACAACGGCGCATGCGGAGTTGGTCCGAGCGGACATGGCGAATTTGTTCCCCGACAGAAAGTTAACAGGAACGGAGGAGGTGGTTTTGATGGGTTGATGACGGCGAATTTGGTAGATGATCTTTACCGGTGGACCTTAGGAAGTCACCACTTCTTGCTTAGTAATCTCATGAGTTGTCACTCGATATGCCAAGAGCAGCTGGAGCTTAATTAACCACTTCACGATTGTGCCTAGCAAGGTTCTTGATCAATTCACGCTGCTATAACCTTTATTTAGAGGGGTACATGTAGTTGACAAATTATTAGATGTAGTTTCTAGGTGATGTACAGCGGTGGGTAATAAGTGATCAGACAGAAAGCCACCAAAATACGCGTTTGCAGGCAAAATTGTGGCTAGGCCGTCCGATGACTTAATACCCACCGCTGTACTTACTAGTGCATTGATAGAGATATCGGGGCAATTCAACCCACACACGCACATCAGGTCCAATAATACAACTTTAAACCAACACAATAATAATTCAACTTCACGCAAACAGGAAATAATATTACATCTAAAGTTTGGATTAACCTTACAACGGAGCGATAATTTGTCAGATGAACCTGGCAAATACAGGACGAAGAAACTAAATGAAATAAGAACGTGCCAGATACTGAAGATATCAGTCAAATACGATCTTCTTTCCCATTGGCTTTCCCTTGACTGCTTCTTGTACCTTTGCCTGTTGTTCCTTCGCTTTCCTGGCAGCCTCCCAACTGGGATGTAAGGGCCCTTCAACCTCTGTGGGTTTCCCTTTCTTCTCTGCAGTACTCCCCTGTTTCCTTCCGCCCCCCCCACTTCCTTGTTTGATCCTCTGGTCGATTTTTTCCCTACCCTTTTCTTCCTCTCCTTTTTTGACATGATTCGCCTCTTGCCCAAACTTCTTCTCCCATAAGGCTCTCCTAGCTTGCTGACCCATCCGGTTCTTCCGCTCTTTCGGCTGTGTCGGCCCCTTCTTCTTTCCGTTTTTATCTTTATAATAGTCGGCGTCAATATCGGAATCAGAGCCAGAAATGTAACCGGACATGAGGGTAGGGAGAAACGTTGACTTTACCGAGTCAACAGGCTTCAGCTTTTCGGATTTCTTGACCTTTAAATTGGTGGCCTCTTGCGTTTGATTATATAGGTCTGGGTTTGATTTGGATTCGGATTTCGATCTGTAAGTAGTTGGTTTAGCGTGATGAGCTCGTTCCCCTTGATATTCCTCGTCGCCCTCTTCGTCCTCTTCGTCATTTTCGTTATCTTCGTCATCTTCGCCAGACCATTCATCATCTGTACCCCGTTGTAATGGGCCTTGATCCTCATCTTCGTCTGATGATCCTACCACCCTATCCATGAAATCGGCAGCGAAGGCATCCAAATCTATTTCTGCATCTACTGATTCTTCAGAGTTCAAAATCCCACCCCACTCTTCTTCGTTGTCCTCACTCTCGCTTTTCTCTTCGGCAGTAGATTTATTGTCGATTTTCATCCTCTTTACAAGCCGAACCGCCTCAACAGTCTCCCCACTACCTTCTTCAGACTCGGATCCCACATTTGTTTCTATTTCAGTTACCTTCCTCTTCCCCCCAACACCCCCCTCGCTTATGCCTATCGCCGACTTGACATTTCCAACCACCATTGCCATTGCTTCTTTGACAGCGTTTGAGTTGTATAATCTTGCAATTATATTCCTCTTCGCTATTTCCTTATCGTTCAACTGAACTTCTAATTCCTTCCGTGGTGCGAGCCAGGGGGGGAACAAAGGAGATGTTGATATAGGCTTGTGTTTTGAAAATGTTTTTAAGACATGATTTGAGGCGAGAAAGTTAACGTCGATCTCTTCCGTCTGCATCAGTAAAAAGTTAGCGTTTGCTTTTATCAGTATTCAGAGGCGTGGGATTGAATTTAGGTGTACCTTTAGAACTTCGAACTCCAGTTCAAGTTTCTTAACAGTTGCGTCTTCATTCTTTTCCCTATAATAAACAGTCTGAATCATCTTCTTCACTCTTTGGAAGAAATCTCCTTACTCACCTAGCAATCTTTAGTCGTTTCACAAGCTTCTGTTTTTCGAAGCCCTTAGCTTTCTTCAGGCCACGAAAAACCAATTTTTTTCCATGTTCTATCTTCCCCTCGACTGCTTTGCGAACCAGCTCAATTGCTTGTGGGGAGAGACTCGATGGGTCGGAAAGGTCGGTCGGAAAATCTAACTCTTTTTCGTCTTTTTTCTGAAAACGAGGGTTCAGACGAGGATGTTTACGGCCATACTGAAGGGCGGATAAGAAAGATTGTTTCCTTTTGGGTGGCATTATGAAGAAGGAGACTGTAAACTTGTCGATATTATCTGATTGTTCTATTCCATACCCTTCGCGATCCCAGATTTTATTTTCAACGTCAACTCGGGTATAGCTTGGCGCAGAACACAAAGCTTGGCAGTGGGGCTCTTTGGCCTTATGCAATTAACCCCACCAAATGCACACAACTTCTTATATAATTATTCCAAAATATCGATCTCTAAAATGGGAAAATCCAGCAAAGATAAGCGCGACTCTTACTATCGCCTTGCAAAAGAGCAAGGTAGGAGATATATTCTTTCTCGACTTTTGTAATAATTTTTGTGGAAAGGTCGCTGACTTCTATAATACCAGGTTGGCGTGCTCGTTCCGCTTTCAAGCTCCTTCAGCTCAACTCTCAATTCAATCTTCTTTCCAATGCTACTCGTGTAGTTGACCTTTGTGCTGCGCCTGGTTCTTGGTCTCAAGTGCTCTCCCGCACACTCCCACCAACATCTACTATTGTCGCATTGGACCTACAGCCCATGACACCCCTCCCGGGTGTTATAACACTTCAAGCCGACATAACCCATCCCTCCACACTCCCACTTCTTCTCTCACATTTGGGAAACCAGCCTGCAGATCTGGTCATCTCTGATGGAGCCCCAGATGTAACCGGGCTGCATGACCTTGACGAATACATTCAATCACAATTGCTTTTGGCTGCACTCAACCTTGCTACATGTGTCCTCGTTCCTGGAGGAGGATTTGTAGCCAAGGTATTCAGGGGTCGCGACGTTGCTATCGTTTTTGCGCAATTGCGGTGCCTTTTCGATCGGGTGACATGTGCAAAGCCAAGGAGCTCGCGCGGAAGTAGTATCGAAGCCTTTGTGGTCTGTGAGGGATATAGGCCACCACAGGGTTTCCAACCATCACTTGAAGCACCTCTAGGACTAGGGACATCATTCCCAGAGGTAAAAACCACAACTGTGCAGGAGAATCAAAACCTCGTGGATGGGGTGCAAGGGGTTTTATTAGAAAGCATAAATGGGGAGGAAGAGGGTGTAGGACAAGATGGAATGGACGTTGTTCGGTACATAGCACCATTTATAGCATGTGGGGATCTAAGTGCATACGATTCAGATGCGACAAACCAGCTACCAGATGTCGATGAGGATGGACAAAAGAGATCGAGTATAGATCCGATACAACCCCCAACAGCACCCCCGTATAAAACTGCTCTGGAAATGAGAAGGCAGCTAGGCGGTGGAGGTGTCTTGCGATAGCCATTCTTTCGGGGCTTTCTGGACAATATGTAAAAATTAAGTGGTGGATACTTTATTCTTCATTAATATCAAGATATAGAGAGTCCAGGTGACCAGAAAGAGTAAAGAAAAACTAACACAGCTCTCGATTCACCAGATATATATATATAGCCTTGATGAAACCTCACATGTAATGGCACTATTTTCTCGCACTAAGATAATTATCTTCATATGATGTATAAATCCAGTTTATAAAACCGCCAAATCTGATATGTTGCCATCATGGTGTTGGAGAGTGAAACGATGCTTAAACTAGAAACAATTACATTATATGTAATTAAGAAAGTAAATACCAATCCAGCACAGAACATTTGGCAACTTGAAGGCGTCTCAGCTAAGGAGAGAAAAGGTAAAATCAGAGAATGTAACAAACGCGCGTATTCACTCTTGATAATTTGCGCTTAAAAGATACTGGGATATTTAAGACGGGGGCCAAAACGCTAAATAACAACCACTAAAACATATAATTTCTTCGCCTGACTTCTTTCATGGAACACAAAAAAATAAGAAACAAAACTTTTTGCCCTTTTAGATTTATTAACCACGCCATATCTTCCAACCAGTCCAGAACCTCTTTCCCACCAACAAATTCCAGAACTTCCTTGACTAAAAGCAAGCCCTGCTATTCGGCAGGTGTTGTAGCGCTGCTACCTCCATCACCACTGTGAAAACCCCTCTTACCCCTCCCTCTGGATCCTCTGGTCCCTTCGTATCCTCCCCTGGATTTTCCCCTTCCACCAAAGTTTCCGCGGCCTCTGTAGCCGCCCCCCATATTGTTGTCGCTTTCGCTGGTATTTCCGCCAACAGCCGGTCCTCGACCCCACCTACTATCGTTCATACCAGGTCGGTTCCCGCTTGATATACGATCGCTAGGGGTGAATTCATCCTGCATCATTTTTACATACGGCTTGCCGTTGCGTTGACCTGGTGGCCCTGATTTCAAGTCCTCGGGTAACTTGTCAAGAATTTCCTTCGTCACTTCCATGTTCCCAAAATATACGAGGAAGAACTTAAAAACGGCTCTGGTCCTAGAGGTTTTCTCTTCGACGCGGACAATATGACATTCATCTTCCGGTGGGAAGATTCTGCGAACTTCGGCCTCGGAGTTAACGCCAGAGATGTATAGGCCGGTTTGCTTGGTCTTTTCTAATGGCGACTGAGAGCTGGTGGGGGCCGCATTTTGAGCTGAAGCTGCAGGAGTGTCGACCTTTGGTAGCGCGGGGGGGACTGATGCGGGACTTGTCCCGTTACTGGTAGGTGTCTTCTCTGCTGTTGGTGTGGCTGCTGGTGTGGCTGTTGGTATGGCTGTTGGCAAGAGAGCAACAGGAGCCACCGAGGGAGTAGGAGCTCTATCCGCAGCAGGACCACTTGGTGCTGGTCGTGGGGTTGCAGGTTTTACCACTGGGGACTCTTCCTGCGCGGGGGGAGGTGGAGTCGGTTGCTTTGGCACTGGGGGGGCGCTGCAGGTTGCTGCACACCTTGATTCTGGGTCTGCTTTCTCGGACCCACAGGTGGAACTGCTGGGCTAATAGGTGCATTTGCATTGTTGGTGGTTGGGATAGAAGGAACGCTAACGTTCACCGGCCCAGAATCTGTGCTAGGTGGGGCCGCTGAAGTAGTTGGTGCCATTGTAGGCTTTGGCTGCTGCTGCTGCTGTTGCTGAGTCGGCAACTGGGGTTTTCCCCCCCTATGATGAAAATTGAAACCTTGTGCTCTCATTTCGGTTCCAATTCTTCCATTCTCAACCTCCAAGACTAGCCAGCCAAATGCTGCGTCAGCCAGATTGAAGTTCCACATGTTCTTGAATGCAGACTCATCAACCTGACCAGCACCAGGGGCAGCATTAGCTGGGGGGCCGCCAAATGGGCTACCTCCATTTGAACTTGTCGGCATCTTATCCACAATTGCTAATGCGTTTTCCAGAAGCTTGTTTTGGGCGGTGTTTTGTTGTACAGCAGCAAGAACCTCGTTTTTGACGGTTTCCCACACATCATTGAAAGATGCTTTAGAAGAGGCAAGCTTTCCACGATAATGATCTAAGGATGGGTTGACACTGAATTCGTTATACGAGCTACCGTAACGGAAATGCAAACCAGCAGAAATCGAGAAATCCGCTTTGAGGGTAACTGACAATTGGTTTAGCAGTCCCTCGCGGGCGGGTGAGGCATGCGTAATGAAAATTCGGGTTTCGGCAGCGTCGTAAACTCGGTTCGCTGTATCTACTAGATCTCCCATCTGTAAGAGAGTGGTCCACATTGTTCCCTGTCCTCCGGCGATCGTGGTTTTCCCTTCTCCAATGTCAAATAGCTTATGCATGACAACAGCACCCCCCAGACCTAACAACCGGAGCTTAACACCACCAACATCTAGAAGTCGCGACGAGGCCTCGTCGATGATATGTAAATTGTTGATCCTGTACTCATTTGATCGGAATTTTTCAAGAACGCGAACATCTTCACATGCTCCCCAAACCGTGTAAACAGGAACATCTAGGGTATATGTTCCTGAGAGGAATAGAGGAAGTTCGGAAAGAGGGTTCGGCTCAGCTCCGACGAGTTGTTTGATAGGTACATGACTTCCACCGGGGCTCTGAATGCTCTTTTTAAGACGTTCGTCGAGGAGGGGAGAATATTGAGCCACATGTCGTAGCGTTCTATATGAAATGTCAGTGTCGACAGATTTTAGGTTGAAGCGAAAGAACGGACTTGTCGGCAATTCTTTCTAAAGAGCTATTATCGTAGAACCCAAAATCACCAGTGTGGATGATATGATCTGCATTGGCTTTCTTCGCAAGTTCGTTTAAAGACCTGAGATTTCCTACAAGAAAACGAAGGAACAACGTCAACCTCAACTGAATGTAGAACGTCAGGAATTGGAGTATATAGATTACCTCTAACATCCGCAATACACAAGATCCGCACTCCACTCTTCTCAATGATCTTTTGTTGCGGTGGAAGCTGTACTGGCTGAGGGGGAGCTCCAGGCACCTGGCCATTCGGCACGTATTGTGGATGATGAGGAGGTGCACCAAATTGAGGGCGAAGTTGTGGTGGGACCTGGACCATAATAAGAGGACTGTCTAAAATTGAATTGGGGCGAGAGAGGGCAAAGTTGTATATGTAGAACAGATGATTGAAAGAGGAGTGGGGGCTATTCAATATGGAGATGGGGTGGGGGGTTGCCGGGGTACTTGTGTGTAACTTACTGAGGCCATCATATGTGGGAGAGATTTGGGCAGCTAGTGGCAACAACGGTAATGAGATAGTAGCAGTTGGTGTGAATTCGTAAGGTCTATGAACTAACACGTAGATGATAGAAAACGGGGAGATGGGAGATGGGTGGTGGGTGGTGGGTGGTGGGCGATGAAATACGGGATGGAGAGGAGGAAAGCGAGCGGGAAAGAGAGGGAAGGAGAGGAGAGAAGAGAATAAAATAAGGCAGTCAGCGACAACGGCAGAGGGCGCAAATGGACAACAGAGAAGCGCAGGTTGATGTGGAGAGCCTTGCCAGGTGGAGGAGAAGCACGAGCAGCAGGAGCGGCAACGCAGCAGCAACAGCTAGTACTCTTATTCTAAGTGGACAGTTGGTATATGGAAATTGCGCTGATTGGATGAATCTAATTTTCGATCGTGGACGAGTGGACAGCTCCCCCGCGAGCGAGTCGTCGTGAGTAAGTTAGTGAGTCGGAATTATTTTATTTTTTTGTTCTATCAATCAATGAGGTCCCTCACTCCGTGACAGGGTTGCACACTCTCTGGATGCGGTTACCGTTACTGATCACTGTCCAGGACCAGGACGCTCTGGTACATACATTCCTCCCACCCTTCTTTGCGGAGTTCCAAAGTAGGTGGTACAACTACTAAAGAAGACCGACAACGAACCTCATTGCCAGCAGTTCAACCAGAAATTTTTGGACAAGCGGTTGTTTCATGCACATATTTAGCGCGTTCTCGTAGAAGACCTTCACAACGGCTTTGTCGTTCAAGTATGTACATACCTAGAGCATTATCGAAGCTGAGAATATGCCGGCGTGGTCAGGCGCTGATGTAGCGTAGTTGACAACATAAAGACAACGACAGTTCATGCTGCTGGGTCTTGGGTGAGGTTTCTCCCGAAGTTAGACTGAGTAATTGGTCATAAAATTAAATGCATATGTCTGTATGGGACACACGACATGAATTCATCTGTTATTACATGTCCGCATTCCAACCACATTGAGATAATAATATTTGAATAGGGTCGGCCACGAGCGCTGACTCTGTAGGTAGCGCCATATGATTTAATTTTGGACACTGATATATTAAATAAGCGAGACAACTCAAATGCCCTACAGTGGTATGTGGGGGGTAGCATAATCATAACATGAACTTCAAGAAGTATTACATGACTTAAAACCTAGAGGTTTTGCGGCTCCTTCCCTAAAGCTAGAATATCTACTTGTGACATTACCCAAAACATCTTTCCATTCATCTTTGTCCCCTTTCCATCCCATGCTGCGTCTTCCGTTCCTGCTCTGATAGCAGCTCTCGCAATAACATCTGCATCTTGTGCCCAAGAGTCCTTCAGTGTTCCACCAGACACAGCGCCAAACAGATTTGCAACAAGGTGGAGTGGCCGCTCAATCATTCTAGTCTTTTCCCTACCACCAACAATCAACCCAGGTCTTAGAATAACGGTTTTGTCGAATCCAAGAGCAATCACTGCGTCCTCTAACTCCCCCTTCATCTGTAGATAGGGGAACCGTGATGCTGATGATGCGCCATTAGATGAAATGAGAACGTATGTTTTGACGCCAGATTCTTTCGCGGCGCGCGCGATGGCTACGTTGAGATCGACATCGATTTTGCGTTGAAGTTCGAGGGAACCAGAGTCCGTCCGAGTGCTACCGAGAGCCGAGAAAAGAGCAGCGCTAGAAGTTGTGCCAAGTGTGTCTGGCCATGTTGAAGTATCGGTAGATATCAAAGCCTTGAGCTTCGAATCGGGGTCATGGATAGGATGAGGATAGGGTCGACGCATCAATGCGTTTACAGTAAATGTTTGTGGAGAAGATATGAGTTGTTGTAGGATATGAGAACCCTATAAATCATTGACGATGAGCTTGATCCTGAGAGCTTGATCCTGAGAGCTTGATCCTGATGAAAAGGCTGATCGATAAAGACTGTCTTAACTCACTACTAATCCTGTACAACCCACGACGGCAACTGGTGGAGAAGTCATATCGGTGGTGCGCAGAGAATTTAGGTTGCCCCAAAAGTGTGTAGTTTAAAAGTATCTAGCTATACCTGGGATGTTGAGTTTGAGTATTGAAATGCTTTACATACGGTACTGTAGGCTGGCGTGCGGCCTAATGCGACCCCGCGAAGCAAGGGCCGGTACATGATTGGCCATACGATTACGCCGCACCCTGCTGGCAGCTGTGCGAATAACTGGGATTCTCATAGGCGCCGAATGCCAACCCGATCTCACGAGCCACATCCTAGAGTAGTACAACTCGGATGTGTCGGCTTAGGCTCAAACATGTGTACGTCATCTTGGGGCATAGCCCTAGCTGATCTAAAGCTCTATACGATCAGGAATTGGTATTTCTTCCCTCTTCAGTCTCTGAATCCCACTATTCTCACTGATATCCAACTGTTCAAACAAAGAAAAGCATTCACGCCGCTATCAAATCTATACCTAATCTTCAGGTGAGTTATTGATTGATTCTGTTATCTTTCTATGCTTCACAAACTCCTTATATGGGTCACAACCAACATTGGGGACTTTTGCAATAAGCAGTTTGAGAAATTGAATCCTCAATTGATGAGGCATATTGCTGCTCAAAACCCAGTCTTCGTTTTATTTGTTTCCCTCCTACGTTTTCCTCTAATGCTCCAAAGAAGATGACCACTGACATCAAGGACAAACTAAACAGGAATTTCCCAACGGCTCTAACCACCCCTTCCAACTAATCAAACTATACAATGTGTACTTCCTCATCTTCCACCATACTGGTTGACAGGACCGGAGAAAAAAGCCCGCTTACTGGCGGCGGGATCTTATCAACTGGTGGCGTTGGAAAACCACCGGGAGAGAAATGCCTTGATTGTGATGGCTACTCGTGCTGCTGGTAAGCTATTCTCGCCTATCTGTTTAGACGCAAACACATGTGCTCACTCTTATTATCTAGTATTCCATGTGTCATCATGTAGACCATCCAATAATGATATCTTATGAATTTGATGTGAATGGCCAACAGCGCGGTGTTTTGATTTCATGTAACTTTGGGGTATCTGGTTTCTTCGTTTTTTGGTATTTGTATGGAATAGGAACTTTTTTTTTTTTTTTAAAGCTGTACGTACTTGATACATGGTTTGGGGGGCACGGAATGCTACTATGGTGTTTGTCATTTTCGGCGGTACATTTATTGGTGTCATGAGGAGTTGTATCTCACTCATAAAGCTGGAGCTTCGGGTTACTACTGCACAGCCGTTCTTAACTCCTGCCAAGACATGGTGGTCTTGCACCAATCCTGCAGCCGCACGTCATCAGGTTTATTATCCCCCTGAACAACCAGACAAGGAAGTACATGTAGGTACTCTAATAGACATCTAGATACATGTAGGCAAAATAGGTGAATGCAAATGAAACTGAAGGCTAGGAGTGAGAGACAGTCGTGGCCCCCGGTAGCTGGAAATCCAGATCACTGCAGTCGAAGTTGAACCTCCCCAGGTACATGTACCTACTTTACACAGGCTTCTTGCTCCTGTGTTCAGCCTCTTTCCTTCCTCATTGTTTATACCTCTCCCCACAACTCGCCTGTTCCCGGGGCGTTCCTCATCTCCTTCCTTCTCCCCTTCTCCTCCCCTTCCTCCTCCTCCCCTTCCTCCTCCTCCCCTTCCTCCTCCTCCCCTTCCTCCTTCCCTCACCCCTTCCATTTTCTTTTAGCTCAACTCTTTCCGCTTATTTAAGGTAAGGGGATAAGGGACCTCAAATTTCGTCAAAAACTACAGTATTGTAGCTGTAGCTAGCTGTAGCTGTGGTGGACCTATTGGATTCCCCGTCGCCGTCACCACTCATCACACTGGTTGCTCGGAAGCCACAACTTACCGAGACAACCCGCCTAGCAACCAACGTCCACCACCCGCGGTGACAACATCCATTTACCGCCACCAAAACCATCACGTCCACATAAGTTTGCTAAACAGATTCCGCCAAAATGAAGAAGCATCTTTCGATGCTTCGGATACCACCACTGCTGTTACTGGTCACTCTGTTTCTTTGTTCGATTTTGACGTTAGCTCCCGCCGCAACTGCCGCGATCGTATCGGAACCGGTGACCAAAGTACACAAAGCCGGTGTTTGTGCACTGCGCGGTCAGGTACTTCATCTTTATGTTCTCTTTTTTGAAACCACCGCTGACTGTAGCCTTTAGTGCGGTAAGAAATCATTCTTTGGTGGGCAATTGCCATGCCCAGATAACGGGCCAGCTGAGGAACCGGAAGCATCTGTTAGAAAACAACTAGTTGATATCTGTGGAGCTACTTGGAACGAGGGACCAGTGTGTTGTGACAGAGATCAGGTATGTGTGACCTCTCAAGGTGCCTATGCAAAGGAGGTTGTCCATTGACCTTTGGGGTACAGCTTGAAAGTCTCGCCTCCAACCTCAAAAAAGCCGAAAACCTCATAGCAGCTTGTCCCGCTTGCAAGGCCAATTTCTTCGACCTTTTTTGCACATTCACTTGCTCTCCTGACCAATCTTTGTTTTTGAATATCACATCCACTCAAGAACTCAGAGGCGGAAAGACAATCGTCACAGAGTTGGATTATTTTGTGTCAGAGAAATTTGGAAGTGGATTTTTCGATTCATGCAAAGATGTCAAGTTTTCTGCAACCAATGGTTATGTCATGGACCTCATCGGTGGCGGCGCGAAGGACTACAAAGCTTTCCTGAAATTCCTTGGGGATGAGAAGCCGTTCGGATCGCCGTTCCAAATGAACTTTCCTGCTGGCGATGAAATGAACGCGCCTATGGAGCAGATGGATAACTCTCCCAAGCGGTGCAATGATACAGATGTATCGTACCGATGTTCGTGCGTGGATTGTCCCTCTGTTTGCCCTGAGCTTCCGGAGGTTCAAACAGGGAAAGACTGTAAGGTTGGGATTATTCCATGCCTCAGCTTTGCGGTTATCACCATATATTCTTTTTTACTGTTGATCATAGTCGGTTGGTATTCAGCACATTCGGCTTGGAAGGTACACCGTGATAGAAGGGCAAGGTTGAGATTGTTGCAAGAGAGTGCTCCAAGCGATGACGAAGATGAGGGTGATGTCGTGGATGCAGGCATGATCGAAAGATCTAGAGGGGAGTACCTTCTTAATACCTACATCGATAAATTTTTCTCGAGACTTGGGGAAACTTGTGCATCTTGCCCTACAGTGACGATAGTGATCAGTGTTGTATGTGTCGGTCTATTGAGCTTGGGCTGGCTAAACTTTTCAGTCGAGAATGATCCTGTGAGACTATGGGTTAGCCCTACCTCTGAGGCTGCTATGGAGAAACAGTTCTTTGACGACAACTTTGGGCCTTTTTATCGAGCTCAGCAGGCGTTTTTGGTTAACGACACCACTGATGCTGGGCCATCACCAACTCTCGATTACGATGTGTTAGGTTGGTGGTTTGACGTAGAGAACCGTATCCGGCGGATGAAAAGTCTGACCTACGGTGTTACTCTGGACGACGTTTGTTTTAAACCTACCGACTCCGGATGCGTTGTTCAATCCATCACAGGTTATTTTGGGAACGACTTTTGGAACCTCAAAGAAGCGACTTGGAAAAAAGATCTGAGATCGTGTACAGCACAACCCGTTCAAAGTCAATGTTTGCCAGATTTTGGCCAGCCTTTGAATAAAGAATTATTATTGGGTGGCTGGGAAGAGAGTGGGGATGTTGCAGAAGCGAAGGCAATGATTGTGACTTGGGTCTTGGAGAATCATCCGGAGGGATCCGAGGAGCTTGAAAGAAGCATGGATTGGGAAAGGAGCTTAAAAAGCACTTTGATTGCAGTACAGTCTGAAGCAAAAGAAAGGGGCCTGCGGTTGAGCTTTTCAACAGAAATCAGTTTGGAAGAAGAACTCAATAAAAGTACCAACACCGATGCAAAGATTGTCGTAATCAGTTATATTGCAATGTTTATCTACGCGAGTTTTGCTTTGGGTAGCACCGGCTTTGCAATTGCTCGTATTTTCAACCAACCCAGCAAAATTCTAATCGAGAGCAAGTTCACTCTTGGGATTTTCGGCATAATTATCGTCCTGATGAGTGTTTCTGCCAGTGTGGGATTGTTCTCTGCAATGGGAGTTAAGGTAACGCTTATCATTGCAGAAGTTATTCCATTCCTTGTGCTGGCAGTTGGTGTGGACAATATCTTTCTAATCGTCCACGAATTCGAACGAGTCAATCATTCACATCTCGGTGATTCCGTAGAGATTCGGGTCGGGAAAGCAATGGGGCGAATGGGGCCTAGTATTCTTTTATCTGCATCGAGCGAGACAATTTCCTTTGCTCTTGGAGCCATCGTGACGATGCCGGCAGTGAGAAACTTTGCGATATATGCTGCAGGTGCGGTATTCATAAACGCCGTACTGCAAGTGACTATGTTTGTAGCGGTGCTGGCCCTCAATCAGGAGAGAGTCGAAGATTCAAGGATGGATTGTTTCCCTTGTTTCAGGGTCCCCGGAGAAAACAGAGACAATGGGCATCTCAATGGGTTGACAACGAGGGATATCAGGATGCCGGCCTACCCCGTGGAGGAGAGCATTCTTCAAGGCTTTATTCGAAAAAAATATGCCCCAGGCTTATTGCAAAGAAAGGCAAAGTGGGGTGTCATGATGTTGTTTTTTGGGTTATTTACCGCAAGCTTGGCACTCCTCCCCAAGATAGAGCTTGGTCTTGGTAAGCCATTTGATCCTAACTAATCCTATTGGTCTGTTTGATCTCTGACATTTCGGTATTACAGATCAAAGAATTGCTATACCAACTGATTCATATCTTATTGGTTATTTCAACGACCTTTATGATTACCTTGGTGTGGGCCCACCAGTTTACTTCGTCACTCAAGAGTACAACATTACACAAGCCCACGAGCAGCAAGCCCTATGCGGACGTTTTTCCACATGTGATACTTACTCGCTCTCGAACGTTCTCGAACAAGAACGCAAACGCCCAGAAACCTCATACATCGCTGAGCCCGCTGCGAGCTGGATTGATGACTATTTTCTTTGGCTCAACCCGTCCCTCGAGAAATGTTGCAGGGTGAAAAAGAGAGACCCTTCGCAACTTTGCGGAGAGTTTGATAACGACCGACAATGCAAAATTTGTTTTGAGGATAGGGACCCGGCCTGGAATATCACTCTTTCTGGGATGCCACAAGGCCAAGAATTCCTAGATTATCTAAACGTTTGGATAAAAGCACCGACTGGAGAGGACTGTCCTTTGGCTGGAAAGGCAGCTTATTCTCATGCTATTGTCCCTGATTACGAAAGGACGACCATCAATGCAACTCATTTTAGGACATCGCACACCCCCTTGAGAAGCCAACAGGACTTTATTGACGCCTATGCATCCGCCCGGAGAATCGCGGATACTATCTCCAGAAATGCCGGGATTAGAGTCTTTCCTTATTCGAAATTTTACATATTTTTTGACCAGTACTCGACCATAGTCAATTTGACTGGCGGCCTACTTATGGCAGCTTTAGGCTGCATATTCCTGGTTTCTACGATACTTCTAGGAAGCATAAAGACAGGGTTTGTGGTTAGTGCGACTGTGCTTATGATTGTCATGGACATTATAGGTGTCATGGCTGTCTGGGGAGTCAGTTTGAACGCAGTTAGCTTGGTAAACTTGGTTATTTGTGTTGGGATCGGTGTCGAGTTTTGTTCACACGTCGCCAGGGCTTTCATGTTCCCTAGCAGGAGTGTGGTGGATAGAGCAAAGGCGAAATTCAGAGGTAGAGATGCAAGAGCTTTGGGTGCTTTGGTCAATGTCGGCGGTTCCGTAAGTTGCCTTTCCCTCTTAGACTATTGACTGAGGAAATGACTGACTGTCTATAGGTATTCTCCGGCATTACTGTTACAAAGCTCATCGGAGTCTGCGTTCTTGCTTTCACACGCTCAAAGATCTTTGAGATATACTATTTCCGCATGTGGCTTGCACTCGTTGTTATCGGAGCAACCCATGCATTGATATTCCTACCAGTCGCCTTAAGCTCCTTTGGAGGCGAAGGCTATCTCCCAGATGATGGCCCCGGGGGTCTGGAGGAGGATCTCCGAAGCAGAACCTATCGAAACTTGGTTCCAGCAGAATACGACTCCAGCTCTGAAGAGGAGTAACAATTTATGATTGAGTCAATGACTTTGGTTCATTTTGGATGCGAGCGACATTAACTTTGTATTACTTATTATTTTTCTCTTGCTTGACATACATACTTTTTATGGACTTCTAACGAAGATGGGTTATTGCTATGGCGTTTGTTTTTGTTTTTGTTTTTGTTTTATGCAATGGGTGTATCCTGACTTTATGGAGCCATGAATAGGCACACATGAGATATGTGCGGACTAAATTGTCCCTACGACAGAAGGCTCTCGGACCCTGTTGTATACAAGTGTGGGCTTCGTTATTCTCCTGAATATGCAGTATACTTGAGATTAATAACTGCTACAACACCCGCTTTAAACACAACCTATCTTCAAATTGTTTTTAATTTTTAGCGTCTAGAGAGTTAGTAATGACAATTGATAGTAGTATCTGACAAGGGCCTTTTCTCTGGTGTTGGTGACAAAGGCTTGGTGGTGTACTTCTTGCCAAATGTGCCGAGGTTCTATATACAGCAGTGCCAGTGCAATTGGTGATCTAGCCGATAGATGTAGCTATGCTATGGTTATTGATAGTTAGGCCAATGAACTTGGTCCCTCCTTATGATATATTTGAAGATACTAATGATCACATAGATAAACTAAAGCTTAAGCAGATACCCGCACGAGTACCTCGAATCGTTGGCTGTGATTGTAAAACACAAACATTTACTATAGTTCACTAGATGATATTTAAGAGCTTGGCTGTTTTGTTTTTGGTTGAATCGGTCAAGTAAATACATACTCGTAGTCCGTCGGTACCAGTGAACGACTATACATACTCTATCTACAATACCAACAATACGGCAGTACTACGGTAATACCGCTTACAGTAGTGATTTTACCCCCGTTTTTTTACTGTAAACGTCCTGTACGCGCTCTATCTACATGTAGTGGGCTTAAGCTTGGGGCGGGTTCAATATAACTTGAATTTACTGCGTTGGTAATATACAATATATTGAGATATAGACTAGATGCGTTACGTGCATGACATATTGTGCGCATATATTAAACAACACTGCAGCGCTCAGGGATGGCAGATCTCATCCGCATATTTTTATCAGGTACCCCACTCGATAGACACACATACATGTACAGCGATAGGAATGATCTATGGAAAAAACAGTTATATGGTGCACAGATATTTCGCCATACAATTTCACCCCCTGTTTTTCCATAGATCATTCCGGTCGTTGTATTTAGGAACAAGGTTTTTATAAGGGTTTTTATCCATCTATATCATTGATTTTTTTTTTGTTGTGCAAGTCCACCAACCTACCGCACCATCCCATTCCTAATTACATAGAGAAGACCCAAACTCATCCCTCCCTCCCCTCATCCCCTCGCATCCAAGAGAAGATGCGATAAAAACCCCAAAAAGCAAAACATGTTATAGAAAATACCAAGACTCGATAAGAGAGGCAATATTCAAATCACTCTGTTTGCACGCGCAAGAAACAACCAACCCGAAGCCCCCACCCCCACCCTCCCAATTAACCCCCCCCCCCAAAAAAAAAAAGAAAGAATTACAGCCGACAAAGAGAAAGAGAGGCAGCGAGGAAAAAAAAAATTATGCATTATAAAAAAACTCGTAGGAGATAAGGTATGTTACTAAAAGGAAAGTGAAGCTTAAAAAAAGACCCGCCGCTAAAACAAATTGAAATGAATTTACGACAAAAAAAAAAAAAAAAAAAAAAGGAAGCTAATCGTAGATCAAGTTTCATAAGCGAGAAGCTTATTTCTCGGCAGGAGGTGCGACAACGGCAGCAGCTGGGGCGGTAGCGGCAACCTCTTCGGTCTTCTTGTCCTCTGTTGAAGGCAGGTCGATTTCTCCAATAGGAGCCTCCTTCTTGGGTGCATCAAGCTGGGGGGCTGTTGGTTGCGATTCTTTTGGCACTATCAAACAAATAAAGTCAACACTCTGTAATAATTTTAATCCTCAACTACCACTCTTCTGCACTCTTTCTATTAAGAAACGAGACTAGAAAAGGGGAGGGGATTCTTAGACCGGACGCAGCAGAACAAAGTCTTACCATCGACACCTGGCGCTGGCGCAGGGGTTATGGTCTCCGCGGCGGGTGCAGCTGTTGGTGCTACTTCTCGGGATTCCTCGATTTGTGGAGCTGGAGTGGTGGTGTTCTCGGTTGTAGGAGGAGGAGGAGCAGCGACGGCTGGAACGTTGACGGGGGTGTCATGGGCAGCTGGAGGGGTCTGGTTTGACTGCTCGCCGTGCTCTGTGGTCTCTTCGACGGGAGTCTTGCTCTTCTTCTTGCGGCCAAATAGAGAACGGCCGATCTTCTTCAGGGCGTCGATAGCGTTAGGAGGCTGTTTATGGGCACATGTACTATTAGTCTTACGCACTTCAGCTGAGAGATGAGGGGGAACTAATAGTGATATAAGGAATACTTACAACACCAGGCATCTTGAATATGTGTTGGGGTGTAAAGGTACTGGAGTAGCAAAGGTGTATAGTGTCGTCTTTGAAGGGAGCTGAAGGAGAGTATGAAGAAAGAAAAGAATTATCAAGGGAAGCTCTGGGTTTAAGAAGATCGAAGGTGATGTAGGAGAAAAACTTGGGGGGGGGGGAAGCGTGTGAGGATAAATACGCGGGCACCCCAGGGACCAAAGAGAGGGTTGCTTCAACGCACTGGCCGACAGGTAGGGGTCTTGCCCACCAGAGATAAAATTACAATACCAAGACGTCCTCCCCCCTCCATCCATCAATCCTAAACAGGTCCAATTATGGGCCTGGAGATTGGCTAAGGCTTCACCCCCAAATGGCAACCCCCCTGTGGCCCGCGTGCATTTCGATTGGCCATGCTATTGGGGTCTGGATGGTATCTGCCGTGTTACCTCGACCACGCAGCGTTAGAGGTCCGTCAGGGATGTGGTCCATTATGTACCAGCACCTTTCGAGACTTTTAGACAGCCCAGGGTGCTACATTTTAGAGAAGCACTTACGGATTCAGAGATTTCAACGTCGACACATGCGTTTCTCAGGCAAGGCGTTGGTCGATTGATACAGTCATCAACCAATACCGGATTCCAACAAACCGTTACCCTGTAGTTCGTCCATATTGTGGGCTGTCGCCTCTTCCAAAATATACATACGAGTACCTACATGATATATTTCACTGCAGAGTACCGGACTGCCTGCTATCCCAACGAGAAGCACTGGGATATGCAGTTCGGTATAGCGGAAGGAACATTTGGGGTAGGGGAGAGGCCATGGAGACACCATTGGACTGTCCTCGGCCCCATGAAAGGAGCAAACGTGGACGATCTGGGTTAGTTTCATGTTCATTATTAGCAATGTGCATGCCAGTCTGGAGAAACGCAGGTCATGTCAGGCAGGTGCTGGTACGGTATCTACATGTAAGTTTAAACAGCGAGGTTACCTATGTTGGAGAGTATGCAGTCTGTGATAGACAGCTTGCCAGCAAGGAAGGCTTATTTCTGTATTCTGGAAGCTGGGCCGAATAGTCAAAGAACATAGGTCTTTGACCTTTCCCGTCCATGTTTGGTTTGTGGCTTGAGCATTCGGGTCAACATCGGTTGCAACCCAATCGAAACCCACCGCCCGGGAAGGCGTGTTGGAAATCGTCAAAGTCTCAAATTATCCCAATTTGAAAAATTCCCGATATTCGAGAGGAGAAAGGGAGAATAGGTTGAAAAAAAAAATTAGAAAAGAACCAAGAGACCCGAAAAAGTACCGCGGAAAGAGCCGATATGTATTATTGTAAAATGAGATTTGGATCAAACACTCGATGTTTATGAGCACCGAATCTCCGAACCTTTTAATTATACAGAATTTTTTTTTCGATATTCCCGGTTCTACTAGTGGTTCGCATCCACAACGCCTTGTAAACTTCCAAAGACCTCCTTTCCAACGCTCAAGCTCTCCTTGATTATCTTCTTGACAACTGTCCTTTTAACACCTCCCATGCTTGTAGCTTCAACGGCCGCACCTCCGCTGCCAACGTCCTTTGCTCCAGCGGTTGTTACTATCCCTCCACTGCCAGACTCAAGTGTTCGCACGCCAATAACTTTCGGGGTATCCTTGGCTGAATTGGTAGCCAAAGAAACTGCAAGGACACAATCGGCAACAGCAAGCTCTTCTTTGGTCGGATCAAAGAAAATATTGTCACCCACACTCAATACCAGCAGAGTGATAGGCGGGAGTTGGTTAGAGGCCTGGTACAGGGGAACTGAGGCATCCCAATCATCGTCAAACATAGGATCTTCATCCGCTTCTGAAGTTAGTCGCGGAAGTCTGGTTGAACGAAGAGCGAGATTTGTAGAAAGGGATAGCAGTGTCCCTGGATGCGAAAGAGGTGGTGTTATTAACAGGATCTGCGCACAAAACCCAATCAGTAAATATCCAGAATATATATATATTTAAACGAGGGAGGCACAGGGTTGGGGGACAAACATCAATGTACATCTTCCAGTGAAATCTGCTAGTAATGGCCAGCCTCTCTGTGAGCGTAGAAGAGGGCGTAAGTAAACTCTCTGTAACTGTCATGCCCAAGAACACCCCCAAAGGATCATCGTCCCTCTGTCCTTGAACCTCTACGCCAATCTCAACCCAATTCTTCCTCTTTCCATCTGCAGTGAGCTCCGTGGGCTCAACCTCGACCTTGACCCCGACAACGCATTCACCCCCATCTCCCCAAATCATTCGCGCCGAGCCATTAGTGGATGGAAGAATGTCGATTTCTGCCACTAGCGGGCGAAACTGTGTCGGCGAGCGCGCATCAGGTCGAATAGGCGGATTAAGCGCAAGAGAGGACCGCAAATATGAGAGCTCTGCAGGGGAAATCAGAGTTGTTGATGTTGGGGGCGCCATTTCAGAACCTTTACTGGAGGTTGAAGTTAGAAACTCAGGCTGTGATCGCCGCCGCCATGACCCCAAATCGGACTGTAAGATTTTGAGCCGCAACACTTAGTTAAAGCCAACCCCGCGACCACCCACTACTTGAATTAACCAACCACAGCTGCCATTCCCATTATGAGTCGGTACGGAGTCCTTGTAATCGGTCCTGCTGGGTGCGGAAAGGTATATAGTACCCTTCTGGGCTTGCCGCAGATCTTATAGGAAAACTAACATTATCGGCAGTCCACCTTCTGTGCTTCACTTATCGCCCATATCAAGAACATCAAGCGGTCATGTATGTTTGCCTTATAAAGCTTCCATGCGCCTAGAAACCAATTCCCTAATACCCGAACGCTTTTCTACAGGTATCTACGTCAACTTGGACCCCGCAGCTGAAGAGTTTGAATACGAACCCGATGTCGACATCAAAGATCTTATATCTCTTGAGGATGTAATGGACGAGATGGGACTTGGTCCCAATGGCGGCTTAATGGCCTGTTTTGAGTATGTCCCCTCCCAAGCTTTCTCTCTCTTTTACAAAAGATTATTTTAACTTATTTTTCCCCCTTCTCTAACCTGCACCGACCATTCCAGATTCCTCATGGACAATCTCGACTGGCTAGAATCCGAGCTCGGTGAAACCGGCGAAGAAAGTCTCACAATATTCGACTGTCCGGGCCAAATAGAACTCTACACGCACGTCCCCATCCTGCCGAACCTGGCCAAGCATCTCACGGGTCACATGTCTTTCAACCTCTGCGCGGCATATCTCCTTGAGTCCACATTCGTCATCGATAAGACAAAGTTCTTTGCTGGGACGCTCAGTGCGATGAGTTGCATGATCATGCTGGAAATTCCTCATATCAACATTCTCTCGAAGATGGACCTTGTGAGGAACCAGGTCAGTAAAAGGGAGCTTAAAAGATTCTTGGACCCAGATCCATCCATCTTGGCCACGGATATTCATGCGGAGACGAACCCAAAGTTTCACAGGTTGAATGAATGTATGCCGATCTTTCTCTTCCCTTAATTTCCCTTAATTTCACTTTAATCAACACGTCACTGACGGGAATAGGCGTGGTGAGCTTGATTGATGACTTCTCAATGGTCCAGTTTCTCCAATTGGAGAGTCAGAATGAAGACAGCGTTCAAGCTACACTCAGCTATATTGACGACTGTCTGGGTTGGTCTGAGGTTCAGGAGCCTCAAATAAAAGATGTTGATCAAGATTGGGAAGAACCAGCGGAAGATTAATTGCAACGGTTGGGGTTTATATAGATTCATGACCCATCACTCGCATATGGATAAATTTGTCACTTGGGAAGGCGTTGCGGTAATAACAGCTGGGGCTAAAGACGATGCTCTTTTAAAAGTCAAAGCTTACTGACATAAACCTCCAGAACCATGCAGCCCTCGCAGTTTAATGTGCAGCAACATAATGGTGTTAAATGTGACCTCTCTGTACTAGTAGTATTCTGTCATAGCAAAATCCCGACAGTTTGGTCTTTGACACCCCTTATAGTTTGTACACAATCGACGTAAACCGGATACCCGAGTCCAAATACAGTCGCATGGCGGTTAGCTGTTCGAAATACAGTGGAAACAGAATTGGCAGGTATCACTCAAGATCACTCCGCGATTCGAGCCGTGCGTCGTCGGAAAAATCTACACCGAACCAATAGTTCATTGCAATGAAAATATGGGGTTGCCGTTTGGATTGTGATATCTTCATTTCTATTCTACCGGAAACCTTAATCTAACTAACACTACATACTAATTAAAGTAGTAAAAGAGAGGGGGCGGCTCATAATCCCTTATATATATATCAAGATGCCTACGGGAGACAAACATTGCTCAATAGGACCAAATCGTTCAGTTATCACCCAATTCGCTGAACTGGCCATAAATCATAATAAACTCGATGCTAGAATTTTAAATGGCCAGTAAATAACGAACATCACGAAGGGAAGAAAAAAAACCAACCAACCATTCGGAATGAGCTGCTTGAGGGCATAGCCAGATCGAACCGTTGATCTGATCGAAAACATCGATATTTAATTTCCTTTCTTGTCTCCGGTCACTCGTCGCTCCCACTCAAGGCTTAGCAATTGTTCAGAATTGTGCAAAGGTAAAAAGATAAGAGGGAAGGGGGAAGTTATTGAGTTTTTCTTTCTCTTTTCTTTTTTCAAAGTTATTCCATGGGTGTAAAATATTCATTTTTCTCTTGTAAAAACTCCCACCATTATTCCATGAAACAAAAACTGAAAGTTCCCGAAACCCGTCTTAGCAACAATTCAACCATAAAGAAAAATGCAGAGAAAAGAAGAAACAAGGAGTACAGAGGGCAATGAAGAAAAGAGAGATCTTTGAAGAACTATACAAACTGATTACCGCCGTGATTGGTAAGATGGCGGGGCGTGGGCAATAGTGTTGTGGATTAGATGATCGGCGATCAAAAACAAGGTGTCAGCTCGAATATGGTATGCGGAGAAATCTGCAGCATCACGAATATACTCCCTAAACCTCTATGCTAGCTACTCTTCTTCTTCGCCCTGCTGGTAGATATGTTTGCCTCTTGTAGCATCTTTTCGCATAGGTTGACCAGATCCCGTAAAACCAACTATAAAATGCCAAATATTAGCCAAGAGTTCAACAAATGTCTGCCGGGGGAGAATAGTGTCAATCGGAATCGTATGTACCTCGTCCGTGTACTCCATCGGGAGTCCTAAACATGCTGCTTTCGCCAATCTTTTTCGCCTTTCCTACCTTCCCCTTTACCCCCTTTTGGGCAAAATTCTGCCATTTTTTCTTGCCATCCTCTAAGACTTTGTTCTGTGCAATTTTCCTTCCGACCTTTGCTGGCTTAGTCGGACCATCAAGCGTTTCGGTCGACTTTCTCTTATTAGCCTCCGCAAGTTCTGCATTTATCGTTGCTGGTTGCGAGATGATAGCGCCGTTAGATGTCGAAATGGGCGTTGTTGACGCGTTGCTTGCGGGTTCGCTCTCGAGTTTGCGTTTTTTATTCGCGTTATTGGCCGGTTTGATGTGTTGAGGGTGAAGCGTCTCCGTGGCATTGTACTGCGTAAATTTGACGATGTAAACGGGATTCTGTTTAGATCCCATCACGGACGTAATCCTGGCTGGATATAGCTGGTTATCACCGCTCGTCCATCGCGCCAGAACGTTATCACCAACTGCATAGATACTACTTCCCGAGCCCGCACCCCCTTCAACAGGAGTTGCAGGCGTGTCCCTTCTGCTATTATTGTTGGTACTGCCGTATGGAGAGGACGGGTAAGCAGACGGCGCGGGGGCTTGTTCTTCGGCGAGTTGCTCGGCAAGGGCATTTACCATCCCCTCCAATTCACCTACAAGGTCGGAGAGTTCCGCATTGTCAGGATCGGCCTTCAGGGCAGCTTGGACAGATTCAAGCTACACGACAAGAGTTAGAGATTTTATTACAAACAATGAAGAGGATGGGGAGAAAGAGACGACTAACCTGGAGTTTATATTCCTTAAGTTCTGTAGCGCTTGATGTCATGATTATGGTGTGGCTGATGTGGGAAAAACTAAGTCTTTTCGAATTTCTTAGACTGATAATTCAGTAGTGAAAGAAAGAGACCGGGATCGCAGTAAGAGGATGCAGGTTCTTCAGGTCTTGCAAGACTGTGATGAGGTTCGAGCTGGTGATGGTGATGGCGATAATAACCGAATCAAGAAAGCTTCTCAAAATGTTATGTTCTTGGCGCTAGGAGGGTAACCGCGCTAATGCCTTTGTTGGCTCAAGTTGTATCACCCATAATTGTCCAGATCTAACCCAACCATGTCAACGCAGCAAGATCTGTAAACGACCTGAAACCGCCCTTCTTATCTCTATTCGAGAAGATTCAACCGATATCGGATCATCCATTACGTTTAGTTAGGTGCGGCCGTGGGATAGCAAAACTGGTGAGGTAGATATCAGATTCTCTAATTTTTGTGGGTGGAAATTACTTCCGGGCGTAGGTAGCGATATATATTGATAGTATATGATTACTCACTTGGCGTATAAAAGTCTCCATAAAGTCACCGAGTCGGTCTTTAAGGCCTTGTAGTTATTTAGAACTATAGGTGGGCTCTAAATAGTCCATAAAGTAGACGATAGCTCATTCATATGCTCTCATGAATGGGCATAGGTACTCGCTTTCCACTGTACGATTGGAATATGCGTTAAACTTCTCCATGGATACATGAGCTACATACTTATGGTAAATACCAACAATTCCTCGGTCGCGGTTTCTAATCTGGGAAACGGTTGCAGTCATCAATGTGCGCACATTTGGCACATCTAAGAGTCACTGTCATCTCTACATGTAGTTAATAAACAGTAAACAGGTTGTCAATAATAACATATCTTATCTATTCAATATTACCGACGGGGTATACTATTATACCGTCGGGGATATTCCTGAGCCGGGGCCATGTCGTGCTTGAGCTAAGAGGAAATGATACTGATCATACATGTAGATTCGGTGAGTCCTTGCATCCGTACGCGTGGGTTGAGTACATAATGGCGAATATAGGATTAGTGATCGTTTTGACAAGTTACTTTCAAGATTTTTGTTGACTAGTAATTTCATACCTTCTACTTCTTGCTAAGAAATAACACTTAAATCGAATCCTTTTGGCTTTTGGCTCCTATACTACTTATCAAGTGTGACACGGTTGTCATGATATATCACTCGTCATGTTAGCCGCTTGGCAATACCCTTTCTTGCTATATCGAGCTTGGTACAATCGATATAAAATTTTCACTGATCATGCCTTCAGCAGAGGTATATACTTTTCAAGCGTACTTATCATAAGACTACATGTAGGCATGTATGTGGTTGAATAAAGTAAAAGTAACAAACCGATCAATGACCTTAAGACACTTATGGCTCTTAAAACCAAAAAGGATTGAGCCATTCAGTTATTGCCAAAAAATATTCATGTAAACCCGATAGGCTCATATCAATGGTTCTGTAGTGTAATGGTTAGCACCCAAGATTCTGATTCTTGTAATCCCGGTTCGACTCCGGGCAGGACCTATCACAAATTGCCCTCATAGATGGGCCTTAAGAGTTGTGGTTGTTCAATCCCTCTGTGTCAATACTCTATTTTTTTTTTCTGCGCTAGAGGGAGGGCGAGGGATATCTAGTAGGCGGAGGCCATATGCGCATGGCTGTTGGAATTCTGAAGCCAAGAACATATTCCACTAGGAGCGCCACAAGATTTTCCCCTCCCCATAACACTTCATTTGATATATATCTGATCTATGAGTGAATTCTACTAGGCTAGTTGCCAGTAGAGCAGGTACGGAAAAATAGTACGGGATATACTTCCCTAATAGGGAATGTATATGTACTCTACCGGGGGGTTGGATGCGTAAGAACTTATTTTGGGCGAACCGAGGAATTCCCCCAAAACGCATCTGCGTACATGCTAGTATCTTCGAAAGTAGAGTATGTGCTTTGCTCGAGGTATGGCTAAGCTCCGCTTATATGCACTGCGTCGAATAAATCTCCTGGGGGTAACCGAGTCGTGTTCGTACTATGCCTCCATGCGAGGGGGTGGTGATAGTTGTACATGAACGCAGTCTTAGGGTTTTGTGGTAAAGACTCCACGTATTATAAGACTGATTTTGCAGTGACGCAAGGTATAAGGGAAAAATTGGCTTAATTAGCCACAGGGATATCGTTTGACGACTTCATCGCTTCGATGTGCGTTTATCTTTTGCCTTGTATATCAATATATCCACTTCATGACATGAGTACATGTAGTTGCACTGTGAATAAGTATTGTAGGTATGTGCTGCGGGCTTATCTTCTCCTTCCAGGATCGGCCCGGCGGCCTTAGCCTTAATTTGCGCCGCTTCTCGATCACCAAAGACATCGTTTGGGCTTAGCACGATCGAAGGAACGCCGACCTCCCTAGATAGCCGACCACCAAAAACAGGCAATTGGGAATCTGGTGGAAATAACTGAAGAGATCAAGTCGGCTCCAGGGTACATCCCTATGATCCCTAGAAAGATGCTACGGCTGTTGGATTTTGAACATTCGAAATGGAAGGCCTCGAATAACCTGAAGATTTCCCCGTTACTTAGTAAACAGTAGGTCGGCGCGAGAATGGGCTGTCTTCTCAGGGCAAGAAGTAAACCGTACTTAAAAGCAGACATGCATCTCAAGCATGTATAGGCTGCTTGTAGGAGTAGATAGCTTCCATGATCCGGTGCTTTCTTGTTCTCAATTTAATTGTCGTTGAACCATTGATAGAACTTTATGTGAGACTACTGCAAGAGGAAACTGGGGTTGAAACAACTGAAGGCGCTCCTTGCCATGGCTCACACAGGTTGCTTCCAGCACAGACACTGGCTAATGCGTCTACCTGTATGTAAAGTAAGCAGCATGAAAAATCAGTGGAAAGTTCCGAGATGTCGAAAACAGTACTGTCGAAGATACCAAATAAGATGGAGATAACAAGCTGGAATCTGCAGCGCACATGAAGAGAGCTTGGTTCTTCGCCAAAAGTGCCAAAAAGAAGTTTTCTGGAAAATGACTGTTTTATGCATAGATCTGGGAGGCAGAATTGCGGGACCTGTTCCAAACTTCAGTGTGTTATGACGTTTCAAAATTCCGACTCTGCATAAACCAAGAACTTGCATAAGTACCGAGTTTTGGTGGTATGTGCAGACCCAGCCCCGGAAACGTCTTTCAATTAAATAGAGGGTTTTCAGGCCTGTGAATAGGGAAGAAGCTCTTAAATCCGTTAGAGTGATCCACCAATGAGACAACATCGACCGTCTCATCCTTGCAGATGCGTACCCCACCACACCCCTGGGCATGATGAATTTGTAAGCCCTCGGGGAGTAGGAGGACAAAGAAGTGGATAGAAAGGTGAAGAGGTACATAGAGTAGATTTTCCGCCCTCTCAGAGGAGGGAAAGGAAAGCATTGGTATTTGAGCTGCGCCTGATTCTGTGTTGTGATTCTGGAAGTTTGTACTTGAGCCGAGTTTTTGAATTGTAGATACTTACAATACCCTAACTCTACAGACGCATGCACGGCAATATAGCGTAGACGTAGGTAGTACTGTATGTAGTATCTGTGCACTTGCTCCCTCACCCACACAGGCACAATTGGATGTGAAGGACATGTACTCCCCCATCAACGCTCGACTTGCTCCTTGGTGTTCTTAAATATTAGTTTTCCCACAACAAGCAAAAAAAGGGCTGTTGTTTCTTCAGTTACAGTAACACTACTGCCTGCAGCTTTCGAGTAGTGTGTCCCATTAAGTTAGCAGGAATCAGCAGCCCACATCTGCATAGGATTGGACCCCCCCATCAGGTTCCGTCTACATCCGCCGTCGCCGCTCTCTTCGCCGTCTTCTACCAAGGCGGCCTAGATACAATATTGTTAGAATACGCTCACCTCATACTGCAAGAAGGTATTCCCCACCACCACCAAACCTTCGTATCCTTCCAGACCTCTTCCAGGCCTTTTCTACTCTTGCATCTCGCAGTGATCACTTACACCGTAGATCGCCCCATCACCCGTTTTCAGTACAGAAACACACACTTTCCCCTCTCTCTCCAAATCTTCTTTCCTTCCGACCCACTGATTCTTCTGCCCATTCACTCACTAACCGCCACCCCTACCCATCACATACCCTCCTCCATCTCCATCTCTCTCTCGCCTCACATATCTTCCTTCTTGGTCACCAAAGCCTAAGCGCTTTTATTGCTAGCCCCGAGCCCTTGTCCTACGTCTTGACCTTATTGCATACCCATTCACCCGTCCATAACTTCCTAGACTTACTCATTTCTTGCCTCGACCAACTCTTCTTACATAGCCCAATTTCGGTCCATCACCAAGCACTCGAGACAATCGTCGACAACAACGTGAAGCTACTCGAGACCTCGTAGAGGACACAAAAATTCGATTGTTTCTCTATCTCCAGCGCACTAACTAGTTGTTTTTCGCGCCTATATCCTTCGCAGCACTTGCTGTGATTGTCGGACTACAACCCGCCCGGCCTCTGCCGTACATTTCATTCGTCTCAACACATTGAGTTGATCCGTCTTGCAAATATTTAAATATTCCCCATAGCAGAAACCTCATCTCAAACTACTTGACGAGAGGATATGACCACAACATCATCAGACGGCCTCTACCTCGATCCCGATCAACAGGATCTCCTGCTTCGCGCCCTTCAATCAAACTCTGACTCACGCTTGTTCACAAGTCCTTCTGTTAACCAGGTCACCCAGCCCCTAAAGCACAATTCACAAAACAGTACCCCAGATTCAATGGGCTCACAATATGGAAATGGCACTCCGCCACCAACAGCTGCCCTAAACGGTAGCTTTGCAGATGGCACCCCACTGATGGGTGGGGACCTAGATTATCCTGATTGGGACGCTGATGGGCCTTGGGACTTCGAAACAGGTCTTGATGGCGTGGATAACAGTATGAACGGAACTTCTTATTCGGATACCCCAGGCTCCATGTCACAGGACAATGACAAAAGGAAAAGCCCACCGTCAAATGACGATGGCAGCCCGAGCTCTGATCCACACGATGCAGAGCCAAAGAGGAGAGGTGGGTTCATCCCTTCTTCCTGCTTACACAAAAATCCATCTTTCTATATTATACAAATTGCATTTCTTAAATATATATATATACCAAATTTACCCAACTGTTTCCTGTTCACAATTGCATCGCTCTTCACAAATTTGCTTTATTTCTCAGTGATACTTCATTTTCTTTTTCCTACCAGAAGGCTTGCCCGTCGGATAATTTTTATTCGGCCGAGAACCACGAGCGTCTAAATAGTTCATAAGATGGGTGTTGAGCAACTCAACTAACCGTCGAATTTATTGCTAGAATCAGATGGAACAACTGCCAAAAGGCCTGGACGCAAGCCTCTTACGTCAGAGCCTACGTCGAAACGCAAGGCGCAGAATCGAGCCGCTCAAAGGGCTTTCCGGGAGCGTAAGGAGAAGCATTTGAAGGATCTCGAACAGAAAGTGACGGATTTGGAGAAGGCATCAGAGTCTGCAAACCATGAGAATAGCCTTCTTCGAGCTCAAGTGGATAGACTACAGGTTGAATTAAAGGATTATCGGCGACGATTACATCAAGCACAAAAGACACCAACCTTAGGTGCCCCAGGTTTGTTTGGAAAAAGCGCAAGTACAGGTGGCTTCCAGTTTGAATTTCCTATGTTTGGTGGTGGTATCGGTTCTCCTTTTGGGCGCCAGGGTAGCGGAGATGGCGTGAAAGTGGGGCCCGGTACTTTACTCGAAAGGATGAGTGCGGGTGCCAGTACTTCTCCTAAGAGCGAAGATAAGAACAAATTAACCAATGCGATAAACAATGACATTTTCACATGTGAGTTGCCACTTTTTTCTCGGAGCCTAGTGCATTTTTCATATACATATTCTCAGATTTGTTATTGACGGCCCAACTAATAAAGGCGCGATAATAGATTATGGTCTGAGCAATGATAGTAGTGGAGGCTCTGCGAGTGTACAGAACACACCTCGTCTGAACGGTGGTAGTAGGGATTTTACCTCATCGCCTTCGGCGTCATCAGTATCACAGCATGGGCCTGGTTCATCTTGTGGAACAAGCCCTGAACCAATGAATTTGAATGGATCCAATGATCAGCAAAATAATTCAACCGAGGACGGTACGATATCAATCGCTCCAAACGGGGACCGCTATATCTGCAAGAGTGGACCTTTAGACGGCGAAACTGAAACTACCTTCTGCGAGAAACTAGGAATGGCATGCGGAAACCCTCACAACCCTATCCCGAAGGCGGCCCAGCTCAACAACTCTAGCGCACCCACACCAAACTCACTGGATTGGTTAACACAACAGAACGGCGGCGGTTTCGATCCGGTACTATTCAACGACTACCGAGACCCCATTAATGAAATCAATGCCGGGATCAACATGAGCTTCTTCGAGGACGCGTTCCCGATGACTACCAGCTTCGAAGGTATCGAGTCACCGTTCGCCCTGAAGAAGGATCTGGTAGCGGAGGCCGACCGTGCCGAAAATGGAGACAATGACGACGATGATGAGGATGAGGTCGTCCCTGCCGAAGATCCAAAGAAGATGTTGAGTTGCAACAAAATATGGTATGTTCCTCATTTCCCCCTCAAAAAAACCGTCGTTGTTAGCTAAGACTTACTCAAAGGGACGACGGTAGGGACCACATCAGCGCTCACCCGAAATTTGCCAACGGGGAGTTAGATATGGATACCTTATGTTCTGAGCTCAGGAACAAGGCAAAGTGTTCGGAAACTGGGGTCGTAGTGGCAGAAAGCGATGTTCGGGACGTCCTGACGAAAGTCGGGGTCCAATCGATAGAGTTTCATTGAGCCTGAATTTGATTCTGGGTAGGTATTTTTGGTCGTTTGGGAGTGGGTTTTATTTTCTATCTATTTAACGGTTCTTTTTTTCTTTCTTTTTTTCTCTGCATCACTCCGGAAATGTGATTGAAGTGGACAAATTATTGGGAGTGAAGGATTAATAGAGGGATCGGTTTGTCCTTATGAAATGACAACATCTAATCCCTTATTTTCTTTCAACTGCGCGTTTTCCATTTGTTAGGAGTTTTATTTTGAGTGGTTCTTTTTCTGTTGGATATTGATATTTTTGGAGGGAAAGTTATACATGAGCACATAGTTGTCATGAATCTTTCCCGCGAGGGTGGGAACGTTGCATGTATATCAATCGCATGGCGTTCAGTTTATGCTTTTCTATACTTCCTTTATCACACATTCTCTCTTTTTTATTTCGTGCGGGGGAATCTTTTGGGATCTGATATTTAACGCATTTATGTATTGATTTATGTGCTTTCTTGTGCTTCTTGTATGGGGTGTTTCTTGTATGTGGATTATGCGCATTGATTTTTGTCACCTCTGTCTTTTTTTTTTATGTGCGTGAGGGCTCCAATTGGATATGATTCATGGGCTTGGGTATATATAAACAAGAAAAAGAATGAAACTGAAACGGGGTTGCTTTACCTTTTTGCCTTTGTCGACCCCCAACCAACAGGACCTATCTAGGTCACGGATGATCTGAAACCGTTACTTTTATATATACTATTATCTCCGTATACCACTCCTCCCAACGAATGTTGCACTCTTCATCCGTCCCCTGTTGCTGCTCGGTCCGTTGGTACCAATATACATACCTGTCATGCATATACACATCCATAGAGCAAGCACTCTAGAGTACTCGTTTACCACGAAAAGAACCAGAAAATGCAAGTGACGGAGACAGGGATAGTTTGTATGAGAGATCACCGCCACTCCATACAAATAATCCTTGCCCTGAGCAACTGCATTTCCTGGTTCTTTTCGTGGTAAACAAGTACACACTGTGAATGAAACATCTTCAACACCCCACTCCCCCCCACTCTGGAGGCGTTGGATCTTGATTGATCCAAACATTTGCAGCGCCGATCCAGAGCGGTAATAGACGGTAATTAAGCTGCCAATGTACCTACTCTACCCGATACATGTGCAAAAAAACAAAAAAAGGTCGGGATATTTACTTTAAGACTCCCCGGGGTTGTGGGGGGGGGGGGGGGGGATGTACCCAGGGGTACCCAAAGGTGATGCAACGGCTTGGAAATATAGGGTGAGGTCTTAGTGAATTCACAACCATGTTACATGTAATTTCTTTCATTTTGATGTGATTGATGAATTCTTCATAATATCTTTACTTTACATACTATATATCGCTACTTCGTTAAAGTCAAAGTTGGGTTGCATGTGGTTGAAATCGTGAGTAGTAAATTGAGTCGTTGCATCACTTTCCGGCACCCCTGGGTATATGTAGGTACGGATCGATCGATCGAGTGATGCGGTATGACCTCCGAGCAAGCATGTAAGCTGTTTTCCGCGTAGAATAGAGTATGGTCAAGGCGCGGGGGACAGACTCGTGGTGAGTGGGATGCATGCAGTAGCAGTATGTAGAGTTAGACGAGCATCCTAGGAGGATCAAGGACGTGCTGTATCTGCCCGATGATGTATTGACGGGGAATGGGTTAGTGAGCGATGGGTTGGGAAAGGGAGCTAGGTGAGAACATAGTACTTTACTTAGGCAAGTAGAGTAGGTGTCTCCAAAGCAAAAGCCGCCTATCTGCCAGTGTGTATGCCGCTGCCTGCCTGTATCCCATATTCTCATCCGTCCCCGAGCCATCAGAACGCCCACAGAACACAGGACGAGTGATACAACATGATTGTCTCTCTGCTCTTTGAAGAACCCCCTCTAGTGCGGAATCTACCGCACTCAAGTATACTAACACTACACTACCCTACTAAACTAACCTCTCTGCATAGCCCGCTCGCTGCACGTTACGTCGCTACCAGCCAGCCAGCCAGCTTTCTAACTCTTCGCACATATGGCTTGCAGATAAATACAACCTGCTAATACTCTTATCTACAGACTCACCTCGCTCTTCGTGATAATGATATTACTATGACGGCAGGCTCTCTAGGATTCCAGTAGCAGCAGCAGCAGCAGCAGCAGTCTAGCGTCTAGGTACATACATACATGCACTCTACATACATGTACCTACTCCAGCCCCCTCTTCCCTCGGGCTCCAACAGTAGCTCAGTACCCGCCTTCAACCACAAACGCTCACTCGTACCACTCGTACCACCACCCACCTACCACCAATATACTCTACCCCCCGGGGAAACGGGAGGGAGCAAAATCGCACAGCTTTCACCCGGAACCGAGAAATCAAATCTACATGTAGCCCTCATTCCCCCTCCCCCTCCACGCCCCCAGTTTCCCCTCGAAAAGGAAAAAAAAGAAAAGAAAAAAAAAGAGAGGGCGTGGTAATATATATGTTTCCTCCCCCAGGTTATGTATGTGCCGCAAACTCAAAAGTTTAAAGTACTCGTATCTTCCTGACGTTTTTGAACTGGGCCACTATTGCATACACCAAAAACCATCAGCTTGGCGCATTTTTGTATGGTATGCAATATTGGTCGCGTCCACAAACGTCAGGAAAATACGAGTACAGTCGTCTCTGGGTCAACGACGAAACCGGTCCGATGGCGAATAGGCCAATCGAAGCCAACAAAATCGCTCCGACCCTTTTGCTTTGACTGACTATCAGCCCAAAAAGTAGTCATTCGTCATCGGGCCGGTTTCGTCGTTGACCTAGAGACGAGTGTACATGGTTTGGGGCGCGTTCGTCAGCGGTTAGAGAGAGAAACTGGAGCGGGCCAATCAGTGAGCTAGTAGAAACACGGTTATTGCAAGGATGGGGTGGGATGGCTGTTTTAGTTAGTGATAGGGCAATTGTTCAGACTCAGACCTCAGGACCAACATAAGGGATGCATGACCCGCAACCAGATATGAAGAATCCGAGGAAGGCGAGGAATACGAGAAAGTTGAGAAGCACAACTGTCTACCACCGCGGTGGACATCTGGAAATTCGATATGGCGCGGCGCATCTAACCCGACGACAATGTTGTACACACAACGGCAGAACCTAAAAAAGTTGTTCCACTTTATTCAGATATGAATATGATAGAAACGAAAAAAGTTTTGATGAGAGCCCGATGCGGGGGTCGAACCCGCGACATTGAGGTATGCTTTGCCGGATTTAACCCCGTAAAAGCCACACGCTCTACCACTGAGCTAACCGGGCTGTGGTATTCAATGCAACCTAGCACATACGAGTACAACACATAAAAAGCCGCCAAGCGTGAATTCAACTTCTAAACATTATTGACGTCGTTTCTTCTAACATCCAACCCACTTACAGATTTTTTTTGACTCCACAGCTAATCGAGAGAGAAAAAAACGTATAGAAAAACAGCAAGGAAAATCGTAATTACACCAAGAAAATAGATACTAGAAAAAAAGTAGCGGAGGTTTTCCCCCTCCGTGAAAGAAAAAAAGTCGTGAAAGGATGAGGGGTGAGGTCGCAAGATTAAGAAAATCGTAAAAACGGAAGAAAAAAAAAGAGAAGTAGAAAGAAAAAAAAAGCTATACTTCGCTCCCGAAATGTGAAGTAAAAAGGGAAAATAGCATCAATCCCAGCACGAACATTACGAAGAAAATAAACCGGAAAATCTTTAGTTTTCCAACCTCACGGAGACGAAGAACCCCTGGTTCTCCTCTCAAGCTCCCTTTGTGGGCCTGGCTTCAATCTATACTGTCTCGACGATCTCCAATCTTGGGACGGCTGTCGCCGTTCGCCGTTCGAGCGGAAGGTTTTCGATCGATTTGAGGACTCTGTAAGAACCACCCCCAACGTTTACCATGAGAACTTGATCAGCACAACATGACGCCGTAAGAAAAACATTCCAAACATACCCCGCTTCGCATCTCTGCACGCATGAGGAGTAGGGGAGGGACGGGGGGGTACACTAATCGCAAAAAAGGCACAATAAATGGGGCGCCGAATGATATACACACCTGTTAGTTTCCCTCCTGAGGTCCTCATTCTCGTTTTCGAGTTCGTTGAGTTGCGCGCGGAGCCCGGTTATCTATAAACCTTTAGCCTCAATTCTCTCTCAAGATTCCCGACAAAGACTCACATCAGCGGGAGAGTGGGTGGCTGACAATTCCTGTAACAGAGATATGCTTAACTTCCATATATTCTTCGGCGCTATCCTCGGCGCCCTCTTCGTCTTCCATCAGATCGGGTTCATCTTCTGTGCTCACCTCTTCCTTCGCTTTCAATGCAAGTTCCTTCTCGGCGAGTTCGGCTTCAAGAACGCTGCGCCTGGCGGCAGCTTCCTTGGTGATGTTGACAATGGCGGCCTCCTTCTCACTTACAAGAGCTTCGGCAAGGGCCAGTTTCTCCTTCAATGACATCTCAAGTTCCTCGGCCTTTTCAAGAGCAGCTGCCTTCTCCTGTCCCTCCTTGAGAGCCTTTGCAAGAGCGGCTTCCTTGTCCTCTGCGGCGCTTGCAAGCTTCTCGTTGAAGGTCTGGAGGTCGCCTTTAAGCTCGACATTCTGCTTAGTAGCTGTTTCAAGGGCGAGATCAAGTTCTGCGTTATGCCTAGTAACACTCTCCAGAGCGGTCTCCTTCTCCTGAACAATAGCCTGGAGGGAAACCATTTCCTTAGCAACATCAGCCAAAGCAGTTTCGAGCTCAGTCTTTGTTGACTCAAGCTTCTTCTCAACGGCCTCAAGAGCGGCAACTGAATCTAGTTTAGCAGCCTCAATCGCAGCCTCCTTTTCAGCATTAGCAGCGTTAACAGCGCCCTCCTTCTCGGCCTTAAGAGCCTCCAACTCCTTCTCAATGGCAGCAATAACCGCCTCCTTCCCTTCAAGCTCCTTGACAGCTTGAGCAAATGCCGCTTCCTTCTCTTTCTTGGCGTTCTCGAGCTCCTGGAGACTTGAACCGGCATCTTTGTTTCCTGCCTCGGCGGCAGCAAGCTTCTCCTTCAAACTGCTTACCCTAGACTCAAGGTCGGTGATTTGTGCAGTGTAGATTTGCTCAAGAGTTGTGGCATCATTGTTGGCGCGCTCGTGCATCTCTTCGATCTGCTTCTTGAACGATTCGACATCAGCAGCGGACCTCTCAGTAAGCTCCTTGAGTTGAGACTGCAAGTCATCGGCATTGGCTTGGAGAGCCTCCTTGTCAGCCTTAAATGCGTCCATATCCTCCTGGATGCTGGCGAGCTGTTTGGCGAGTTCCTCTTTATCGGCCTTTGACTTCTCGAGGTCCTCTTCCAGGGCCACCTTCGCTGTGATCTGGGAGTCGAGAGATTCCTTAAGCTTCTGGATTTGCTCCACAGATTCTCCCTTCTCCTCGGCAAACTCAGCCTTGAGCTTCTCGAGATCATCCTGAGCCGGCGCGGCCTCGAGAGCAGTCTGGAGCTCTGACTTTGCCTTCTCCAAATCAGCAATCTCCCCCTCAAGGTGGGCGACAACTTCGGCGTGGCTCTCCTCGAGTTGTATAAGTGACTCCTCTTCGGATTCCTTGAGCTCCTCCGTAAGCCTCTCGATCTCGGTCTTGTTCTCCGCAATCATAGTCTCCAACTCGGTCTGGTGGTCCTCGGTCGCGGCTGCGTGTTCCTTGACTAGTTCATCATACTTGGCATTAAGAGTAGCATATTTCTCCTCACTCCCAGCAGCGTACGACTTCTCAAGAGTGTCGATTTCAGTTGCATGCTCGGCGTTAAGAGATTCAATAGTAGCGACATGCTTCTCTTGGAGCTCGGAGATTTCCTGTAATGATCGTAAACAATCCTGCCCAGAAAACGTAGAGAAACAACCGAGATCCATACCGCGGCCTTTGCAGCCAGGTTCTCGACGTTCTTTTCAAGATCGGTCTTGAACTTTGCGAGCTGTTCTTCCTTGTCCTGCGGGGGCTGTCAGCATCTAATAAATATCATACGTTACTATATTAAGAGAACAAACCGTGAGGTCGCTGTTCAATGTGTCGAGAGTCTTCTTCAAGATATTGGACTCAGCTTGGCCCCTCTCGATTTCCGCCTCGAGGCGTTGGCTGGCCTCCTGCTTAACTGTCTCGACGGTTGCCAACAACTGTTCGGTTTCCTTCTGAGACGCCTCAAGCTTGACTGTAAGCGCGTTGATTTGCTCTTCATGAACGCTCTTGAGCTGCTCAATCTTGCTCTGCCACTCCTTATCTTTCTCGTCTGCGGACCCGGTAATCTGGTTCTGGAGCTCCACAAGCTTCTCCTCATACTCTTCCATCAGGTTCTCGCTCTCCTTCTTGACGATTTCGACCTTCTCTGCTGCTTCTGCCTGAGCAGCCTCGATTGCTGCAGCGGACTCCTTCTGGGCAATCTCGATCTTCTCGAGAAGCTCCTTTTCATTCTTCTCAGCAGTCTCAATGGCTTCGGCGGATTGCTTTTGAGCAGCCTCGACCTTTTCCAGGAGTTCCTTTTCGGTCTGCTGGGCGGCCTCAATGGCTTCAGCAGACTCCTGCTGAGCGGCTTCAATCTGCTCCAGAAGCTCCTGCTCCCTGGCCTCAGCGGCAGTCTTGGCCTCAGAAAGCTGGGCAGCGAGCGCGCCGGAACCGGCTTCAAGCTGTGCCTGATGCTCCTTAGTCAGAGCCTCGATCTTGGCGTTCGCCTCCTCGGCAATCTTCTCAGCCTTAGCGTGAGCTTCCTTGATGCGGGCTTCATGTTGCTCGTTGAGCTCTTTGATCTTTTCCTGCAACTCGGTCGCCTTGTCGCTTGCAAGCTTCTCGATTTCGCCCTGAAGAGCCTTGACGACGCTGTGGAGGCCATCAACCTCACGCTCACGCGCCTCGAGTGCCTCGTTAGCCTTCTCCTGAGCCTGCATGAAGGCATCGTCTGATTCCTCGAGGCTCTTCTTCAGAGCCGCGAGTTCCTCATTGTGCTTTCTCATGATGCTCTCGGAGTCTGCCGCGCCCTGTGCGGAGGCGGCTTTCTCGGCTGCAAGCGCAATGGTAAGAGCCTCAAGAGCTTTGGTGTGGGCTTCCTTCTGGGCATCAAGTGCTTGCTGAAGATCACCACTTTCGGAGGCGGCCTTTGATTTTACAGATTCAACGGCCTGTAGCGACCATGTTAGTAGCAATTCATTCTACGCTCTACTTTTGATATCTTACCTCTTCGACCTGCTTGGTGAGTTTTGTAACCTCCTCAGCATGCTCGCTCTTCAAGCCTTCAAGGGTCTTTTCAAGACCGCCGATCTTCTGAAGAAGCTCGGTCTCTTTGACCTCAAACTTGTGATGCAGGGATTGGATCTCCTCCTTGTGCTTGACACCAATGGCCTCGGAGGCATTCTTGACAGTGTCAGCCTCCAATTGCATCGCCGACGCGAGCTTGGCATTGTTTTCCTGTGCAGTGGTGCTCTCTGCCCTAAGCTGTGCAATCTGCAGGAATCGTCAGAACCGCGATATATCATTATTATGCCAATCATGTGAAACCATACCGTCTCCTCAAGGTTTGCAATCCTCGCGCGCAACTCATCCACCTCCTCAAGAGCCTTAGTCAGCTTCTCCGTCGCCGCATCCAGCTCCACAAGGGCAGCTGCAGCTTCGGCAGTCTTCTCGGGTGATACAGCCTCGCTCTCCTCCTTTGCCTTGACAAGCTCCTCAACAATGCTCCTGTTCTGCTCCTCCAGCTCGGCAACCTTTGCCCGGAGCGTCTCGAGCTCCTTCTCCTTTTCAGCCAATGCCGTGGAGCTAAGACCCCCGGAACTTGGTCTCGCCCGCAGGTTAGCAGCGCCGGAAACAAGCTTTCCGGCGATTGTACCGGCAGTGGCCGACTTCCTTACCGAAGGTGGTCTTGCACCGGCCGAGCTCTCGGGTCTGCCATTTGCACTGGGCGGCCTGGGGCTGGTCGCGGCCTCGCGGAGACTGCTGACTGAGCTGCGGCCAGTGATACTGGGGGTGCTGAGTGATCCGCGGGACCTGTGTCCGCTCAGCCCAGCAGGGAGGACAGCCGGCTTCCTAGTTCCGGAAAGGCTCGAGCCTCTCCGCTCAGGACTTGTCGGCCCGCCGCTGCTGGAGGTGCTTCTCCTCTCAGGTGTTGCGGGGGTCGTGGGAGTCCTTCTCACGGTTGGGGTTGTCTTTGTTCCTGTAGCTGGTGCCGGTGCTCCGCCGGCTGCCGAGGGGACCCTCTTGGACCCTGGCAGAGCCCCTACGGTGCTTGACGAGCTGGTGGGTCTGGTAGGCTTCCCGAGGCCGTTTGTGGTGGTGCCGGTTGCAGAGCGGCGTACGGTGCCTGTGGCGGCGAGGCTTGCTGCGGCCGTGGTTGCGGGGGATGGGCGTTTGGCGGCGCCGAGGAGACCGGGCTTTTTGGGGGCGAGGGTCTCTTCGCGGTGGGTTTCTTTCACGGGGTCGTTGGCGGTGCCCGGGGGAGAGGGGTCAGCCATGGTGGGTTAGGTGTGTAGGATGGGTGATGGGGTGCGATTGAAGGTTTTGGTGTTCTGCGGGAAATGGTTGTTTGAGTTAGTATATCTGATTGATTGACTGACTACGATACTGATTGTCTGATGCGTTCACGAGGGGCCCCGATGCTGCCAGGGCGTGAGGGGAAATATGAGGAAGAGGGAGAGGGAGAGGGAAAGTGTGAGTGGGAAAAGAGAGAGAGTGATGGCTTTGTTCTCGGGACTCTTTTTAAATACAGCCAGCAGCAGAAGCAGCAAGAGCAACAACAGCGCGGGGGTGAAAAAGGGAGGGCGAGGAACAGAAGGGAGTTGTGGTGGGGAGGATTTTAAAGTGACCCTGGACTGGGAGCAGAAGGACAGGGGGGAAAGCGCAAGGATGGATGAGCAGGGGGGAGGAAACCTACAACCTGTGCAGCAACAGCTACTAGTAAGAGATAGCTAACAGGGGGAATGCACGTGTGGAAATATGTAGACCGTGGACGTAGAGTAAAAATATATATCAGCCGCTGGTGCTGATGTTGGTGATGAGGCTGTTGATGATGGGATGATTGTGAATTCGTAACGAGTAATCAATCGTGCTCTTCTTCTTCGTCTTCGCCTCGTAGATGGTGCGTTAAATGGTATGGGGGGGGGGGGGGGTATATCGCTTTCTGCGTGGTCGTTTTATCCAAACCAAACGTTTTTCGTTGAAATTTGTCTCTCTCACCTTCACAATCCCAATCCAGAAAGGCAAGGCACCACTTACGTCGACAATCAACGCAATGCAGTGGGTAAAGAGGGAAAGAAAAGGAAAGGGAAGAAAGAAAGAAAGAAAAAATGATTAAAATACGAACCACAACAACCTCGACTAGCTCGGGAGAATGTGTATGGAAAAGAAAAAAGGGATGATGATTTGAAAGGGGAGAGAGGATAGAGGAGAAGGGAGAGAAGAGGTAGGTCAGTGAAGAATAAGAAGAGAGAGAAAGAGAAGAGGACACACAGGAAAAAAAGAAGAAGGAGGGAGAAGGAAGAAAAAAGAAAAAAAAGGGAGACCCTATTGTAAAGGAGAACGGTGCACCACCCGAACAGGTTGTTGTCTCTCGTCTGTCTTTTTTTCCTGTGAACCTTTCTTAGACCAACAGCGTTCGTCCCGCAGCAGCAGAAGCAGAAGCAGCCTTGTGCCGTGTCTGCAGCCGAGTGTATGGGGAATAGGGAATAGGGAATGGATGATGGGGGGGGGAGGGGAGGGGAGGCAGGGAAGGAGAGGTGTCTGAGATCTCTACTATTCGTGCTCTATTCTGGGTATGGCGGGTTATATTCAATTGTTCGTTCTCCGTGATCTTTTTGATCGTCTCTATTATTGTCGCCCTACCAGTCATGATCAGTGTACGTACTGTCTGGCTGGCTGGCTGCGTGTGTGGCATGCGCAGACAGATATGTAGGTACATGTAATATGTAGCAGTATCATACTCTACGTAGGGCAGCATCACCCAGCAAATAACTGCTAGAGTAAACTCCTTTCCAGCCCTCTTCTCAATCCCGAATATCTCTCTCTCCTTCCTCTTCCTGGTGGATGGATCTCTCCAGCCCAGTCAGTTTCTATTCTAGCCGTCCTACCAGCTTCTCTGCTACTGCTAGGTTAGTAGCTATGGCAGTTTTACTACCAACCACAGACAGCTAGATACTATCTACTACTACTCTACTCCCCCCATAGCTCGAGCAGAGCAGCAGAGCCCTACCACTCAACTCACACACTCGATCTCTGCTCACACTTCCCCTACTTCTTCCTTACCCTCACCTGCATATGCCTAACGCCATGCCATGCCCGTCAGCCCAACCAAGTTAGTGCAAGTGTCCTCCAGTAGACTCAGAGACTCTACAAAGTCTCATCTGCAAACCAACCCCCATCTGCATCGACCATGCCCACCCCCGAATCACAGAACCACACTCGCCGGCGAACCGATTCCCGTATTCTCGATTCGTGAAAAGCTACCTACTAGTAGGTACCCTCCCCTCCAGTCGGCACAACATCGTTCCCCGGGAAAGAAACAAAAAAAAAAAAAAAAGAACATATTTTTAATTGTAGACAGCTCATCGAGGGCCATACCGATACCGATGGGAGGGTGGGTGCTAAAACCCTACTGGACAAAACACAATGTATCGTGACGAAGGGAAAAAAAAGGCTACCTATCAAAAAGTTCTACACACATGAACATACATGTAGCTGTTAGGCAGTAGAGTAAGGTAATGAGCGGGTATGCAGCTCCCACCACAATAAGACTGTTTGTCTTCTAATTCTGTTCAGTCATGTCTTTTTTTTCTTCCATTTGCCATTTCTCCCTTTCTCCCTTTCTCCCTTTCTCCATTTCTCCATTTCTCCCAATTCTTCCTCCCTCTCTTCCCACCGCCCCACCACCACTTCCCTCCACCTCCCCGGAAGCCTGAAAATACCCTCCCCGGGCCCGCGGGCTTCCACTCCACCCCACCTCTTTGGCGGCGCGGCGGCCTTGACAGAACTGACAGACTGACCCGCATATGTACGCATGTATGTAAATGTATATGTGGGCAAAGAGGAAATCCCGCCTAATTTCTCGTCTATCGTATCGTGCCTAGAGTACCTACCTACATACATGGAGCGGGATGGGATGCACATGTCCTCCCCCCTCCCGCCCCCCTTATCCTGCGGGGACTCGAGTGCGGGTGGGTAGGCAAAAGTACATGTAGGTACGGAATGAGGATGCCTGCATGATGATGGTTGTGATGATGATGACGATAAGGGATGGGATGGGGCCATGAGCATATCGTGAAACCAAACAAAACGGCGACAATCAGTGATGCCCAAAGCAGAAGGGATAAGAAGGAGTGGTATCAAAAGGAGATGTGGGTGCCGGATAAGGGCCCCATCCCTCCCCATATCATCCCCATACATACCCCAACAATTAATCGCAATCACGATGGCACAATCACGAGATGGCAAGATATGATGATAGACACGGCCACGAGATAACGATAAACAAGCACAAGCGCAGCACAGCACAGCACGGGCAGAAGAAAAAAGCAAAAACAAGAACAAAGCTGACGATCCATGTTTCGAGTGGTGATAACATATATTCAGAGCTAGGTATTACTTTCTAACAAAAACCAAGAAAACTAACTACTGCTACTGCTGACTGACTGACTGACTGAATGACTGACTGACAGCTTGACCCAACAACTAAAACAGTAAGTAAAGTACGCCATGTTAATAATAATGATGATGATGACCTTCTCGTAACGCCGTTAATACACCACATGATACCGTTATTATCACATTTCCCACAACGCGATCTCTCAATCTCAAACTCATTCACTCATTATTCTCACCCTTCACCACACTCCCCTTCCTCCCCAAACTCAGATCGCCCGTCTCCGCAACTCTGACCCCACCAGTCCCCAAACTGCCCCTCCTCTTCTCCGCCTCCTCCCCATCCAGGCTCGCCGCCAACCTACTATCCGGCGACGACGTCCGTTTGGGCCCCAAGTTCGCCTCCGTCACTGGCGGCGGCGGCACAGCCTCCGCACCACCTTCACCGCCAAGCTTCCACGGCGCGACGGTGTCCTCCCCACTCAGCTGCCTCGGCGGCGGGGGGTGGTGCGCGGCGCTCATACCGGCCGATGTGGGGTACAGCGGGACCTGGGGTGCGGCCCAGGGCGCAGTGGTGAGCGGCTGTTCGCCGGGTTTCGTGGTCATGACGTTGTCGGGCGCTGGTGGTTTCGCCCAGGGTGCTCTTGTGGACGGGGTGCTGCTGCTGGTGGTGATTGATACGCTGGAGGATGGTGTTCCGGTTGCCGCCCAGGGAGCTCTGGTTGTCGCGCCGGTGTTTGATAGCGATGCTGGTGATGAGTTGTTCGTCGCAGTAGCCCAGGGAGCTCTTGTTGTTGGGGCTGATGTTGGTGCTGCTGTGTCGGGAATTCCCCGGGAGGTGCTGCTGCTGCTGTTGCTATTATTGATATTGCTCTGGTGTTGAGTTGTCGCGGCGGTGGTGTTGTGGTTGCTGTGACTGGGAGCACCCCAATTGAAGATGCTGCCGAAGGGAAAGTGCTGAACAACCGGAAACTTTCCAAGCACCTCTGCGTTGTACATCTTCAACATTCCCTAGAGGAAAAGAAAACATCGCGAATTAGTAAAAGAGAAATAAATAGAAAATAAAAAAATAACAGACAAAAAAAAACAATTATTAGCGTCTCCCGATACGGCGCAGAATAATAGCACGAGTAGCTAGGGGTACCCAAGTAAGGTACCCCAGCTATTCTAGAACAGTAGAGAAAAAGTGTGATAGAGAGCTGAACTGCGCATACCTTATTGATCTTTCCCCATCCGCCCTGCACTCCCGAGATATCGTACAGAATGGGACTATGCTCCCAGAACGGCCCCGTTTTGACATCGTAGATAAAGCCCACCGCGCCGAAATACAAATTGCGCACGCGTTCCCTCTCCACCACCAAGCTCGTCACCACATCCCCGGGCTTCGGTACGTCTTCGAGCGCCGACGCGACCGCAGGATCCACCATCTTTGGCGCATTCACCTCCGCCGCGGCCGCTGCCTCACCGCTACTGCTACTCGGTGGATAGGTCGTCAACTGCGCACTGCCAAAGACATACGGCAAAAAAGCATGGTCATCGAGACCCCAGACGCCGTGCGACCCCGCCGGCTCGAGCGTATAAGTCAGTACTAGCCTCCTGACCAGGTGGAAATAAGCGTCAAAGCACCGCAAGGTCAGTGCGATCTCATCCCGGCCGGGTTCGAACCCGCCCAGCACCCACAGGCAACAGAGAAATGCCGCAAACGAGAGCTCATGACCGGTGCCGTAGTCGAGGCGCTGCGCCGAGCCGAAGGAGCCGAGTAGGTAGGGGAGGAGTTCGGATTTTGCAGTGGGGTGCGAGGCGATGTAGGGCGGGAGGTGTTGGTCGAGCAGCGTGGGCACCGACGAGGCGACGAGGTCGTGCCATTTTCGGAAGGCGACATTGCCGAAGCGGCGGGGGCCGGCGTCGGGGGGCGCTTGTGTGATGAGGCTGTCGAGGGCGTGGATGAGGTCGATGATGTTCTGGACGGCGGGGGAGACGTTGGTGGTCTCGGAGACGAGCGTGTAGTGGGCGGGGTTGCGAAGGGCATTTGTAGAGTGGTCGAGCGGCGAGACGGAAGCGTTGAGGTGGAGGATGAAGGTAGTGATCAGCTTATAGGCTGGCGAGGTGAGGAAGTAGTCGACATCTTGCTGGTTGTGGATGCGTTTTGAGGGCGTGGTGAAGTTGTGAGAGCTGATGTCGATAGGTTCTAGCTGAGACTGAAGCTGGGACTGGGACATGAGTGATTGCTGAGGGGTGCTGCTGCCGGTGGTGGAGGCAGAGGAGGAGGCCATCTTGTATCGTGAGTATTGTGGGGGTGTTTTTATAGCTAGAGGGAAAGAGGATGTGAGTGAAGTTCTAATTGCTTCCACTTCTTCTTCTGCTCCTGCTTCAGATCCTCTTGTTCTTTCTCTGCGCTGTGACGTCGTGTGTGAGCAGAGCCTGCGAATTGACAGCTACCCTCCCCGCGCACCACGTGACGCGATTATCTGCCAGCCAAGCTTCTGTGGCGGGGCAATCATGGGAAATCACTCTGTCCGCAAACTTGGGCGGCGAGTGATCTTGGGCCTCAGCTATCGCAAGACTTTGAGATTTGGGGTCTGAGTGATAGAAGATACTGATCAGTGCTGCAAGGCTTGTCCAGGCAAACATGTAGTGGGGAAACGCTGGACTTGTGTCTCTTCATGGATTATCACTCACTATTCTCACTTAATTGCTCTGTGGTTGAAAATGTAGGACGGTTGGCTGATTGATTGATGAAAAATCAGGACGAGATGTTTAAGGAACTTGGCTCTGTTTTCGATAAAGAGTCTGTAAAGCTACACGTATACAGCTGCGTATCGGACAAGTGTCGACATGACAGGTGAGAAAGGACAGCTCGCCTGTAGAGATTCAACTTCATTTGGAAAGTCAGATACAGCCGCACCTCACTATACCGGATCTCAATATCCCGGATCCCTTGCTGTCCCGTACGAAGTCTTCTAGGGTTTTTAATTCTCTTACTAGTTACTACAAAACCAACTTGCTATCCCAAATTTCTCATAAATATTTGCTATCCCGCATGGGAATTGTCTGGTTCTTGGCATCCGGCATAGCGAGATGCGATTGTATCCAACACTCCGTTCTGGCGTTATCTCATCGCCTGTGTACAAGAACACGCAACAATCTCTCAAGCCCTGAATGAATGGCTGGAATATCAGGGTGCTTATCCCTTCGAGTTATTTTGCCATGCTCTCTTTCGCAAAGCCGCACGCCATAGCCAGTGAAGCTGTCCGCTCTAGTGATAGTGAAAGGTCGAGGACATGCGCAATTTCAAAAATCCCTATTTTCCCTCCCCGTTCATATATACCAGAGTTAGAGACGGCTGCATTCTACACCGGGGAGGCCATTGATTGTACTTGATGAAACATCAAACCCTTGCTCGACCACTATGTAACAACTTCCGCTCCCCCAACTTGGACTGTCCCACAAACACCAGAATCCCCATCCGTGCCATCCCCATCCGTGCCATCCCCACCCCCGCCCTCTACATGCGGTCGGAAAAGACGCTTCTGTATATCTCGTCACACATCCTTTCATTATATTGGTATCGGTTTCTGCACGTGTGTATCCACCACCCCCCAGAGTGGCCCAAAAGCACCTCCACCCGTCTGCAACCTGATCGCGGGTTCCTGAGATTGCACTCTTCAGTTCCACAAAGCACGGGTGGGCCGCATGTCTCCTTTTCCAACCCCTCTCCACCGGCTTGGCGTTGCTGTGCAACGGGAGACAAGGGGAGGAGGTAGTGTTGCGAGTGATAATCTGTGATTGTATGTACCTTGGGAAATGAGGAGGGGTAACTTAAGCTTACGCCCTCACTCTCACCTCTTACCCCACCATCTCCCCTTCCTTACATCACACAGGTCATGTCATCACTATACCATCGACACAGCTGTGTCCGACCATCAACAGCAGCAGTCAACCAGCATGTCAGCCTGGAGGCTGAAAGCAGATAAGCACGAATCACCAGCAGCTAACCTGGAGCACTTTCTTGCGGTGGTGGAGTGAAAGTATGAATTGGCCCACTTTTACGGCGTATTTCTCGACTTCTGGGCGTTATTGATTTGGGGGGGTTGAGAAGGTCCCGTGGATGTTGGGTTATTGGCTCGTTTGGCTCTCCCTCTTGGGAATGAAGATTTACTTTGGAGTCTACTTGGGTCGGCTCTGTGGACTGCGCGCTGTGGGGTTTTGCAAGCTATAGGGTTCTGCAACCATGGCTGTAGTTACGTGGGCCTTGAAATTTGAAAACTACTGGGGGCTATTTGGAATGCAGGTAGCCGCACGATGGAAGTGAGGCTCCATTTCAGAAATATATTGGCCGGGAAAAACAAACGGCCACTGGAAAGTTTCGACTTGTTCCGATGGGGGTACAAAAACACCGCCACGAACGAACAGAGGGATGTTTGCGCCGTCCGTTTGAATTACTGTCGGCGCCAAAAAGATCTGTCCCAGGTAATAATTACTAGCAGTCAGCAACCTTGATTGCGATGGATGGCAGGAGCCAGAAGCTCTGCCTGACCTGACATAACCTCAAGGCACTGATCTTCATGGCCCAAGTGTAAGTTTAAAAGGGTTGCAATGTGAGATGCAAGCTTTATTAATGTAGGTTGAGTGTTTAGATCGGCTATTCTGCACCACTCCAAAGATGTATGAGCTTCCAAACTGACTGGAGAGCTCATTTGGGGGACCGGTTCAGTCATGACCGAAAGTGGAATTACACAACCTCCGTGGGAAAGAACCCGGCGCGAGTCATTGTCTGTTTCAACTTATGGACTTACTTTAAAATTGGGTTGGGGGGGAGGGAGATCGCCTACTATCATGAATAGGATGTCGACAGTTAGGCGGCAAAGAAATGTTCTACACGTCCCTTTTAGCTTTTGGCTCTCATTATACCTACTATGAGAGGGGAGGGCAATTTGTCTCCGTTATTTTTCAACCCCAACCCGCCCCCCCTCGGGAACAATCATACTATGTGATGGCTAGACGGTGGTAATGGCCTTTCACCTCGAAGAGGTAAAAACCGAGTGATCACCCATGAAGCATTCTAATTCGACAACCAACCCCCCTCCCTGAGATCAAAATGGCTCCAAGACAAAGGTACAAATAGCCTTTTTTCTTCTCCGAATCTAGAGACCCTACATACACTGTATTTATGGTATTGGAGGGGAGGGCAATTTGTCTTTTTGTCTTCAACCCACCGGGAAGAAATGATAGAGGTGGTGATATGAAAGAGTCTGGACAACAATGCGTTTGGGTTTCCGTATAGTCACCGATGGCGAACGGAGGAAATTCTGGGGGCAACTATGGCTTGTAGGCACGAGGAGAGCATGCAGGAGTGTATGTCTTCCAATACGTGGGCAAATAGTTACATCAATCCTAGAGAAGGTGGAAGACTATCTTTGATACCGCCACGTTTTTTGTTCGTAGGGCGGCATGTAAAGCTTTCAGATAACCGCAGAGCTGTTGAAAGAATGGTAGTGGTGGTGGTGGAAGAAGGTCGGTGGGAAGCCGCCTGTCTGTCAACAGTAGCCCCCACCAGACAGCAATGTAGGACGTAAGTGCTTTGCAGCATTATATATTTAGCTTCTATAACACTCGAGCCTGTTCAATAGCAAGATTTCTCTAAGCCACCCAACCGTTGAGTATCTCGTCTTCGTAGAGTGCAAGTCAATCTTCCTACAACGAATGCAGGTACAGGGGTTGCAACAGCTTCACAGCATCTCACTCGACAAAACCATACCATGCCAATGTCTTTATTTTATTTATCGCCAACAAATGCCATATACAACGCATAACACAACCGCAGCTCTAAACATTGAGCTCACTAACCTCCCCACTCAACACGCTCGCCCACGGCGCCAACGCCGTCTTTACCTCCCTCTCCACAAACCTCACCGTCTGCTCCGGCGCCCTACCCACAAACGTCTTCGGGTCCATCAGCACATCAATCTCGCCCCAGATGGGCTTAAAGAACTCGTCCTTCTTGATGCGGTCGATGAGGTCGTTGTCGCGGCCCTGCTGCTTTACCACGGCGCTGGCCTCGTGCGACAACACGCGGATGCGCTCGTGGGCGTCCTGGCGCGAGGCGCCGAGCGCAACCATGCGCATGATGAAGTTCTCGGTGGCCATGAAGGGCAGCTCCTCGCGGATGCGGCGCGCAATGACGGCCGGGTAGACGACGAGGCCCGAGACGACGTTGTCGAGGATGCGTAGGAGGACGTCGGTGGTGAGGAAGGCGTGGGGGATGTCGATGCGGCGGATCGCGCTGGGGAGTATCGTTAGCCATTGATATATCATACCACTCTGTAGAGAGCTAAAGGGGGGGGACTCACGAGTCATCAAGGGTCCTCTCAAACCACTGCGCAGAGTACGTATCCAATGCATCCTTGCACAAGTTCGCCAGATGCCTTCCCAGCGAGCACATACGCTCACTCCTCATCGGGTTCCTCTTATACGCCATAGCCGAGCTCCCAATTTGGTCCTTCTCAAACGGCTCCTCCATCTCCTTCGTGGCCGCCAAATGCCTAATATCACCCCCAATCCTCTGGCACGTTGCTCCAAAGCTGCTCATGGCGCTGATGACGTCCGCGTCGACCTTGCGGCTGTACGTCTGGCTGGTGACGGGGTATGCATACTCGAAGCCGGCCATCTCGGTGATGAGGCGGTCGAGCTCCTCAACCTTGTCGTGGTCGCCGCTAAAGATGGCCAGGAACGAGGCCTGCGTGCCCGTGGTGCCCTTGGCGCCGCGGAAGCCGAGGTCGCCGTGCGCGCGCGTGAGATTGCGCAGGTCCCAGAGGAGGTCCTGGATCCAGAGGGTGGCGCGCTTGCCGACGGTGGTGAGCTGCGCGGGCTGGTAGTGTGTGTAGCCAAGTGCGGGGAGGTCCTTGTGTGCCACGGCGAAGGTGGATAGTTTGTGGATGACGTTGGCCAGCTTGGGGAGGACAATCTCAAGACCACGGCGGAGGAAGATCAGGTCCGCATTGTCGGTGCAGTAGCAGCTGGTGGCTATGGGGCGGGCTGTTAGCTGACAATTGAAGCCAATATCAGAATGTGCAACACATGCCTCCCCAATGGATGATCCCCGCAGCGGCAGGCGCAACCTGGCCAAAGGCGTGCACATGGGCCATGACATCGTGGCGGCGGCGCTTCTCCTCCTCCTCGGCGACCTTGAAGTCCTCGGGGGTCAGGTCGAGGTGGGCCTCCATCTGTGTTATGGCCTCATCGGGGATGGGCAGACCAAGCTGCTTCTCGGCCTTTGCGAGCCACACCCACAGCTGGCGCCAGGTGCGGAAGCGCGTCTTGTTTGAGAAGAGCTGAGCCATCTCGGGGGAGGCATAGCGCGAGGCCAGTGGGGTCTGGTAGATGTCGTTGTTTGACATTGTGCTAATTGGTGATTAGTGGGGGGGGAGAGAGGTGAGGTGAGGTTCGAGATGAGAGGCTCGATGAGGTGAGGTCAGGGCAGGGCCAATGGTGGGGTTCGCAGGTTTTAAGAAAAAAAGCTTTCAACCCCACCGTTATCGCTATCGCTGGGCCTTATCGCTATCTCGACGAGGATCTAATCTAATCGGTGTCCATCTAATCTGGCACTGCAGCGATCGGCTACAATCAGTTGCTATCTTATCTTATCACCGCCCACGATCAGTAGCGATGCAGGGCCCGTAACGTCAGTTCCAAGGGCGATGGCGTGCTCGACGAATTTTCCTCAACAAACAAAAAAAACCACTTCTCCCACCACCACACGCACAGAATTGCTGGAGTAGCTGCAAGCCTAACTGGTCAGTTTTCCAATGTAAATAGTAATGGCAAACCCATTTCCCGGAGGACTTCCCCGGATGCCTTTCCCAATGGACCCCCATCATCCTTGATCATGATCACAGCTGGATATTATTAATTCCTTCTGCCCCCCGAAATACCCTTCGCTGGTAAAGTAAAAGAAAAGAAAAAAACGAAGCAGACCACCCAAGTTTATCCGCTTCCATACCGTAAATCCACCCCTGACACTCGGGTCTGTCGCAATTGAACCGAACGAGTCTTATTAGTCTTAGTCCATTGTGTTCTGGCTAGAGTCTGTTACAAAGCAATCTTTTTTTTTTCTCTCTTTCTTTTACGTCTTCCCCGTGGGGCCATATAATCTATATACCTAAGCTCTCTCTCTTCTCTCCTTCCCTCCTCCTCCTCCTCCCTCACCTCTCCCTCCTCCCTCCTTCCACCCTACCTACCATCACCAAAATGCGTCTCCAAGCCCCCGAGACCAGCGGCTCCCCCTCCATCTTCAATCTCCAGGAACAGGCCCTCGCCGAAGCCCTTACCCACCCCAATGGCGTGAAAACCCCCCTCGACAAGATCAGCCCCGTCTTCCCCTTCAGCGCGGCCCAGGACGTCTCCCAGGTCTCTGGCACAGCCTACACCACCGCACAAACCCTCGTCCAGCAAGTCGCCTACACACTCTCTGACAAGCTCTTCTCCTACTCCCCGGCCACCTTCGACCTCGACGCCGCCGCCAAGTCATGGTCCGCTGCCTCCCAGCCCAACGGCCACGGTGCCGTCACCTCCGTCAACGCAATGGAGACCCGTCTCGGTGCCGCCAACGTCCTGCTCGGATACGTCTTCTCGCCCGACGCAAGCCCAGAGAAGAAGGCCGTTGCAAAGTCAATTCTTGCATCAACCGCCTCTCTCCTTCCCATGCGCTCGGCACTTGACCAGCTGGCCAGCGCATACGAGGCTGCCAGCCCATTCGTGGCTCACGTTGCTGCGGTCGACCTTGATGTGACCTCCGGAAAGATTGTGAGCGACTACAATGCCGCCGTGACCGTCGCGCAGGAGACTGGTGTTGGTCTGGTTGCGTCGTTCTCGGCGCACGAGGCACAACACATGGCGCTGTTTGCGACGCTGGCGGCGACGGTGCTCCCCACCGTGCACATCTATGATGGTGTTGCCGTCTCGCGCGAGAGCACAAAGGTCACGGATGTGCTGGAGCAGAGCAGGCTGCAGAGCGTCTTTGACAGCATCTTGGCCGAGCAATCGGAGGTTGGGAAGAAGGTTGACCAGGCCGCGAAGGTCAATGGCATCCTGAAGAGCCTGAACGCCGAGCTTGGAACCGCATACTCTATGTTCGAGTACGAGGGCCACGAAGAGCCCGACGCCGTCCTCGTCGTTTTCGGATCTGTCGAGAGCTCATTGGCCACCCAGGTCGCCGCCGGACTTGCAAAGACCGGCGAGAAGGTCGGTGTTGTCGTCGTCCGCGTCTACCGCCCCTTCGCCGAGTCCTACTTCCTCGAGGCGCTCCCCAAGAGCGTCAAGCGCATCGCCGTCCTCGGCCAGGTCAATGACCAGACCGCCGTCAACGATTCGACCGTTCAGAGCGCCCTCTGGACCGATATCGTCGCTGCCACCTCTATGAGCGGCATCTGGCAGCTCCCTCCCCCCACACTCGATGTCAAGTACGCCCGCGAGACCGTCTGGTCGCCAAAGCAGTTTGCCTGGATCTTTGACCAGATTGTGCGCAAGAACAGCGTCTCCATCGAGATCCCGGAAGAGGCACTGACCTCCGAGGCCTCGACAATCGACTCGTTCGAGCTCCTGTCTGAGGGCGCCGACGCAAAGCAGTACATCTTCTGGGACCGCGACGACGCTGCCTCCACTCCCGCTGCAGCGGTGGTCGCAAAGCTCCTCGCCGAGGACGCTGCAAAGATAATTGCCTTCTCAGCCACTTACGACAACGGGCCCCTCGCTGGTGTCCTCCAGTCTGAGATCAAGTCCTCCAAGCAGTCTGTCGAGGCATCCTTCCACGTCGAGTCTGCGGACGTCGTGGTTGTCAACGACATTGCCCTTCTCTCCAGCTTTGATATTACCGCGCGCACCAAGACCAATGGCTCCATCCTCCTCAAGTCCAACATCAAGGACGAGGACCTCGAGAAGCTCCCTGCCGCATTCAAGCGCGGTGTCGCTACAAAGAGCATCAACGTCGTCATCCTGAACATCGACGAAGACGCATCCGCCGCCGTCGAGAACGCCCTCGTCCAGCTCTCCTTCCTGAGTGTCGCCGGCCTCGACGCGCCCCTCGAGAAGCTCTCTGTTTCCAACCAGGACTCCGAGGCCGTCCACGCCGCCGCCGCGTCCCTCGCCACCGCCCTCCGCAAGGTCGAGGTACCCAAGGAATGGGCTTCCGCCGTCTCCGAGACCGAAGTGGCTGCCCTGCCAACTCTTCCATCCGCCACCTCTTTCACCGCCAACGACGAGAAGAACCCCACGGAGCCCATCTTCCACCTCAAGTCCACCCAATCCGCCGCGCAGACCCTCTCCTTCAAGGAGGCCTATGGCGTACAGTCCGCGCTCCGCCCCGACCTTGGCATGCGCAACTACGTCGTCAAGGTCAAAGAGAACAAGCGCCTCACTCCCGCCTACTACGACCGAAACATCTTCCACATCGAGTTCGACCTCACCGGCACGGGCATGGAGTACGGCATCGGCGAGGCGCTCGGTATCCACGCGCAGAACAACGCCGCGAGTGTGGCCGAGTTCATTGAGTTTTATGGCCTCAACGCCGAGGACATCGTCGAGGTGCCTTCCCGCGAGGACCCCGAGGTCCTTGAGGTCCGCACGGTGTTCCAGGCACTCGCGCAGAACGTGGATATCTTTGGGAAGCCGCCGAAGCGGTTCTATGAGGCGCTGGCTGAGTATGCGGTTGATGATGGCGAGCGAAAGGCGCTGCTGACGCTGGCGTCGGCCGAGGGTGCGACGGAGTTTAAGAGAAGGGCGGAGGTCGATACATGCACTTTCGCCGATATTTTGGAGGAGTTCCCAAGTGCTAGGCCCGAGTTCCATGATTTGGTCAAGATTGTGAGCCCGATGAAGAGGAGGGAGTATTCCATTGCTTCGTCTCAGCAGGTCCACCCCAACGAGGTTCACTTGTTGATTGTGGTTGTCAACTGGACGGACCCCAAGGGTCGCGAGAGGTTCGGACAGGCGTCAAGGTGGCTCAGCCAGTTGTCGACCGGGTCCGAGGTGACTGTCAGTGTTAAGCCCAGTGTCATGAAGCTTCCGCAGCTGTCTACTCAGGTTCGTATTCTCTTCTTCCCTATATATACTCATTGAACCCTCACTAACAAATCTATAGCCCTTGATCATGGCCGGTCTCGGAACAGGTCTCGCCCCCTTCCGCGCCTTTGTGCAATACCGCGCCTGGCAAAAGGCCCAAGGCATCCCCATCGGCTCCGTCCTGCTCTACATGGGCTCTCGCCACCAGCGCGAAGAGTATCTGTACGGTGAAGAATGGCAGGCCTACCAAGCGGCCGGCATCGTGACGCTCCTCGGCCGCGCCTTCTCTCGTGACCAGGCAGAGAAGATCTACATCCAGGACCGCATGAGGCAGAGCCTGGACGACATCATCGAGGCGTACATTAAGGAGGAGGGTGCCTTTTACCTCTGTGGGCCGACATGGCCCGTGCCGGATGTGACGGAGGTGTTGCAGGAGGCTATTGTGGAGGGTGGAAGAAGGGAGGGGAAGAAGGTGGATGCGGTCAAGAAGATTGATGAGTTGAAGGATGTGGGGAGGTATGTCCTGGAGGTGTACTAAACGGGTGTTAGTTTTCTTTTTTCTCTTTTTTTTTTTTTTTTAGTTTATGGGTGTATATGTAGTTTTGAGTGTGTGCTGGGTTCAAAAAAGGGAATCTCTTTTGTTTATTGTATAGAATAAAAGGAAGGCTCTTGGGGTGTTTTCCCCTCTGAATGAATGATCTGGTGTTGGTTGTTGAGGTTAAGGAAGTGAGGTTGTAAAGGTCTCTCAGTGCAATCCACGTGCCCAATCTTGGCGAGCTGGTGTACCGAGTGATATTTTGTGATTGCTGAATCTTTTTTTTTGTTTAATTCATTAATGTGATCGCTGCATCGACGTTGATATGATACCTTCAGAGGGCGATAATAAAAAGAATAAAGGTCAAGAGCTATCTCTCCTTTACCCCCACCCTCTACTACCACCTTCGGCTAAACTCCCTCTCGACCAAACTCCGGATCTTCCAATTGAGGACCAGGACTGCTAGCTGTCCAATAGGTGAATCATATAGAGAATTGCTAGATAGATCCTTATATCACTCGCCTATGAACATTCTTGGTTAGAAATGTAGGAATGATGTTTGGACGCCAAGCTTACTAAAGGTGTCAAGACTACATGTATCCAGTGGGACGTTTTGGAGTGAGCTAGGAACTCACCATAGATTTTGTTCCTGCATGAATCTCAAAAAATGAAAAGCTCAGGCTCGATAAAGTAGGATAGAGCTCGAATGATTAAGTATTGATGATGATAGAAGAGAAAGGGAAGTAAGCCGCCAGAAGAAAAGAAACGGAGACAAGTCTAGCTGCTGAGGACACCGTAATCCCCGTGACCTGTCCTCTGCCATGTGTCCTTCCTTGTCAGCTAGTCCGCGCCACAACGCCTAACTCGATTATTAAATTGCAGAGCAATTGTTTATTGGGAAACTCCCAGAATGCCACACAAGAAGGCGGCAGGGGCGGATCTACAATGCCCTCCAACTAAGTTTCATGCTACACCGTCACTATTTGCTATAAGATGAAATAATAGGCATCCCTCTCTTCCAATTTCATGCTTCCTATTGACTAACTAAATCCTCATTATATATATCGATTTGCCCATTAGTTTATAACCCCCAACATACCTATTACTAGCTCTAGAACAGACGACCAACGATTCAAACCCACAAAGTGCCTAGTTCTCACCCTCACCGCACAGGAGAGATTGAGAACTAAGAACCCCGTCGGTGTCGTTGATACGTCTGCTGTCATTTCCTCTTAGTTCCTCCTGTGCTCCCTTCGGGGTTTTGGTGGGGGGGGTGGGGGGGCGGGCTGTACCTTTGGGTCAGCCAAAAGGCGAGCCCACAGGAAGTGGGACGGGGACAAGAGACCTAATGGTCAGCTGGGGCTGGGACAGGAACAGGAACATAATCCTCAGTTCAATCTCGTCTCTTTTCCTCGGCAGCTGCCCAAGAAAAAAGACGGGAAGAGAAAACGAGGGACAGGCACCGGGGACAGGGACCGGGACGGGGCAGGCACAAAGGGACAGGCACAGAAAACCGGAACGGAGCACCGTTCGCGGTTTGATTCCGTCTCGCCCCCTCGGCATGAGCCCAGGGAGCAAGACGGAGGAGAGGGACAGAGGGGAACGGGGACTGGGCAGACCCAGGAGAGGGCGCGTACGGGCGCGGGCGCTGGAGCTCAGGGCACCGGGGCGGGGACACCTCCCCGGTTTAATCCCGCATCACTTCCTGGCCAGGAGCCCAAGAAGAAAGACGGGAAGGGGGAGCACGCAACTCCCCCAGCCACAAGCACACGGCCTCCACCGCCACCCACCGCCAGCACACGCCGCCACAAGCCAGCCCGCGCCCCATCACCCGGGCAACCCACCACCAGCCCACACAACCCCACACCACCCCGGCCCACGCCACACCCACGGCCAACCCACGGCCAACCACCACCACCACCAGTCAGGCCACCCAGCCCAGCTGCAAACTCACTATGAATGATACGAGAGAAGGAAGAAGAGGTGTTGAAAGAGCTTCTTTTATAGCCAGCTGCGCGGATGCCAAGCCCCATTGTAGTAAATAAATTTGGCCGACAGTGCAGTTACCTGGCCGAAGTTCATGCAATTAATGAATTAAACAAAAAACAAAAACCTGACCGAAGTTAGCAGTTAGCTTCATGGGGTATCACTCGTGGTTGGTGTGCTGCTCTCTTGCTGTGGGCGGTGGGTTGTGCGTGGCAACGATAACGGGATGGAGTTGGTAGATTTGGGCGGGGATGTATGTGTAGGTTAGACCTCTAACTCTGTGTGCCCATGTGTAATGCCGCGGGGGCGGAGAACATACTGGTCTTGAGTAGAGGATCGCCGGCCTGTCATCTTCAGTTAGCCAAACCGCAAAGTTTACAAAGAAGTTCCCTGTTCATGTAAAACAGTCCCCCTCCAGGATATTAGCTTCGAGGGCCGGGGTGCTATCGACCCAAGCTCGAGAAGAAGTACCAACAGAGAGCCCTAGTAAAACTCGCGAGTGAGAATAACCTCCAGAGACTCTCAACCACAAAGTAAACAATTGCGATTAGGAACCAAGCACCAGCTTTGGGGCACGATGTACAGTGCATAAAAATTGGTGCAGTGGTCTCTATAGATCTAGATGAGCATTTGGTTTTATAGAAAAGCCAATGATAGTCTAATCAACTCCGTTTCTCGCAGTGTGATACCTGCCTCTTATCCACACATTCCTCAAGAGCCCAAAAGAAGCCCGCACCCGGCCCCAAAAGATAAACCCACAACCCAGGGCTCCCATAACCAAGTCCAAGCCCCCAAACCCAAACCTACAGAGGGCCAATTGACCCCAAAGAGCAAATCTCCTCGCTCTCCCGATCCCTCGGCCGCAGTACCAGCCCAAAGACTAAATTTTTATTATTCAAGATGCTGGAAAGCGTGGATGGAGTGGGTGAAGGTATCAATATCTGCGATTTTTCGCGATATCATCAGCTGGCCCGCCATTAATGTTGCCGTAAGCTATACTATACTTTACATGTGTTTTCCCAACACGGACTCCCAGAACTCCATTAAAACCCTCCTTTTGAAAGGAAAACAGAAAAATAGGGAAACAAGAAAGGGGAACCAGAAAAGGAGAAGGGCAAGAGAAAAGAAAGGAAAACCCGACCGAAACCAAGCCCCCAACCCACCTCCACCTCCACCTCAAGCACCCCCCAACCCTAACATCCTCCACGCCTCTCTATCCCTCGCCACGGCCCTCTCCCTCCTCTCCTCCCCACTCTCCTTCCCCTTCCTCGCGCCCACCACGCCCCCCACCAGCGCCTCCGCCCTCTCCCCGACCCCCGCCAGCCCCGCCAGCACCTCCTCAATCTGCCCCACCACCCTGCGATTCTCCTCCGTCTCGTGGCGGATCTTCTCCAGCTGCTCCTCCATGCGCAGGCACAGCGTCTCGCGCGCCTGGTGCGGCCGGTACTCGTTGATGAGGTGGTGCATGTTGAACAGGATCGTCTCGAGCGCGGCCGTCTTTTCGTGGAACTGCTCGGGCGCGATGCCCATCACGCCCACGAGCTCGAGGTAGTTGAGCAGCAGCGACTGCGACAGCCGGCGCAGCTCGAGCGTGCGGTCGAAGGAGGGGGTTCCTGCTTTGCCGTTGGCGTTGGCGCTGGCTGTGGCCACAGTGGTGGTAGTGGTGGTGCTGGTGGTGCTGGTGGTGGGGTCTGGGTAGAGCTGCTGGATGCCGGATTGCGCGAGGGAGGGGTAGATCTCGGGGAGCTGTGGGTGGGAGGAGTACATATATTAGCATTCTAGTCTTTTATAGATATATATATTATATAGATCCTCCCCCTCATCATCATAAGGCAGAAGGGCAGAAGAGAAGAGGGGCACAGAATATACACACCGTCCACGTCTCCCCAAACGCGCGATACCCGCCCTCCAGCAGCGGCGGCGGCACCAGACACTTGAGCTCCTCCGGCAGCTGCTCCATGGGCGGCAGAGCCCCATCGGCACCCCTCAGCTCCTTGAGCGCCGCGAGATTCTCGGGCGTAAAGTGCGTGAAGAACGTGGGCGGCGGGGGGAACGCTGCCGAGAGCGCACCGGGGGGTTGTTCGGCCATTGCTGCTTTCTTCCTTCTTCTTCTTCTTCTTCTTCTTCTTTCTAGATCTTCTTCTCTGCGTGTGCGGGCGGAGGAATCTCGGGGGTGCGGGCGATGCTCGTTATTCCAGGCGTTGTTGTGTGTCGAGAGAAGAAAGAGGGCGGCAGGGAGTGCAAGTACAGCTACGGCGTATATGTCAGCACTATCATTGATACCTTGCTGGCTACACGAGATCAGAGCTTCGAGATAATTCCCCGCCATCCTCACGACAACAGATCTGAAATCACACACCGCGCACACACACACAGCCAATCCCACACCCAGAATACCCCCAATACCCCCAGGAGAGGGCTCGCGATGCCCGGGTCCGCCACGGCAAAGGCCCGCTTCCACGACGAGGGGGGCACAATGGGCGCCCTCCGCCGGTTCTGGCAGGTCCGTCTATTGAGTTTAAAGCTCTACATATCTACATCCACAAATATATACTTCTACGGTATGCAATTCTAACAGCTTCTGGGCCCTGAACAGAGATCCTACGCGCCAGACTGGCTCGGCGTGCTCCTGCTCGCGCTCCAGAACCTCGCCATCACCTTCTTCGAGCCCTTCCACCGCATGTTCAGGTACCCCACACCACACTCCCACCTCTCTCCACCCGCAAAAACACTCAAACTAACCCCCCCTCACCCAGCCTCGACAACCGCGACATCCAATACCCCCACGCCGAGATCGAGCGCGTCCCCGTTCCCATGCTCCTCACCTACAGCATCGGCCTCCCCCTCCTCACCATAACCCTCTACACCCTCCTCACACCCAGCAAACACCTACGCACCCCCTCCCGCTTCCACCTCCTACACGCCTCCCTCCTCGGCCTCACCACCTCCCTCATGCTCACCACCTTCACCACCGACCTCATCAAGAACGGCGTCGGCCGCCCCCGCCCCGACCTCATCGCTCGCTGCCTCCCCCGCGCGGGCACCCCCGAGCACGAACTCGTCACCTGGGAGGTATGCACACAGACCGACCACCACACGCTGCACGACGGGTTCCGGTCATTCCCCAGCGGGCATAGCAGCTTCTCGTGGGGCGGCCTGGGGTACTTGAGTCTGTTCCTCGCGGGGCAGCTGGGTGCGTGGAGGAGGGGCGCGGCGATGGTGAAGGTTGTGGTTGTGGGGCTGCCGGCGGTGGGCGCGGTGTTGGTGACGGTGAGCAGGACGGAGGATTACAGGCATGATGTGTTTGATGTGTGTACGGGGAGTCTGATTGGCATGGTGATGGGGTATTATAGCTATGTGAGTGTCTCTCTCTTGCCCTAGTGCGGTGCGGTGGGTGTTAATGAGTGTGTGTGGTAGCGACGATACTTTCCCGCCCTGACGAGCAAGCACTGCGATGTGCCCTACAAAAGAGGCGAAGACGACGAGCACGGCGGTAAAGGCGGCTCAAGGGGCGATTTCGAGATGCTGCCGCGGCGGGTCGACAGTCCGGACCTGGAGATGGGTGAGCCACGTTAGTAGAAGAACCAATTAACCATCTTTCCCTGATCCTCTTTTGCTTACCGTAGATAGGGCCAAGAACAGACAATGACGAGTGGGGGTTGAGAGGGTAGTTGGGAGGGAGGGTGGTTTATAGCATAGCATAGCGATGTATGTATTTGGTGTTTTTATATTGTTATGGCGTGGAATTGATTATTCCCATTGCGCTGTGGTCTGGATTGGTCATGGTTTATTTGTATCTCGCTCATTGCTTTATTGTGGGTTGGTCGATCATTGGTCTTTAGCATACAATGCAGTTTTATTATACCGCTTGGTTCATGGCACATCACTCGCAATAGAATGTGAAGAATTTCAACAGCCGACATGTCAATCACCAAAAACACAACTAAATTTACCATCAACCACTCCCACTCAGCGGGAAGAATGCGCCCTTCCCCATCGTTTCATCCGTCAAGCTCTAAGATGGATTGTTTACTGGAGTTGAGAGAAGCTTTCGATAGAAGAAAAAAAGAGAGAAAACCATAGACGACAACAATGACATTTGCAAGATATCTCTTGAACAACCCCGCCATACAGACAATACTCGGCTCTTAAGATAACCTCAAACTAACTAGCACAACCTAGTTACCGTCCCCTCCCTCTTCTCCGCGTCCCCACGTCCCCCTTCCCCGATGAATCTCAAAAAGGTGCTTGATTGATCGCAAAACAACAAAACTCCTTAATTCCTTGTACAGGATGCACACACCAGACACACAGATGGAGGGAGACTGTGACTAAAAGAAGAATGAAGATACCTCACAACAATAGGAGATGGGGAGAAGGAAAAAAAGAAAACAAAACAAAACAAAAACAATAGAAGTAAACGCCAGTAATGACCACACACAAAACCAACTACCAAAGAGCCCCGAACCACAAAACGTCCTTCGGGAGTGAAAATAAATAGTAATTAGCCAATTTAAAGTCAGACCTCCATTGTACCAGCAGGCTCCTCATCTCCGGAATCAAACGATCCCACAGATGACATGTCATCATCGCTTTCGGACTCGTCTGTGGCAGCATCGGCGGCTTCCCTGGTTGCGTATTTGTTGACGTACTCTACCGGTACACCTCCCGTTAGCTCTGCAAGCATTGTCGGTATCGGAAACTACACTCCGACTTACCCTTAACCTTGATGTCATACTGCCTCGGTTCCCTCATCAACAAGGCCGCTGCCTCTCCGTTTAAAGGGTCGGTAGGGTTAGGGTAGCGCAAGAGCTGCGGTAGGAAAACTTCAAAGATATTGATCATGTCAAACATGGGAGACCATGTCTGGTTGATGACGTCAAGACACACGCTTCCGCTTCTAACCTCATTACCGCATCAATTCTCTGTTTCCTTCCTGTATTCGGGGGAGGGGACCCACAGCTCGTCAATGTTGGGGTGGAATATGCGGTTCACGAAACCGATCGAAGGGCTCTTGTAGGGGTACTGGTCGGGGAGCTCGACGTGCACTTTCCAGTTGCCACCGGCGAAGGGAGCTATACAGAAAGTTGTGTCAGTTAATTGGACTCGTAATTTGCGCGGCAGATCCCCCCCCCCCCCCCCCCAGAACAGCCTCTCCGCCCCTCCGCCCCCACCAATATCACCATTCTCGGGGGTGTGCGCGCGGTGCGGCGGTTGCCATTCGCACCACCGGAGAAGCGCGAAATTGCAGGAGAAAGTGGTACATACTCTCTTCGGGACCCTTGAACCGGACGTAGAATTCCTGCCTGCATCACGTGAGAAATTGTGGAAGTGGAAGCGAGAAGTTGTTTAGGGGGTTGGAGTTACACTGCGCAGCGTGTTAGTGACGTTATACGGGGAGGGGGGGGCAAAGCTCCCTTGGTTGCGGGGGTGTAGTAGGAAGCTTACTATTATCGTTGACTAGGGTAACTTCGTAGTCACTCATCAAGCTAGAAATAGTCAGCATCAGGGCCTCGCTCGCTTGTTTCAGAAGCTTCGAAGAACTTACAGCCTACATGGAAAGTAGTCAGTCAGCAAAGGTTTCCAAAACTAGGGGGAAAGGGAACACAAGTTCCACAACGTCTCAGGAATTGCAATGGATGGAGTGTGTTGTACCTCATGACCTAGAGATGAGCTGTCAGTACAAAGTTGTTGGAGGTGGAGCAGTCCTCGAGGAAGTCTTGAACCTACATCAGTTTCTATTCTTCTTTTTGGGGAGCTCATGGCGGGCAGTTGTGGTAGTGTTTGAAGGTCGAGAGTAGAATAAAGGTCGAGGTGGGGGCTGTATTTCTAACTGTCAGGTTGGTGATCAGTTGCGGAGCGAGTAAGTAGTGAGTGGCAAGGAAGTGAAAGGGTGGTGTTGGTGGTGGTGGTAAAGGAAGAGCGGGGGACGAGACAAGATGAACCGATAACACGGGTGGCTAAATCGAAGGGCTGGAGGTGCAAAGCAGCAGGGTGAGACCTGGGGAGCGGGGGGGTTGGTGGTGGTGGTGGTGGTGGTAGGCTAGAAGGGTGAAGCCGGAGCAAGATCACGGCAGACGTAGGGCAGCAGACGTACCACAGCGACAACAATGGGAGAGCAGAGAGGCAGCAGGTATGATGGTGTAGATACGAAACAGCAGGGGAAGAAGAAGAAGAAGATGGGAAGGAGAAGACACACGCAGACGAGCGAAGAGGAACGAGCAAGGTAGATAGAGAAGAAGAGGTGGATCACTTGGAACACTTTGAGCACTTTGAGAAGAGGAAGATCGAGGAGGAGGGGTTGTCACTTGTCACAGCGATTGATTGATTGATGTGGACGCAATGTGGATTATGTATGTATGTATTTACACACGAGCATGCACTTTCTATACCGAGTTACTCTGCAATCTACACCCGCCACAGCTATCTTATCGCACGGGCAAGTGGGGGGGGGGGGGGGGGAGCGAGTGGATAGCAGAGTCGAGAGCGCGTGTGGAGAGCGGAGAGCGGAGAGTGAGTGGAGAGGCCGTGATGGGAGGAGGAGGAGGGGAGAGAGAGAGAGGGACAAATTAACAATGCATCCAAAGTGTCAGGTGCACGCGGACAGGCTTTGATCACTGGCGACTGACTGATGTTGTACTCTAGTCTCTAGTTACTCTAGTCTCCTGTGTAGCTGCACTGGCAGCCCACTCATTCTCTCTCACCCATGCCACTCCTCGCTCACTCACTGATCCTCCTCACTGATCCTCACTGAATTATTATCATGTAACTACCTACATGTAGTCAGCCCATAGTGTTGGATGCATGCCTCTATTTTACTTTGTTGGGTACTGTTCATGCTCTGTTTTGTCAATGCTGCATTGCTCTGTCCCAATGGCAATGGTGGTGGGGTAACTCGGCGCCACATCCGAACGCCGCATTCAGCAGTCAAGCACATGGTTCCCGGCAAAAAGGTTTTTTTTTCTCTCTTGCTCGGTCATGACTGATCAGCTAGATCCATAGATCCTCAACCCAACGGGCCGAGGGATGCCGTTCCCCTGACTAAACGAGGAGGTAAAGAGAAAGGGAAGGAAAAAAAATTTAAAATTTCAGAAATACAATCATAGCTTAGTAGTAATTAGAGGGGTATCTGTGCCTGACTCGTACGGGAATCTGACTGATACTTCATCCCCTACAAATTTAAAGCTGCTTTCTTTTTTTTCTTTCTCTTATTCCTTCTCTTTCAACTACACCACAGTCTTCAACGTCCTGTTGTAAATACTTTCTTCACCCCCTTATATCGCACAAAGCTATATTATTATATCAACAATGAGTTACAATGCAGCAGTAGCCCTCACCCGTCTCGTGCTCACCCGTCCAGCAGCGCCTGTCAGCAGAGCCTCTTCCCTTCTTCTCCGGAGCAGCACCAGATGCTACTCTTCGCACTCGCCCATGGCCCCCGGTTCCCTCCCGCCCCGGAAGAAGGTCACCATAAACTCCCTCCGCACCATGCATGCCAACAAGGTCCCCATAGCAATGATGACGGCGCACGATTTCCCCTCCGGCCTAGCTGCTGACCAGGCGCATATGGATATGATTCTTGTGGGTGACTCGCTGGCCATGGTAGCATTGGGAATGGAGGTACGTGTGGTCATGGTCCATCACTCGGGCCTGTTCCGTCCCCTTTTCGTCACTCGGACTCCACACCCACACAAAACACACACACGTTAATTAAGTAGCTTTGCTGATCATTACCACCCACTATCTAGGATACGAATCAATTGAAGCTGGAGGTACTGAATTCCCCCGATTAAACCCCCCCCCCCCCAATCCTCGAAGATTAAAAATGTAGACGAATGTTTTATTAGGATATGCTTCACCATTGCCGCGCTGTTTCGAGAGCTGTTAAATCAGCTTTTACCGTAAATCTCTCCTCTCCTCTCTCTTTATATAGAAGTATCACAGTAAAAACAGAACAAGTCCTAATCTGTAATCATAATAACCCACAGATCGGCGACCTCCCAATGGGCTCCTACGAAGTCTCCCCTGAGCAAGCAGTCCGCTCCGCCATCTCCATGATCCAAGATGGCCGAGTAGAGGTTGAACCCCCTCATAAAGCCAATCTCCCCATCTTCTCTACCTTCAACTAACCCCCATCAGTCCGTCAAGCTCGAAGGCGGCGCCGAAATGTCGCCCACAATCTCCCGCATCACCTCCATCGGCATCCCCGTCCTAGGGCACATCGGTCTGACTCCTCAGCGCTCTCACGCCCTCGGTGGCTTCCGCGTCCAAGGCAAGACCGCTTCCAGCGCTAACAAGCTCTTCACCGACGCTCTCACACTACAAGCTGCGGGCTGCTATTCACTCGTTCTCGAGGCTGTTCCCGCGCCTGTCGCGGCGCTCATCACCTCCAAGCTGCGGATCCCTACGATTGGGATTGGCGCGGGAGGTGGGTGTAGCGGGCAGGTGCTGGTGCAGATTGATGCGTTGGGGAATTTTCCGGAGGGGCGGTTTATGCCCAAGTTCGTGAGGAAGTATGGGAGTGTGTTTGAGGAGAGTAAGAGGGCGATTGAGAGGTATCGAGGTAATTTTTTTTTCTTTTTTCGGGCGGTTCGTAGCAGAGAGGTGCTGACTGTGTGGTGTAGATGAGGTGAAGAGTGGCCAGTATCCGGCGGTTGAGCACACGTACCCTATCAGTAAGGGTGAATTGGAGGAGTTTGAGGCCATCGTAGAGAGGCGTTCTAAGGAGTTTGAGATAGAGGAATAGAGTGGAGTAGAGTAGAGATGGGGTCATTAGCCTAATACCTTTTGATTAGTATATTGCGTGTTTTCGTTTTTGTTTTGGCTTGTGCGTTCTTGTTGTAAATCTTTATCGTTGGGAGGCACAATAGTTTTTCTTTCTTTTTTTTACCTTTTGTTTAGAATCATTTCTCTATTCTTGAAATAGAGAGGGAGAAGTGTATGGGCAGCCAGTCGTGGGCTTTAGATTAATCTCAGTGTATGTACTGTACTGTACTATACTATGAATCGATACTAATTAGAGGTGTCTGGTGTTATCGTATCGTGATAAATGAGGATGATATTCAGTGTATTGTAAGCAAGCTGAGAAAGAAAGAAAGAAAGAAAGAGAAGAGACCATAGCTAACTAATCAAAGAGACAGGACAGCGAGACAGGACAGCAAGACAGGACAGCAAACCCTCTTTACATTAGACCGACCCGCATTGCAGCCAACGACTGTTTCAACATCTGCGAGTGATTTCCTGTGAACCAGCAATTCAACAGTGCACTAGCCCCCTTAAACCAGACGGCAGCACACCTACATGTAGTCTTGTTTCTAGGCTGTGCACCGCCTGCACAGTCAGTTAGTAGTGTAAGTGTATGTATGTAAGGCCCCCGCACTAGATACGGTGTTTATTTAAAGTACGGTAAGTGCTTGCTTAAAGTTGATTATTGTTGTTTAGTTAAACAATCCCCAAGGTGTCAAGTACGTACAAAATGCTTCAGACGGAGTCTCAGACGTTAACAGGAAAGCGGCCAAAAACTACTCTCGTCTTGGAAGGTTCCTATTTAATAAATACTATAAATTCTTAGTTCACCCCCTCGAGTCTCCTGGTCTCCTGATTCAAATTTTTTGAAACTGGGAAGTACATGGCTCGATCTCTCTCCGGTTTTACCGAACAATACGAAAGTCCCTATTTCGCCAGACTGTGTTGGTATTGACATGTCCTGGGCACGAGATTAAGTGTGGGTAGAAACCACCGCAGGAACTGTTGATGCGAGTGATACCTCATGACTAACTGACCCCCCAAAGCTCAGCCCTTCCTTTTCTCTGCACCACACTACATGTAGGCGTGGCACCTCAACCCAGCACCTTCACATAACTCGACATCATATCTACAGCATAATACCCTGAGTGGGGATAGCAAGATGAAAATATCCACTTACGTCTTTCGACATCTACAGTCTGTGCTACCCAGCCAGCGCGCCATCACAGCCCCACATTCGCCTTACTACTCACCGCGTCTCTGTCCTGCAACACCACTCCCATCTCTTCAGACCCACACTATCCTCCCTCCAACTCCCAACCCCCGCCATCTTCTTCACCACCTCTCCCGGCGGGCCCCACGCCATCTCCCTCCACACCCTCACCACGCTACATTCGATTCATGAAACAATCTATTCACTAGACCCAAAACGGAAATATCTATATCATATTAGGCATTTATCATTATTCAAGAGCTCGTGTCTACGAGCAAACTAATCATTAAAAAATACACATCTTATCATCGTCTCAATTAGTTACGCCAGCCATTAAATATGCCATCTTTTCGTCCACACCCTTCGTTCAACACCGGCTAATGCCCCATAAGAAAAAAAAACCGCTCCCACCGTTTTAAAACACCTGAGAAGCAAAAAAAGACAAAAAGGAAAAGCAAAAAAAAACACACAAAGGGGATCAGGAAGAATGAGCCAGAATATCAACAGCGCTGTAGCTCAAGACAGCAAATCAATAACAGGGGAACTAATTAATAGCTCTCTGGTAGACCTAGGCTCAGGAAGTCCGGAACATCGTTGCCCGAGCAACTCCAGTCCCGGTCATAAGCTTTCGTCGGTAATATTCCAGCAGCCATGCCCTTCTTGTAGGACCATTGAGTAGCTTTCTCGGTGTCCCATGTCCAGTACATCCATCCCCAGCCGACTTCAAATGCATCCATTTGTGCTTTGGTCCCAAGTCAATAACCGTCGCGGCAATACAAGGTTGAATAAACAAAAACATACCTATAGCAAACATCTTCAAAAACTGCTTGTATTCAGCTGTGTACGTCGACGCATCTGCGTTCGCTTTTTCGCACGAACAGTCCGTTCCGCTAGGGCAGCTAGGTTTAGAAACTGCTGTGCCATCCGTAGTGTTCAAGGTTCCCTCCCAACGCGAGCCAACGCCAACCTATACTTCATTAGCAATCCCCCGGCCACTCAAATGATACATGGTTCGACTCACATTATTCAGGTACGGCGTGCAGTCCGTATCGGCCTGTCCCCATTCACCAACAATAGTCGGCCCAAACCCCGTGGAGGTATTGAGACTCTGTGCCAGCTGCTGACTCCATCCTATACAGGCAAAATTTACCTTCGCGGTATGGCTGGCAGAGAGCTGGCCTACATTAAAGATGACATATTGATGTACATCCAATACCAGCTTATCAAGTCCATCGAATGCACCTTTCCATGAGGTTAGACCCCTGAAGCCGTCGCCGAAAATGATATAGCCCTCATACCCAGCTTTTCGGATAACAGTGTGGGCTTTAGTACTCCAGTCGATGACCTTCTGTGGATCAAGATAGATCATCTTTGGCTCGTTGACCAGACCATACATAGTGACGATGTTCTTGTACCTGGACTGTGCGAAGAACTCTGCCATCCCAGCATGGAGATCAAGTGTTTTCTGTCCATTGAGCTCTCCGTCGGTTCCGTTTAGCCAATTGATTGGCCCAAGTCTGCCACTGTGGTTCCATCCGTTTGCTCCTCCGTATACACTATGCAAGTCAAGTTTGACCCTCAGTCCATACTTTCGGCAATACTCAATTGCACGGAGCAGGTATCTCCATCCAACATTTGGAAGATATGGATCCCCCGTTTCTGGGAACACAGCCCAATACCCAAACGGAATACGAACATGGTCAAGGCCAGCATCTCGAATGCCTTTGAATGTGGCTTCGTTAACAAAAGTTGAATAATGTTTTTCGACGGTTTCCTTTGTTTTGCTTTCTCCGAGCGTCTTGGTCAAGGTATACTCGTCCACGACACCATATGCCGAAGAATAGGCGTCAAAGAACGATGGTGTAATAAACGGTTCAATGATGAGCCAACCTCCCACGTTCACACCGCGTATAGGGTTTGTCCCAGCTTCGGTGCCGTAGTTCCATTTTTCGTTTAGTGCTGGGACGCTAGGGTTGGCTTTCGTGGAATCATCATAATCATCAAATAGTCCCATCACCGAGAGCCCGCCAACCTTTTTATCAGTGAAGGTCAAGTTGAAGTCTGTAGTATCGAGCCAAGTGAATGGATCGAGATATGTTCCTTTATACTCGCTCTATTTGTAATCAGCATCATGAATTCGCATTCGATCCAGTGGTAATGACTAACCGGAACACTATTAGGGTCAATATTTGAAATGTCCCCAGAAGATGCCCCTTTTCCAAGACCAGTCCCATCCGCAGAGCTAGTTGCAGCCTTCTTCTTTCCGGCAACTACAATACCAACTGGAATCAAAATGACGAGTAGCAGTATCGTTATTCCAAGCAGAATCCCTAATTATAGTCAGCCCTTGCTTCCATTTATAACAATTTATACTACAAACAGGGTCCATACAGAAGCGGCGCCCACACCTCCGTTTCTTTGGCGGTGGCGGCGGTGGTGGTGCACTGCGACTTCGGCTCCTTCTCCCTCTCAGGCGTTCCGCGGCTTCCAAGTCCTCATCATTGGCACCGTCAATGGCAACCCCATGTCTGGACTTCCGTTTTGTCCTGCTCTTCCTTCTAGGTCTCTCGCCTAGGTCGCCACCTCGATGTCTCCATTCGTCCTCTGTGCTCTCAGACCTCACGACCCGAATAGTCTGAGCGTTACCCCGCCGACTCTCGCCCCGCCGGCCCTCACCATGCCTGCTCTCCCCACGCCGGCTCTCCCGACGTCTACTTTCCCCATGCCTACTCTCTCCGCGCCTACTCTCCCCACGGCCAATATCACCTCTTCGACTTTCTCCTCTACGCGGCCTTCTGCTCTCAGCCCTTCCCAGATCCCTTTCTCGGCGCCTTTCGCTCCTTATTGCCGCCGCGATCTTCTCCCGTTCAATCTCATCATACGTCGAGTCGTGAGAGTCATCCCTTTGGTGTGCCAGTGCATACCGCGGCATAGTCGTTAATCGTTAATCGTAATTCGTTATTTCGTTAATGTCGAGTCGAAGCGGTAGTAGCCAGGGTTGATCAGCCCCACTTCCGAGGAATGTTCGAAGTTCTCAATGCGTATGACAGGTTGATATATTGAAGCAGAGCTGCAGGCAATTAAATACCACCACCACTACCACGCAAGGCAAGGCGGATCGAGTGACCTGCAGTATGGACCTGCAGTGTTAACCTCCACTACAGTGAAGGTCCCTCCTAGTAAATGAAAAGCAAAAAAAAGTAAAAAAAGTTGAATATGCCAACTACTAATATATAGGAGGCCCAACCAAATAGCACCTACGTAATTCGTGAAAATACGATAGCAATAGTAGCAGAGAGCGAGAGAGCAAACGCGAAGTGAAAGACAGAGTTCCGGAGGGAGGGGGAAAGGGCAAGAGACACACGCGTAATGCCAAAATACCAAGCGGCTTGGTGGTTTATTCCTCCCGCCTGTGCCAGCGAACAGGGAAGGGCAGGCAGGCACAAACCTCTAGATGTTGTTTTGGTTGGGGCAGTTGCCATAGGAACCGATGCAAGCGACCAACCCCCAGCGGCAAGCAAGGTAGATCTCCCAGCCTAACTCAGTCTGTCGAATCTCGGCTAGCATCCCTGCCACTTGCGAGCCGCGACTTATCGACGTCTCTCGGCCCCTCCCGATTGGCCCACGCTTTAAAGTTGTTCCTGTGAGAGCCACGTGCAAGCGTCATCGCGGTTCGTATAATATCACAAACACGCAAAATCTCAAACTCTACCTCACCTCAGCTCAGCTCATATCCTCAGCTCACCCTTTTCTCCACGCCTTGCACGGAATTACAGCCCCCCCCCCCCCCCCCCACAACCTCCCGATCACTCCCAATTGCATGTATGCGCGGTTGCCAAATTATCAATATATTGGTTTTTTGACTTCGTTTTCATTCATGTCACTAATATATAAAACCAAATAAGTCGTCAGACTTATGTATATACAATGGATAAGGGGGACTTGGGAGAGTAAAAAGGGAGAAGAAAGCTTCAAACAAACAGAAACTAAGAAAGAGAGAACTCCGAAATAACTTTCTCGCCCACCCGCCAACAATGCTTTTTGGTCCCGGCCATATAAAAGAAAAAGGAAAATCAGGTAAAGCAAAGCTGACAAAAATCTCGTCTCGGTCAACTTAATATAAAAAAACCATAAGGAACTAATAAAAGGCCAAGGTCGAAAGGGGAGAATAAAAAAGAAATAAAAATGTAGAAACGTGCGCCTTCTAGCTTGATACACCATAATCCGTCCCGACCACCAATCACACCTTCGCCTTTCGCCTTCCTTTAAAGGGCGGGCTTGAACGTAAGCGGGTAAAAGAAAGAGTAAAGAAAAAGAAAAAAGCGAGAGAAAAATCCTTGAAAAATCCAAATTAATGCAAAGTCAAATAATCTGCAGCCTCCCGCACGCCATGTAGATAAGTGAAAAACTTTAGGAGGAAAGAAGGGATATATAAAAGCATAATAAAAAAATGATGGTAAGTCAATAAATATGAGGGGGAAATGCTGCCAAATCCCGAGAATAGACTAGATAAATCGTTTCCATATCGTTGAGTTACCATGGGCGAATTGTCAGGTAATGACAACCCTACCGCCTTCTCTGCTAGAAAGTACCCCACGTTCTTGCGGCTTCGGGCTGGATGCTCTTCCCCTCTTCTTTGACAAGAACCCCAGCATACCAGAAGGCTTTGATTTTACCGGCGCAGATTTATCAGCCAGATCTGACCACGAACCAGTCTCGTCCAATGTGACCGATACCCCACCACTTGCCGACTGATTTCGAACCCCATGCCTGGCCTTCGACCCTGCAGTTGGTGGCCTTACCGGTGTCGGTCGTTCAGGCGCGGTTACTGTCTTCAACAATGTATGTGGCGATGACGAAACCTCGCTATTCCCATTGCACTTGGTCGGTATCGGCGGGGAGCCCGAAGTCGGAGATCCCACCGTTGACTTCTGGCTCTTTGTGGCGTTAATTGAGACAGGGCTGCCTGTCACGCACCCAGCGGGGAGGGTCGAAGGTTTTACCCAGTCTGGTGGTGGACCCACAGATTGGGACTCGTTATCAACAGTACCGGGATAGCTGCTGAACTATCAGTAAGTACTATCCTCATCAATGACAAAAAAAACATACTTATCATACGCTACTGAGGTATAATCAAAGGGCTCAAAAAGCGTCTCTATCATCTTGTGTAGTTCCTCCTCCCTAATTTCTTGTGCGGTAGCATCAGGCCTTAATACCTCTCTAGGCCTCTGTCTTCGTGCTCGTGCTTCAAGCGGTGCTTCCTCTAATAATAGCTCCTCCAGGTCGTATGTCGCGTCGAAATTCGTCTTATCACTTGAGGGCTTGAATACTGGTTCGATCTCCTTTCTTTCCAATGCTTCGAAATCCAAATCCGCAAAGAAGACATGGTTGGTGAAACTTTCATATGTCAGAGCGCCTATTCGTTTGGAAATATCGGCCTGCAACAGACTCCGTATTGAGTCCATGCAGGTATTTGAAACTGCTGGTTTCGTAACTGCGTATACAGGGTTCGCCCTCATGATTTCTCTTGAAAGTTCCACGTGGGTATCGGAAATAAATGGGCGCTATTTCATGTCAGAACCAAAAACCGAGGAAACCGAGGAAAAAATTACCTTTCCGTAGATACACTCATAGAATACGACTCCCAACGACCACCAGTCCACCTCCGTTCCATATCCCCTTCCTGCATAAACCTCTGGCGCGAGGTAAGCCAACGTACCTGACTTGCTTGTTAATGGCCGGTCAGGGTGGATATCCGACGCAACATTCTATAATTCCAAAATTAGCTACTGCCTATGCCCTATAAGTATGGAGAGCCTTACAAAATCCGCCAAATGCACATGACCATCCCCGTCGAGCAATATATTGTCGGGTTTGACATCACGATGCACGATACCTCTTGAATGGATATACTTCAATGCGCAAGACAATTCTGCCATCCAAAACCTAATCGCATCCTCCGTAAAGGTCTTTCGCGAGATGTGGAAACGCAAATCTCCACCATTCATCAAATCAACCACAATGTACCTAAAATTCAACCTAACCGTTAGGATCCACTGAGTTCCTATAAGGTGATAGATGATGTCGAAAAACATACAAGTATTCGATATCCTGGAAAGAATATCTCAGATTGCACAGAAACGGGTGGTTTAAATGCTCCAACATCCGTCGCTCCCTGATGATATTCCTGACACTCTCCGATCGAACCACTGCAATTTCCCACGCATCAGCCCAATTCCACTTTCCACATTCTCTCCCTCTCCAGACAACTGCCACACACCTTCATCTTTCCTGATGTACTTGAGTGCGAACGTCAAGCCCGTATCCTTCCTCTCGACAATGCGGACCTTCCCGAAAGCACCCTTTCCCACTACTCGTAATAGGCGGAAATGATTTAGGTTGACTAAAACTCTTTTCAGTAGCTGAAGCTTCACTAGGCAAGGGAAACACGGTAGAACAAACCCTCATCCGTGAATACAACGGGTTTCCCGCTGGAATTACCCATGGTGTCTTTTTCGAGCTTCCTTGGGTTACTGTATTAACGCCAGACTGGAAATAATTGACCCTTTGTCGCCTTTAGATTATTCTTCTTCCGAGCAGTGTACCCGATTGTCTCGCGAATTGCTTTTGCACAAAAAATTAAGAGAGGGGGAAAATGGAATAGAGGGTTTTTCCTTAGGTGTGACTTTGAGAGATCGGCAATGAGGTTTCGAGGAAAGGGAACACAGCAACGGAAAAGTAAGAAAAGAGATAGAAACAGGGTTTAAGGGATAGTTGTCGGAATATGAACGGAGAGAGTTAAGACTCAGAGAATCCCGGGGAGGGAGCAAGTGGGTAAGTAAGTAAAGAAGGAAAGGAGACTTCTAGAAGTTCTGCAGAAGAGAGAAGGAAGAGAAGGAAACCACACAAGAACGAGGTGGGGTGCGGTGAGCAATTGGTAGGTAGTGCAAATGGTTGGCCAGGAACGGAGAGGGTGCCAAAAGGGCAGAAAATAAGGTAGGGTTGTTGTAGTAACAGTAGTAGTGAGTAGTGTGTGTGTGGGCAAGGCTGGCAGGATTATCGGGGTTGTAAGGACAGGCGCGGAAGGAAAGGGAAATTCGGCTTTGGGAAAGAGAAATGCGAAACACCCGTACCGGTCAGTTTCTCTACTTTCGGGCTTTTCGTTGTAGGCGACAAATAGATTAGGGAAAGAAGCAAAGGGGAAAAAAATAAGTCAACCCCAAACTGAACAAGGGTTCCAAAAGGCTGGTTATGGGAATGGGTTCACGCGATTTATTGGGGATCAGTCAATCAATCAGGGAAACAGGAACACTGCGCCGAGGGAAGGCGTGACTCGTCTATATGTAGGTACGGGTATTTTCCAACTACAGTTGTAACGCCTGGCTGAGTGAGGTTGTGAGGGATGGATTGGGTGTGAGAACAAGCAAGTAAGCAGCAGTTAGGGCAGTTGGGGACCAGTTTTGCGACTGCTGGGATCAAAAGGAAGCAAGGAGAAAAGCAAGAAGGAGAGGAGAAGTCGACGACGTCGGTCTGCACCGTATGTAGGCAGAGTATTATTGTGGTATGGATGGATTGTATGGTACTACTCCAGAGCACAACCTATTACTCCCAGGCTTGCTTGCTTGTGTGGACTCACTCTATCTAGGTAGTGAGCTGCTAGGGGAAGAATGAGAATGAGCGCCTTTACGTAGGAGGTGGTCTAGATACTCTTGAGGCTAGGTAAGATGTTCAGAAAGAGCTCGTGTGGGCGTGGTGGAGGCACTGAGGGTGTGGGTGCCCCAAGACGTAACAACCTACAAGGGCTTCGGATTGTTGACGGTTTCATGGGTGGGGAAAGCAGAACAGACAGGGGAGCCCAGATAGAGGGGTGGTGGTGGCCCTTTCGTTTCCTGCGCCCTTTCATGACAGTTCTCTCTGCAGAAGAATTAAAATCTACCCCCTTCCCTTCCCTTCCCAACTTCCCCCACCCGATCCAGCCCTTTCTTTCTTAAGTTCCTTCCCCCATCGTATCGTCGGCCAACCCCCGAAAGAGTACCCGTCATGTCAGTACCACATACAATGTGTAACATGCACCTACTCTACATACGTCGGCGGTGAGGATTTGATTCCAGGTTGGTTACTTTGGGTCACCATCGATGATCATCATACATACCAAGTACTATCCAGATTAGATTTCTATTTAAATACAACATCAATAGAGTAACAGTAGCATACATAGGCAGTGCCCACTTCACTTCACTCCACCCGGCAGTTTTGTCTTCTGGAAACCATATTCCTGGCTACCCACATGTGCCTTTCTACGTACATACAAGACCTTTGATATTTCCTATTGTTACCTATTTTCTTTAGATTTATTTTTGCTATATCAATCCATTATTACTATTAGCTCTTAAATGTTTATTTTACACACACACACACCTCTTCCCCACGCGATCCCGGGTTTCCAAGATGATCCTGGGATGCCACGAGGTCGCCGTTATTTTTCCTGCAAGACACCGCACGATTTCGCGGCCAAGAATGAGAGGGAAAGCATGGCAACAGAGGCCGAAACCACCGAACGCCATGTTGTTGGCGACTCAGGGTGCCTTAAGATTTGAGACTGTAGCTGGGAAGTACCTACTCAACCGAAACTGGCTAATCAGTTTTCTCAGCCTTCCTTTGATTGTCGCCCAAATAGCCTTCTTTGTACAACTTTTCCTCTGGAGTAGACACAGAGATGGATACATCCCGATTCTATGTATGTGAGTAAGTACCGCTATAGAGTACCGCCATAACTCGAAAATTTGGCTAGCTTCCAGAGATCAAAATTACTTGTATGGGAAATTTCTGATGCAGATCGATGCCATTCAACCAATCACTCGAGTGATAATCCCTAGCCGGAGATAGCCAATTTTTCGAGTTTTGGCGGTATTTATGTATGTAGCCTGTAGGTGCTCCGGACAGCGGTCAATCCGTCCTCCTCCACGCAGTTCCCACGCGGCTCGAGCGTGGGAAGGAGTTAAATGGCGACTGGGTTCCCCTCCCCTCGCGGACAGGGGTTGGAGGTCACACCTCATCAATCCACGACACGCTAGAAGGGCAGTAGAAGCGCCATGGAACATCTTGAAAGGGAAATTGTAGGAAAGCTAAGCCGAGCACGGATGCACGCACAATACGAAGCGCACTCAAAACAAAAAAGAATAATATTCTACCAACATGTAAGCAGAAGAAAGATGAGAGGGAGGCAAGGGCTGCAATATATTACATTATTGGTCGATATATGATAGATGATAGCATAGCAGATGTCAGCTATGATATCGGTATAGAATATATAGGTAAGCCCTTTTACTGTTTCTGCTGTTGCGGCCATAATATTGACTTTGCCATAAACCTTCAAATTCCCATGTTCAGCCCCAAACTCGTTCACATTGCGCAGCGTATCAACATGCCTATATGTCAAGCTTGAACAGGCTAACAAGTAGTGTACCCGCTTGACTGCATGCAAAACATATCAAAGGCTGCGGCTCGGAGGTGGAGCTTCCAATTGACTGAAAGGCTCCAGCCATCCCAATACAAAGGTAACCTGCTTAGCAAGGTGATCCAGGGCAAACACTTTGTATGCAGCGTGCAGTGCGCTTCTTCACACCAGTTTAAAGTGCCTATGTGCTCTACAGCTTACAGTAAGATTATTATAGAAATATGGGAGGAGTCCTATTGGCTTACCCAGCCCAGAAACCCTGTTTTTAGACCCCTGTTTCTACAATAATTGTACCTCTCGCTGTACCGTGCCCCGCATGGAAGGAAGTCAGGACGAAATAACAGCATCATTGGCAATTCCCATCATCCATCGCATTGGTAACGAATCCGCGATCTAATGCAGCAGAAAACCAGCCAATCTTTGAAGTCCATGCTGCCAGCTCCCATCGGTACCAATTCCCGACTGGTTGAATATCACTTGCTGGAAAGGAAAGGTGCATAATACCGGCTTCTCGCCCGGTATACTAGAGTGAGAACTCGAGAGTATGTGCTTGCTTGCCACCACCAAACTGAACTCCGGGTCCAACACCGCACTGGATGTGGCAATCAAAGCTTAATTCTTGCCTGTCGATTCCTACCAAGTAGAGTATATACTAGCCAGAATACCATAGACCTCCCGAGGTGTGAAGGAGGCAGCCCTGAATCGTCCGTCCGTCTAGTATGCTCCGCCATGTTGTGCGAATGACCACCTGCAGATCCAATTGACACTACCTGGAGTAAGTAGAATATCAATTGAAGTGCTGCAAGGTAGCCGACCAATTTCCGTTCGCGTAGCTGCCTGCCTGCCGTTCTGATAACAAAATCCAAGAGCACGATTATTACCAAACCGGATTCGATTATTATTATACACTGTATCCAACGTAACTAAGAACAACGTTCGTGGCGGCAGAACCACTGACTCCTCCTTAGACCGTGTGCACCTGTGCCGAGAATGTACCTGTGCCGAGCATCTTATCTGATCTCTAGGGATCCGCTCCAAATGGTGGCTAAAATGCTGCCTTTATTATAAGGTGCTCGGCACAGGTACATGCTCGACACAGGTGCACACGGTCTACTACATTACTCCAACTTAGTACTCTCAATTGAATTCGCTAAACGCACAGACCGCCGCCGATCTCTTATCTTGGCCAGGACCGACGGGTACTGCCATGGACAGGATCCCATCAAACACCCCTTCCTGTTCCTAAATATGGAAGGACCTGCTCAAGATAACTCTTTTAGCTTTAAATGCCTATGCATCCATAGAGTTTGAGCTTGAATCCGTATGATGAGGAAGCGGAAGGAGATGGGAGAGGAAGAAAGAAAGAAAAAAAAGAAGCCATATATGCAAGGGGACTTTGACCTCTACTAGTATTTCGCTGACGTTTTTGAACTGGGCCATTATTGCATACACCCAAAATCATGAGCTTGGCGTATTTTTGTATGGCATGCAATATCAGTCGCGTCCACAAACGTCAGTAGATGAGGGCTTCTCGGGTAACAACAACGGCATTTCGACTCTGAATAAATTCGTCATCTTGCGCTGCACTGCACTGCACTGCGCTCGCGAGGTGAGGTGAGGTGAGGCGCCTGTTTCGTCTCGGATAGTTTAATGTCCGCTGGACTGTATATGTACCGACGTTTAACGCATCCGATATCCGTCGTTTCTGATACCTAGATACCGGTCTATATACAACTTTCATTCTAGCCTCCTGCTCCTCATCCTCCTTCCAGTGGTTCGGTTTTTTCGGCCGGTCGAAAGGCAACTTGCCATGTCGGACTCATCTGTTAATCGTATTCAAAAGTGAGACCCCTTTACCCGATCGTTTCCTACCCCCAAGAACTCTAGATTCCGATCTGCTCACGGTGCCACAATAGGCCCAAGCACCACAAGATATCTATCCCTTTTTATTGTTGGTCTCCGAATGGTTTCTATTGGCCGAACGGCGCTTTCCTATGACTTTTGTATATCGGAATTCGGCCCGAGGCACAAAGCGCCACCTTCCCTTCCCTTCAGTGGCCATGAACCAGCACAACACCCAAGAAGAAAGGGAAAAAAAAAACTCCTGCTCGGACCATTTCCCACGATGTCAGATTATCTTGTCTGCAAGACCGCATACTCTAATATAGTACCCCACAATTCGGCAAGCGGCGTTGTCATATTATTGGGTAGGGGTTTGTATATTTAGTAACCTTCAATAGTAAGATTGTGATACGTCCCAAGGTTTTAGATCCGGAGATTAATCTCAGCATCCCCACCTTACGCTGAGTTGGGAGAATCACAGCATCTCACTCGATGCTGATTACTGAAGTAGGTTGCGTCGTGCGCGCGGGTTCTAACATCAATACTCGTAATCCTAATATTGTGGGCGTGCAACGGAGATCTTTGTTCCTAATACCTTTTCGCAACCGCGTATTCATTTCATTGATACCTTTACGTCCCATTTCTAGGTCCGTTGACAAGGATGATCGTGGCAAGCCTGCAAGGTAGAGAAAAAAGGGGACTTGTATGATTGGTATGCCTTCTGCACGGAATCAATAACACTCAGGTAGTAAGTCAGAAAGATAGCGAGTTACCTGTGTAACAGAAAACCATGTCGGCAAGCCGATAAGATAAATCACCGGACACTATTCGGTAACTATTCTCAGGGTCACGGTTCATCCATATCGGTGGTGAGAGCCATATCAGCCATCATCTCCGCAAGAAGGCACCCGTCCACGACAGCGCTAGTTAAACGCCATGCTCCGAGCGCGAGCGCGTCAGCTTGCAGTTGAGCTTGTCAAACCCCTAATAGCTCAATTTCATATAGGAACTAAGACAAGTATTGTGAAATATTACCTACTTTTTGTCTCTAAGCTTTCTCTATTAGGTCAGGATCTCCATATTCTTTTCTTTCAAGTTAGGTAGCTCATGATATTAGCTAAGTGTTGCCTCATAGTTCCTAGGTGATGAGGACTTGGTCTTTCTATGCGATTTCTATTACTTATTGCAACGAAACCAATCCTTCCACAACTAGACTAGCAACAGAATAGAGAAATATTTGTTTCCCTACGGTCGAACAGTTTTGTTTTTGATTGCTTCTATCCTATCGGATAGCCAATAGAACAGGTTCTATCGCTTACGGGAAGTCCTCCAATAGATTCTACAGCTGAGCACTAATACATGCAAGAAACATGCCTCAAAGTAAGTTTTGTTGACATTATCTGATATATGACAGATGTTATTTGACGAAGCGCGAATATTAAACGCTTGATAGACATACCTACTTTCCTGTCTCGGATACTGCAGCTTTCACTCGAGATGCATATGCTAAATTTTCAGGAGAGCCGTTTATGCAGGTAGCATCCAGCGTCAGTCTGTTGGTTCTTACCCCTTCCTTCGGTGAAGAGCGTATTGGCTAACGCAATCAAATACCTATACTTGAATGTAGTATACATCTTAGTCAGCGGAATATTCTCCCATTCGTTCTTTTAGGTACCCATGCTGGTACATGCGGATACGGGTAATGCACATAGAAGTAGAGTGCTCGTGTTTTCCTGACGTTTGTGGATGCGACCAATATTACATACCATACAAAAAATACGCCAAACTCATGATTTTTGGTGTATGCAATAGTGGCCCAGTTCAAAAACGTCAGGAAGATACGAGTACATACTCGCGGCAGGCAAAAAGTACCGGACAATGCAAGTTTTGTCTCTGGGCTTTTTTTGCAGTAGTTCACGCCTAGCACGCGCACCCATTGGTGAACCAAAAACCTGCATTGTTCGGTACTTTTTGCCTGCCGCGAGTACCAATTATGTAGATATGCGGGGAGGTTGGGCGCCAGTCAATGGATATTCTAATTGTCCCAGTGTCTTGGGCTCGGACATACATACGTACATCCCAGGTCCAACCTCCCCGTATTGGCGGAAAATTAGGCGAAAATTTCATCTTCAAGCTTTCCACTGAACATGGAAAATCCTGGTTAAAACTAGATTCGGTCGATCAACCAGGCCGAACACCAAACATCTGCTCACTAGTATTGATGACTATATGCTTGGTATTCTTTTCCCTAGCCTAATTTTCGGTACGTTGAGTAGAAATATCAATATCACATACTGTACTTACGTGTATTTAGAATGCCTTAAAGAGAACACACCAGCGCAGAGTAATGTTTGCACATATCATGTCACCTTAGACAACAAGCCCAATAGTACTTGTGTATAGGATTAATTTTTCCGGCTACTCCTAGAAACGGAAATGGTAAATTCAACCATCGGCCAGTCGAAGATTGAAACCACGGTTCACCGCGGTGATCTCATGTCTTCTAGGGGCTCCCTTCATTAGAATCTGCAAGTCTAGTACCCTTGTTACTTCTGCACTTGCCATGTCGGTCGGAATACCGAGATCGAGAAAAGGGAGCGTCGAACCGGTTACACAGGGGTATCTTTATTATCCTGGCCAGGAAAATGATGTAGGCTTCTTCAGGTATTTCCTGTGATATGTTGACTAGTTAGATCACCAATCTACATCTTCAGTATGGTCTCACTGTATTAGTTGGAACTTAGCCTTGCCATCCGGTGGGGAAGATGTAGGTGGCTTTGTATCATCTGATATTTCTCCAACTCCAACAAGGCCTTGGGGCATTGTACGGAAAACGTATGAACCAGGTATTAATTATGTGGCCAAAAGCTATGTAGGGGACGTGGGGGCAGGTTTTACCTAGTGAAACTCCAGATTCAGTGCGTCATTCTCTAGTGATTTTAATACCAGAATTTCTTTGTATAGAAACATGAAACGTACGCCAGTGTATTTTGGGAGCCAGGTTCAGCATGTTGTCTCGACCAGAATCAATTCCTAGACATTGAGTAAGACTACGGGTAAAGGAATCCACGGATGGACAGTGAGAAATTATGGCTAACTCACCCAGATTCTGGGGGAAGAAAGCGTTCAGCTGCATGCAGTATGCACGTTAGGTACCGACTTTGTTTTAACGAAAAATCGTCAACAGTTCTAAAGACTGCATAGCATGTGCGCCACTATCCAGGTTAATGCCTGTCCTATGGGTCGCCGGCCAGAATTTATGTGCGTAAGTGGAGTAGTCATGATTATCGATATTTCAAGTGCATAGTGAAGTATATCGGTATTGGTGTGTAGTACAATTCTGAGTTGATCGGAGCTAAGCTCAAAGTCAGCCTTGTTCCAGATTTATTGAGGAGTGGAGGAATTCATATCATGACTCTCCACCTCCGTCTTGACAAAATTTGAAATTTGCTTGCTCGGTTTAGGTTCAGAGATACCAGGACGCCATATGAAACTTGAACCATCAAGGTGGCTAGTTTGTGGAGATAGAATTTGGGGGAGCTAGCAAGAGATCTTCTCTAGCTGGGACTTTACTCTGGATAGATGACTTTGCGGTTTCGCGGGGAAAGGCTGAAAGGGGTGAAAAAGTCCATATTATTGAGGATACATGTACGTACTATCCCTCATGTTTTGGTTTGTAAAGTACATGTAGTCGATGCTACTCTAAGAGTTCGTATCGGTACCAATGTGGCCACGTCCGCTTTTTTAATCTGGTAGCACAGGCCCAAAAATCAAAGTTTATTTCCCTGCGCCGTATCCACACCAATCACCTCACTCCCTGCATTGGCCGAGGAGTATCATTTCTGCTACGTACACAGATTTATGCAACACATAAGAACCATCGATCACTATTACTCTATTATTCAAGTCACCACCCCCCCGATTTTGTATCCTGGAACTTCATGAATCCCAGTACCCACAAGCAGATTGTACTGCGGTCAGCATGCATCATACTTTAAAGATTACTTTCGATGGTTATCAGTCTTAGTACCGCATTTTTGAGAAGATTTTCTACGTATTCGCGTGGTTTCATCACCCGTCATAGTGTCTCTTCCTGGTAATTTCTTCCGCTATGCCTCTTAATGAAGTAACCGATCAATCAATCCCGCTATGCCTCAGGAGCGTGACTAACGAGTGATATCTCATGATTAGGATTTCGGTTTTTTTCTTCTTTTCTTTCCTCAACTCATTAATTGCATGCAGCGTTACAGCTATTGGTAACATTTGGATTTCAGTTGATTGGGATTCCGGTTAATAAGTATTATAGGAGATAAATCGAGGAATTATGATCGTTCTGGCAACCTATGACTCTGCTTGAGGGTAGAAGTACTTATGAGAGTATATCGTTGCACATATGATAGGCAAACGGTGCGGCATCTTGTAGTTTTAAGATGAATAAATATAGTGAGCTAATTGATCAATTGACTAGTGAATCTAAGATAACATGTACTAGCCGTCTTGCCTCGACCTAATTACTCTCACTAGCTGATTATGGGTGCCAATATATGAATATATGAGAGTGATCAATCACGAGGATAATTATAACCCTTTCTATCTGAGGGTATCACTAATTCCTCTAATGAGTGGTGTTACTAGTAGTAGGATCATTACGCCACCTAGCAATCTATTGTGGTATCACGCTCGCTACATGTAGTACTTGATGGGCATTTAGGTCACATAGCTAGCAGCCGTACTCAGGGGAGTGATTTTCCATGATATATCAATATGTGTTTACCACGGTGTTCAAGCGCTGCGATAAAATACTTTAATATACGCTTATTATCATTTAAACAGAGTTCATTTATATTGAAAAGATGTGTTAAACAAGTTCTTTCATAAACTAAGTCTAGTGGCTGTGATTCTTGCATTTTGTACCTTTTATCCCACAATCAAAGCCTCGACATATACACTTAAGTTCGTACTAGAACTAGTGGCACAGCTGCTTCGTGACTGACAGGAACGGAATTAACAATACCGGCAGGTAAATAATTAATTCCGTCAGTTCAACCTGATAGTTAATTGCACGCACCTGTCACAGAACCACACCATCGACACCGACTTAGAACATAAGCAACACCCTTGATATTATGGCCGAGAAGTAGGACTGATAGCTATAGTACATGTACCCATAGCCTACATGTAGCTATATATAAATAAATGTCTATCCCTAATTATACAACTTAGGTGTGTCTGAATAGTTTTTTTCACAACTCTCTTCCTAGGCCTTGCATCCTTCATTAGTCTACTAATGAGAGAATCTCGCGTACCTAACAGCTTCCCCCTCTGACAAAGTCTGATGTTATGTAAATAACCCACCGGTCGTGCCCGCTCGGAGATATCAAGTTTGGCTCTGAGCGAGGACTTGAGTAATTGAACTAGAAGCATATATATATAACTAAAACATTCTGGGGTTCATTTTTAGCTTAATTATCGTGAGAGACATTAGAAAGTAGATTTCGATCCTTTGAGTATTGACATCTACGGGAAGCAGTTCTCTCCAGAAGAAACTAGTACCCGTGAGGGGGACCCGGATATCGGTCTAACTCTCGTGCCTTTAAAGCCTTAATCTAATGGTCGGTCGCGATCATGATCAACTGGAGACAAAGCTCTCTCCGTATATATTAAACTTACAATTGCCTCTAGTTATAGTTTAATTCAATATTATAACTCAGTTTATAGTTAATTCAATAAGAGGTAGGTTATGCCCCGACCTCGTTCATAGAAATTACGTCATGATATATCACTCGGAATTCACATATCGCTGAAAGTGAAATTATTTAGTCCGTTTATGGAAGTACATACACCCTATAAGTATACAATTTAAAAGATGTGATTGGCCGAGTTGGAGAAGCTTTCCTATTTTTTTTATCTTTTTTTAATATTAATTTTTAACGTTTGGAGGAAGATCAAATTACATGTAACGAGACTCCGCCATTTTCTACATACTATATATATAAGAAGAAGAGGGAGAAGAAGAGGGAGAAGAAGAAATAGAATCGATCAATTAAAGAGGGCTTATTATACAGAAAGGAAAGAACCTAGAAACCAGAAATAGACCCCAACCCCCCGTCACGTCCTGCTCTAGCCGTAGATAGAGATTTGCCGGCCCCCGTCTTAAAATTGAGGTGGAAGGACAGTGAATGAGCCATACTCCCAATTCAAAAAGATTTTGAACTAGGAGGACCAGGGGACTCTATAGCCAGTACTACCCCTCAGTGGCACTATGGAGTTTTGAAGAGGCGGGGGAAACTGAGAATTTATAGCGAGAAGGACTTGCCAAGACAGGTTTATCTCAGCCGCTCCACGATTAGGATAAGCCAGAAAGACACCAAGGTTAGAATTGATAAAGCTTTTAGTAAGTGGTCCATGTAAGTACGTACATAGTGTGGTCTTGCTGTTGCATAAGATCATTACGAGCTTTGATATATATCAGGTATCTCGTCTACATACATGTCGGAGAATCGGTTTATCGCGGGTATCTGCAGATAAAACTGTTAGTCCAACACCCGAGTTATTGAATTGACGTACTCGGCAGTTTTCTCCTAACAAAATATATGGATTGCAATTGTGTCGTACTAATGATTTATCTTTATCGAATACCTAGATCTTCGATCTATTGTTCTTTGAATGATTATGTTGAAAGCACTCTGACTTTTAATCTCGTGGGCTGGAGAGAGCAGTACGCGTACGGCTACCGGCATACATCCGAAGATTCAGAGTCCCCTGATCATGAATTTTCCGCAGGAATCGAGACATGACCGTCTAGAATTAACTTTTGTACTTCCGTCTTTCCATCTAATCTTAGGGTTTCTATTTTCGTCAGTGAGTCGAGTGCTATAGGGAGTATATAGTTACGGTAGAGTAATGATCGTTTTATTGTTAAGAGAGTGTGTACGCCTATGCATGCAAGGGACCGTTCGGTTTTCCTTCCGAAGAGTAATGTTTAGAAGGACGTACATGCGCCAAAAGGCCGTGATATTCTAGAATGCTACACACTCAATCAAAAGCAAATTTGAAAATCAATCAGTTGTGGTTGCATCGAGCGCACCATAGCCATGTCCAAGGCTCTATCTCATATGTCCTTTGGCTTCCCTTATTATCACGCGTTTCGTGCTACAATCCTTCCCACACTTATCGCAGCAGTTGCAGGGCTCTCGCACATGTGCACGCAACCGGAATTATTATCTTGACATAGGCCTAGGTGCTACGTTAAGAAGTGGCTTTCAAAGACCTTTAATCTATGTTAATACTACGCATTTCCTAGTCGGCACTTGCGTGCACGTGTATACGTAGCATTTATGGCCGCGGTCTTGGCAAGTAACTGGAAAACTTTCTTGCAAACCAGAATATTCTCTGGCTTAATACTAAAGATAAAGTAAGTTCCGTCCATCATTCTCGAGAGATGGCTATCCACAACAGGGCAGTTATACTCTAAAACAATGGTATGGAGGTGGGGATATATATATAGAGAGAGAAGGTGTGGCCACGGCCGAGATAGCTAGAAAGCGTGTGTGAGGGTCTACTGCTCTTAACTACAATTGGATGGGAGCCAGACCCGGAATTTCACGAGAGGGGATTTTAGTTCTCTACGGGACAGTTCAAATAGGATCTAGCACAGTCAGTTCGTGAAGAAGACCCACTTAACTAGGGGGACATATAACCGTTAACATGCATATGTTAGGATTCACCTCTGGATCTTACCCGCCCTAGCACAGAGCCTGCTTCAACAGAGGCCTGGCATATGTATTAAAACGCGTTTAAATACGGCGTCGCTTATATAATATAATAATATAGTGTCAACCACTGAGATTAAATCTCTCATTGTACCACGCAGTCCTCAGTCTCGCTTTGTGCACGATTGGCATTCTGGATGTAAAATCTTTTTAGTGGTTAAAATGGAGTGTTCTAGTCCGAAACTACTGACCGGCGGGTCGTGTTTATATCTCGCCAAAGCTGCTAGTAGTGGCCGTTGCACCGGGAGTTCCTCTAGATGGTTAGGCATTACCGCCAAGTCGAGTGATACCCGGTGACCAGGTTTATTAATCGACAATGATTGATAATTCGTGACACTGCACAAAATCCCGTCGCAACTAGTGCATTTAGTTTAGCTCAATTCGGTGGGATTCCTGACGCAGTATGTAAAAGCTTATGTCCCATCAGACTCTAGGGTCCTGGGTAACCCTTCCTTGCTTCAACGAGTTACTGTCGGGAGGAAATCACAGTATGTTTATCATTACTACCCTAAGAGCAGCCAGGACCGGATGTGTGTGTTTACATACCAACATATTCATGGACACGTTCCCTTTGGCAATTGAAGTGTATTTCAAAGACCACGAGACCATAAAATAAAGCCCGCTGTGGTCTGTGCACTGCATTGGTCAATTTGACCCAAACTAACTGCGTATATCCTGCACGTTATTTGCGGCGGCGGGCCTCACCCCGCAAGGCTTGATGTATTGTAGGAGTCGCTACCTTAGATCGACAGGAGTCCTCGGGCTGCTTCGGAGAAACACTCACCTTAACTTAGGATCACCGGGATCGGCTTATCCAGAATTGTTCTGGAGCGCTTGGAGCCTACATGTCAAACACAGCAAAAATAACTCTTTTTCCTCACAACCATTTGGAAACTCCGACGTCGACAGGTCTCCTGCGATGCTTTGACCAACATGCCTTGATTCGAAACTGCTTCGATCATCCTCGGAGTTTCGGAACCAGGATGTCAGAAGCTGTGTTCTACGTGCTACCAACCATGCAAGTATGGTACCTGGAATTCACAACTGTATCGCTGCGCCCTATACGGAAGTAAACGGGTTGAGAATTATACTTGGCACAGACAGACTCCCTGTAGCACAACAAAGAGAGAAAAAATAACTCTTCGGAACTCAGTTAGAAATTCCCGAGCCTCGGACAAAGGGATAATAAGGTCTAAATTCGGGACTTTGTTACGAATGCCCGAAGGAGGTGAGTGAGCTCTTTGCAAAGAAAAGACGATGAAATTGAAATTGCAGGAGCTCTATGTCGTTGGTTGCGAGTTACAGAGAGTTTGTATGGCTTAAATTTTCATCAGAGAAATTTTTTAAGGGGATGGGAGCTTGGCGACATGTCATGGAGAGATGGCCGTTGGCTTGTTTTTTCTCATGTTTCTTTTCTTTGCGATTGGCGAGCCATCGAATATGCGGGGTGCTCTAGCGTGTGGAGCGGGAGGCAACTTGCGTGGTACCCAATTGTTGACCCTGGCTCAGCCTCCCTGGCTAATGTTTCTTCCGGAGCTGGAGTGCGTAGGTATATGTAGGTACATACATTGCTGCACGATCCTGGGGACTGTAGAGTAGCATTTCAATACTTGCTCCTACCTCATCTGGGAGCTCCCGTGAAGCAGTGTCGCGTGCGTGCGAGTAATATTGTGAAGGTAGACCTTTTCTTTCTTTCTTTCTTTCGAGAAACTCAGGGTGTCAGGATGCGGTCTGCGCCTTCTTACTCTACCATACATATTGGATGTAGGTACCTCCTTGCTTTCTTTAGGCAGCTGAGAAGTCGGGAAGAGATCACCAATTTGTGGTTGGAAAGCTTCCATACGTGCGTGTGACCTTTTTGTAACTGCGTAGTCTCAGCTGCGACTTACGTGTGTTATTGGGGTTGGAAGCCACGGGACCAGCATCGTGAGGTCTAAGCGTGAAAAAAAACACAGACTTCACGATGTCAATTACCCCCAGGAAATAGGTAAACTCGTGGAGTTGCTGTTGGAAGTTGGATGTGTAACAAGGCTGGGCCGAGAGTCTGAGACCTCTTCGGCTTCCTACGGCTGCGGTTATTTTCATCCTTTGAAAATTCGGTTTCCAAGTATTGGATCGCATTGCAGGATCCTAGGAACTGAATTGTTCCGTAACTTTCCTACCCATGCACAAAGCACAAGGAGAAATGCATTTATTTATGCAGTGCATGCAGGAATGGCTACTTCATGTAGCCAGGGGCTGAAAATCATCGCTTAATGAGCATTATTCGGATGAGCTCCGGCCTTTTCTCGTCGCCCAAGTCTTATTTCCCCAGAAAATTGCGGATTTTTCGGTTGTGACGTGGGCCTTGACCCAGGGATGGGTTTCAGAGAGCTGTCTCCCGATTCCTTCCGTAGGGAGCATCGGCTGCGACTCGGTCAACTGGCAAGTGAACGAGTTGGAGGAGTGCCTCCGCAACGCCGGATTGCTCCGAGGTCCAGCTACCAAGTTGAACCAAACAGGAGGCGATCAACTGGATCATCCCTCTGAGTTAGTGTGGGACACAACGGTTAGCTCCTGGAGTGGCTAGCCACTTGACGAGTCCTCCCGAAGAACCTTGAGGATGCTTCCGAATAAGTGTCGTATACTCTCTTGCACCTCACTTGCTACCCAAGCTGTCCGAAGGAATATAAAGCCCTCGCATTCCCCCAGATTTATTTTCACTTCATCACCATCACCATCACCACCAGCAGCAGCAGCAGTTCACAGTTCGATATCCATTCCTCTTCGATATACAGCTTGCCACAAACCAATTCATCTCTCTTCTCCATCATTTAAAGCTTTCTATTCCAATAACTCTCTAATCAAAATGGTTTCTGGATCAGTCAACCGAACTTCCCTCCACCCTGGAGGTGTACAGTGAGTTTATCCAGCTCTTTCTCTGCAAACCCATTTGGTGGGATGAGTCCATTCATCGATGTGGCGATATTTTCCCACCGAGGACTTATCCCCACGGATTTCACCTTTACAAAGAAGCTCTACTGACGTCACAATTTAGACCTACTCGTGAGCACACCGAAATTGAAGAGGAGCTCCATGACAAGGCCAACATCGACTATGACCGCGTTGCCATTGTCGCCAACCCTTCAGTAGCAGCTCTATATGAAGATGCTTTGGTTTACGAGACCGGTACTGCCATCACATCCTCAGGTGCCTTGACTGCGTACTCTGGAGCCAAGACCGGTCGTTCTCCCCTTGACAAGCGTATAGTCAGAGAGCCCTCGTCCGAGAAGGAGATCTGGTGGGGCCCTGTCAACAAGCCGATGGAACCCGAAGTACGTAATCACCCGGTTTTGTGGGGTAACTAGTGCGCTTGGCCTTGCGCTAACATTATCAAAACAGGTGTGGAGAATTAACCGCGAGCGTGCTGTCGATTACTTGAACACCAGAAACAGGATTTACGTCGTTGATGGTTTCGCCGGATGGGATGAGCGCTACAGAATTAGAGTTCGTGTTGTCTGCGCTCGCGCCTACCACGCCTTGTTCATGAGGAACATGCTCATCAGGCCCAAGCCTGAAGAGCTTGTTCACTTCGAGCCCGACTACGTCATCTACAATGCTGGAACTTTCCCTGCAAACAGATTCACCACTGGTATGACTTCTTCCACCTCAGTTGCGATCAACTTCGCCGAGAAGGAGATGGTCATTCTTGGCACCGAGTATGCGGGTGAGATGAAGAAGGGTGTCTTCACCATTCTCTTCTACGAAATGCCTGTCAAGCACAACGTCCTCACTCTCCACTCTTCTGCCAACGAGGGAAAGGACGGGGATGTCACTGTTTTCTTCGGTCTTTCCGGAACTGGAAAGACCACTCTGTCTGCTGACCCCAACCGATCATTGATCGGTGATGATGAGCACTGCTGGTCTGACAAGGGTGTCTTCAACATTGAGGGTGGATGCTACGCCAAGTGCGTTGGTCTCTCAGCTGAGAAGGAGCCTGATATTTTCAACTCCATCCGTTTCGGATCCGTTCTCGAGAACGTTGTCTTCAACCCTGACACCAGGGAGGTTGACTACGATGATGTTACCTTAACTGAGAACACCAGAGCTTGCTACCCCATCGAGTACATCCCGAACGCAAAGATTCCTTGCATCGCCGATGCTCACCCATCAAACATTATTCTTCTCACTTGCGATGCCAGCGCTGTCCTTCCCCCAATTAGTAAGCTGAACAATGCCCAGACCATGTACCACTTCATCTCTGGTTACACCTCTAAGATGGCCGGAACTGAGGATGGTGTCTTGGAGCCAACTGCGACTTTCTCTGCTTGCTTTGGACAGCCCTTCCTTGCTCTCCACCCCATGAGATATGCCAGCATGTTGTCTGAGAAGATCACTGAGCACAAGGCCAACGTTTGGCTCTTGAACACCGGTTGGGTCGGTGCCTCTGCCAACAAGGGCGGAAGACGTTGCCCTCTCAAGTACACTCGTGCTATCCTTGATGCTATGTAAGTCTACACCCGAAGTATTACCTTGTATCTACCATTTGCTAACAAACATCTGCAGTCACTCTGGTGAATTGGCCAATGCCGAGTACGAAACCTACGAGACCTTCAACCTCCAGGTTCCTGTCTCAGTCCCTGGTGTTCCTGATCAATTCTTGAACCCTAGCAAGAGCTGGTCTGGTAGCGCATCTGAGTTCACTGATGAGGTCACCAAACTCGGAAAGCTCTTTGTCAGGAACTTTTCCAAGTACGAGTCGGAAGCGACCGCTGAGGTCAAGAGCGCTGCCCCTGTTGTTTAAGCGCGCTTGTTTCAGAAGTTCTTAGATATTCCCCGGTGTCGCTCGGTAGACATCGAGGTTAGAAGCATGGATTTCTAGCTGTACTTTCATTTCATTTCGTTTTTTTTTGTTGTGGGCTACACAAGCAGGCGTTTTGAGTTTTATTTTCTACTTCCTGTATAGGCAATGCTGGAGTGTGTATTTGTGTGCTTCAAAATTTCTTTTATATGATTGTTTTATGAGCATTTGAATTTCTAGCTTATTCAAAAATCGATTCAAATCTGTTCTGATATATCAAAATCCAAGACCTCCATAGTGACATGTCACCTACCGCAGTGCCTACATATGTATTCATACGTCAATATTTTATGGAGGTCGGGATTTTCAGTTGATGAATTGCCGATATGTCGCCATCTACTCTAAAATCAAATCAGCTGCCATGCGACTTTGCCTATGAAGAACGGTTATCACTGGGCGTTCCAAGATGGATGGTCGTGGGGGGTGCTGTGATATTACACTCAACTGAAACGTGCGACCAATCTGCGGCAAATGCAGCCGCAATGTAAACTGAGCAGGACCTGCATGCATATCCTACTCTATCCTCTGAGATTTTGCGTTATTTTTTTTTCTTTCTCTTTCGTACATACATACGAATAGAGGGAATACGTACTCTCTGTACGCATGCTCTGGCTTCAGGTTTTTCGGCGCGTTCGGCGCATTTGATTTATTGATGCTCTGCTCATATTCCTTTATCAAGCTTGAGCTCCTTCTACCAGAGCTACCTGCCTGGGGTAGGTACATGATAGGTGCAGATGTTGCATACTTTAAATAGATTGATACCGGGGATGCCGAGGTACTTGACACGCGATAACGGTATCAAGAGTTATCGCATACCATCCCACGTTTCCCCCCACGCGGGGTCGAAGGACAAGCATTTTAGAGAGAGTTTCGGCGCCAAGTTTTTCCGGCTGGGTGGCTTGCCAAGTCTTATTGACTTGGCAAGCTCTATTTTAAAAGAAATTTTTATTTTAAAGAAAGTTCGGCCATCGTAGCCCGAATTGTCTAGTGGTATTATTCCTGCTTTGGGTTCTCTTGAATTGAATGCAGGAGGTCTCAAGTTCAATCCCAGATTCGGGCCGTCAATGATAGTCTTTTTGATGTTTTATTTCAGTGGAGTAGGTTGACTATTGACAGCTCTTCTTCCTTCTCTATTATGTTGGTTTTTCGAAAGTTCTTGCGCCCTCATTCGTCGAGAAGGACAGGGGTAGTTTAGTAAGCACAAACTGCGTAGCAACGGGCTCCCCCAGCAAAAATGACACTGGCATTAACAGGATGGCATTGGAGGTGGCATATCAATTAATGATGCGGGAGCCTATGGAAGAGACTCATTTCAGGTCGGTATCGGAGTGACATTGGGGTTGGCATCGGAGGTGGATACCTCACTATGTATTAACTGAATGAACTGACTGGATCACTACCGGAGGAGGTGGGCAAACTACTGGAGGCTGCCAAATAGAGTACTGAGCTAGCTAAACTCAGCGATGGGAGCTGGATATGGTCAACGATGGGAGCTAGCCATGTGATGGCTAATGGCAATTAAGATCAATAAACTACTGGAGGGGGGGAAGTACTACATAGAGGTGGTAGAGTTTCTTGAGCAGGATCAAGACCTCGCGGTCGCGAGGTGGGCCACTACTAGTTCTAACAAACCAGAAATTTTATTTTGAAAGTTGTTTGTTTTCGGAGGTTGTAGTGATCCTTTCCCATAGCCGATTTAAGACCACGCCTGTTCGAAACCGGGTTATCATTCTTTGTCCGGAGGAATTCGGAGTAAATACTCAAGTCTAGATGTTGCCGTTGAAAATGAAGTTGCAATGTCTCTTGGCCTTTCTGGATAGTAATTATCCCGGATAAAGATAGGGCTGTGACTTGATCCAGGTAGGTCATGACAGTGATTCGGAAGTTTACGGGGCCTGTGCACAAACATGTAAGCAAGTGGTCCTTTTGTTTCAGCATCTTCTCGCCGGTGTTACTGGTTAGAGAGTTCCATCTGATGTAAAGTCAAGTGAGATGGATGATGAAGCTTGATCATTTACCGATAAAACATTTGCCGCATGCAGTACGACATCTACCATGACCCGCTCTTTGGGCTTCGATATCAGTTGCAGATGAAGGAAAATCAATGCAATGCTCGCATAATCATATGTTGAATTCACTCAGCTGAAACAATGATTTTTTCTTTCTTTCTTGCCACAGCTTTGTGTAGCTCGGCTCACTCATCGCTTGCTTTTGTTGATCATTGGGGATCACTCACTGGTCGTCGTCAATATATCATAATGACTTTGTATCCTTGGGGCAAAAAGCAAGTGGTCTTGTGTAATGAGCCACGCGCATCACAAAGGGCTGCTTATTGGGTGAGCGATTTATATTGGGGGCGCTCTGTAGAGTACGACGGTCCATTCGTTAGATAAACGTGATAACTCGGAGGTTTCAAGAACAAGCAATTCAAAAAATAACAAGAACCACCAAATGTTATTAGGATGATAAAAAACAAAAAGAGGAACGCCACCCGCACACTTCCTTCTATGTGCGCACTGTTTATAGGTTAAAAACAAGTCAGTTTCGCCACGAGAATTATCCAAAAGCCGCTGTTCTACAATATGAAACAATCAGCTGATCGTCAACCTTGAAAGACTTCATGCACAAAACATAGTCAATCAGTCAGCCAGTTTTCCATATCCCCAAGACCGGACAGAATCATTTGCTCACGTTGTACAAATTCCCAACGTTTTCGTCTAGGGCCGGCGCAAACGTAGCGTTGATGTACGTGAATATTGACTCGCTGGCAGGGATACCTAGGTTATCTCTAAGAAATTTGACAACATTCTCGAATCGCTGGTTGGTCTTGATCTTGTAGACATCTTTGTTCAGGATGGGGACCGAGCCAATAGCCTTAAAGCGAATAGAGACTATAAACAGATGAAGGGTTAACGATACATTCTGTATGTAGCCCACCAGAGGAAGTTGATAATAGGACATGAATAAACACCTTTCGTGGGCTTAGGGCTTAGCGCCTTATCGAGAGCCATCCTTCCATCTCGTGGGAGCGAGGTCAGGACCAAGGATGCAGAAAGCGCAACAGGAAGGTCGCCAGCATCCTCTTCTGGAATCTTTGGTGGTGCTGATAGGTCTTCCGGGCCAGGGCTGGGGCTCGCCATGATGTATTGAGTTGCAATTAGCTTTGTGTGGTGTGGGGTTAGAAGTTAAACTCCAATGTGGAGGCTCTGCAAGACGGGAGAGCTAAGGGCTAGGGGTGAATCTACAACATGACACTTCCGAAACAAATCATCGGAAAAGGCTTTAAGCGAAAAGAAGGAAAAAAAAACTGCCAAGGTGCGCGCCTAGAATGAACGACGAAAACAGATATAGTAACTACATGTACTCTACTTTATAAATCTCTTGGGGACTCAATCTTGATTAGTAGCTAGCAGCTGAGAAGATGGACACCAATAGTAATTTTGTTTACCCTAACCATCAAACTAGAAAAAACCACCCTGCAGCCCGACTTTTCTCTTCCCTCCGCCCAGATCATACCCCACATCATCAATTTTGAAAGGAAACCCAGAAAAGAAAAAGAAAAGAAAACTCGAAATAAGAAGATATAAGAGGGCGTAAATAATGTATGGAGGTGGTCTAACATCGACAAAAAAAAGTGATCCGATATCAAGTCTCCATTTACATTAGTACTTCGAAATGGAACTAGTATTTCCCCTCTGGTTTACTCTAGGATTAGCTTTGTGACCTTTCCGATAGCAATTGTTTGTCCCTAAATCAAAGGCGATTAGATTCCATTAGTAGATTTAAGGGACCGAATGATCTACCTGCTCACGGAGGGTGAAACGCCCTAGCTGCTGATAATCTTCGTATGTTTCGATAGCAAAGGAATCGCCGCTAGCTGCCTCGAGACGGGCAATGATTGCTTGTCCTGCATGGAATTTTAGCATCCGCGGGATATATATAGGTATCCTAAATCTTACCTTTACTAGCAAAGGCAGGCGGCTTCTTAGACTTCCTTCCAGTTCCTTTCTCTAGCTTATGCAGCAGCTGTGTGAAAACAACTTCCTGAATAGTAGTATGCACATGCATGACACATCCGAATCCAGCGGTCAAGATATTCTTAAGATCGAGAATGTGAATCTGAGCCTCGAAAGCGGTAACACAATGAATGGGTTTTTTCGCAGAGGTCAACACGAAACCGGTAGTCACATCTTCTTCTTCAACACCTTTGACACGTATACGAACTTGGTCTCCGCATTGGGCATGGTTAATCTCCTCTTCCGTTTCGGAATAGATCGCAATAACCTCAATAGGCGTGCGGCCGGGCATCATAAGAAGGTTCCCACCCTTCCTGACGAATCCTGACTCAACTTTGCCTTCGATCACAGTTCCCATATCCTATACGACACCAAAGTTAAAAACGACTGGGAGTTAAAGTAATGGGCCTAGTTCTACCTTGTATTTGCTGGAAATTGGCATCATAAACGGCGCCTTGAGCTTACGTTCCAGGGTCTTCATATTGTCCAGATATTCAAGGAGCGAAGGCCCGTCGTACCACGGGCAAAGCTCCTTTGGTACTCTGGTGTTCAGACCAGCGCCAGTTAATGCCGACAAAGGCATAAAAAATAGATCTACACTCTATCAGTTTTTGAACAATTTCTTGTATTTGAATATGCTGCTTTACCTGTCTTAGGATTATAGCCTGTGCCTTTCAAAAACTGTGTCAGTTTTGTTGTACACTCGGTAAAACGATCCTTGCTCCATTCCACAGTGGGGTCATCCATCTTGTTCACCACGACAATTAATTTGTTAACACCCTGAGTTTTTGCAAGCACAGCGTGCTCTCTAGTCTGGCCTCCTTTCTCAAAACCGGTCTCATATTCTCCCTTTCTCGCCGAGATGACTAAAATTCCAACATCTGCCTGTGAAGCACCTCCAATCATGCTAGGTACGAAGGTTTTGTGTCCAGGGGCATCAAGAATAGTATATCGTCGCTTTTCTGTTTCGAAATATGCACGACCAACCTCAACTGTCTTTCCTTTGGAGCGCTCTTCTTTTGTCAAGTCAAGTGCCCATGAAAGATACCATGATTCACGACCTTGCTCTTTAGCATCACGCTTGTATTTATCCATTGTGCGCTCGTCAACCATTCCTGTGGCATAGAGAATGGCACCACCAAGTGAAGACTTTCCTGCATCGACGTGTCCGATGAAGATAAGGTTTACGTGTTCCTGAACCCATGTGTTAATAATGTCCTAATTTATAGCAGATTCCATCGCTGTAAGAAGCTCGTGCACTCCTCCCGGAGAGGGGGAAGATTTTTTTTTAGGGAATATGCACTCCAAGACCATCTGTTAAATACCTTTCCGTAAAGCTCCTCGAGGGTCATTTCATCAACCTCTTCCTCCTGCTCCTTCGCGACGGCATCCGCTTCTCTCTTCTGTGCCGCGGCCTCTGCCTCTGCCGCTGCTGCCGTGACGGTGGCTGAAGACTTTGGGGCTGCAGCGGGGGTAGTAGTTGTTGATTTGCTTGGAGCGGCCTTAGCTTCAGGTTCCTTGGTTGCCGGAGCTTCCTTAGTAGAAGCAACAGGGGCGTCCTTCTTAGCTGCCGGAGGAGTCGCGGCACCCCCAATTGTAAGAACCTTGGCACCCAGAGGTTCGCCTCCTCCAATCTTCAAAACCTTTGGCGCAGTTGGAGCAGCAGCAGCGGCCGGAGTCGCAGCGGATTTGGGAGCCGTAGGTACGGGGGTACTAGTTCCAGGGGTGCTGGCCCCAGAGTTGGGGTTTCTAGCGATCTGAGGTACTTGCTGCTGTTGCTGCTGCCTTTGAATATGAGGAGGACGATATGCTTGCTGCTGTTGCTGTGGCTGCTGGTTATAAAACTGGCCTGGCTGCTGTCCATAGGCCGCTTGCTGCTGTCCATACCCAGTATTGTATGCGCCGTACTGCGCGTATTGGTCATATCCCTGCTGTGCGCCGTATTGCCCATACTGAGAATACTGTTGGTTTTGCTGGCTGTATCCGTATGGTTGTTGTTGACCACCGTATGCACCACCTGGTATAAAAGAGGCCGCACCGGGAGTGAATGTAGCCGCACCGGGCGAGAACGACGGGGCGTTGTACGACGGCCTAAACTGTTGTTGTGGCTGTTGTTGGCGTTGCTGCTGCTGTTGCTGAATGTTCAGTTGCTCTTGTGTTTGTCTGGCGAGGTCATTGTCATCGCCTGCAGCGTCTTCCCAGGAATTTGGAGTGTTCCCAGACATGATGAGAGGGGTAGTGAGGGGTAGATTTGTCGAGTAACCACCGAAGAGGGAAGGGAGTGGGCTGGTGGGTGACGGAGCTTAATAAAACCCTTCTAAGGATATCGAGTCTTCAAAATCGCCTCAAGGCTACAAAAGATATTGGAGCTCTTTGCGCTGTGGGGCGGGGGATGGGATGGGTGTTGGTGTTGGTGTTGGTGAAGATGAGAAGAGCTTTTTGTTCTCCGGCGATTAGTGGGGCTGTGGTTACGCTAGCAGGGAAGAGTGAGCTAACGTCCATTGTTTTTGTGACAACAATTACAAATTCACAAGATACCACCCCCCAGAAACTCTGCACAATGACATCTTAGACTATCTAAAGTACGTTTGGATGTATTAGGTAGTACATGGTACGCCTTCCTTTCCTGTACTGTACATAGACTTACCTATTGGCGTGTCAATCACGAACATGAGGCAATATTACCATTTACAACAATAGTAAACACATGTTTCGTATTTATTTATTTATTTTGCAAGAGGATAGTAGGCCGTTCTACGTATGATATGGTTACATGATCTGTGCATAGTACTGGGAATGGGGTAAAACTGATACCACATTAGTACGGGATTGCAAGAATATACCACTTTATCTCTATATTTTAGCAAAATATGCGGTAGCTAATGTTACTGTAATTCTATAGCATTGTCAAAGACTGCAGCAGTAACTTCGCCCATATTTCTGTTACTGTATGTACGTACATGTAGGTAAGGGAAATAATCGAGTGATAACTTGTGATCAAAGTAATTTTCCGTGACGTAAAGTACATACATACAGTAGGCTAGGTATCTGACGGGCCCTTCATTTGGGGTACGTGTGCTTAGGTTTTAGAAGAAATGGTAAAACTAATCAATATAGGCGTTTTGCTTTAAAATTGAGATGAAGTAAAAGAAATACAGCAAATAGTCTCCGACAATTCAGATGTATAGAATCGTTACCACTAGAACGCAAGTGAATCCTCAAACAGTTTTGACAGTTCCTCCCTCTGGGGTGTAACGTCCTCATTCAAATTTGGCGCTAACATCAAGACTCTCCTCTGTGGGATCGTGCCTTCTACAAGCCCCGCGATATCGCCAGAATTGAAACCAAGATCTTGGATACCCTTAGGCTGGTCACCAAGCCCGTAAAGAAATTTCTTAAGTGCCTCACTGAGCACCTCGCCGGCATCTTCTCTTCTTACATTGGAAATGTCTACCCCGAATGCTTCAGCCGCAGCTAGATGACGTTCAGGATTGGAGGCGGCAGTGAACCTGAATACTGCGGGTGCGGTAACAGCTACACTAACCTATTTTTCGCAGGGATATCAGTTAAGTGAAGATATAAACTTGAGAGTTAAAATACATACACCATGGGGAATAATTGAATGCGGGACATCGTATCCCTTGTGTTTATACCCTTTGTTACCCCCCGAAATTGGGTAACTCATTCCGTGACACAGGTGCACACCTGCATTTCCAAAACCAACTCCGGCTAGGGTTGCTGCGAGGAGCATCTGGCTCTGTGCCTCAAAATCATCCGGGTCTCTGACAGCTCTTGGGAGGTATTTGATTGTCATCTGTAGGGCTTTAAATGAAAATACATCGCTAATGGGGTTGGCGCCCTGGTAAGCTGGTCTGAGTATTGGGTTGGTTGGCCTTGGAGTACGTTCGTTATAAGGTATTGCTGTGTATGATTCAAGAGCATGGCATAGCACATCAAGTCCTGAAGATGCATGGACAGCCGATGGCATCGTACGGGTGTTGAGAGGGTCACAGATTCCAAGGGTCGGCTTAAGGACACGGTGAGCAACACCGGTTTTTGCTTTCTTGTCTACCAGATCACTACATGCGATCCTGTAAGCTTAAACCAACGAGAAGGATGAGGAGGATGAGGAGAGGCAGGAGTAAAGGTGAAAATTACAAGATAGCTGTGCCGGTTGTCTCACTGCCGGTTCCTGCGGTAGTTGGGACACAGATCAGTGGCCTCAGAGATTTTGTAATTGGAAGTCCCTTGCCCAAGGGTGCATTAACCTAGTTATAAATATTAGTGTTGGGTTTTAATAGTTCTAAGGGGATGAAAAGGCTCACAAAATCTAGGAAATCTGCTTCTGGAAAGCATGTGTACAAATTCATCAACTTTGCAGTATCCATGACACTTCCCCCACCCACGGCAAGGTAAGCATCTCCGTTTACCCTCTTGCTAAATTCAATTGCTTTTTTGATTGAATAATCTTTGGGCTCTACGCGTACGTCGCTAAAGATTTCGTACTTGATTCCCTCTTTCTCTAAAGCCTCAATTGCAGTCTTCATAGACTGGAGCTTCGCCACAGTTTGGTCAGTAACCACAACTACCTTCTTTGCCTTCATATTGGCAAAGTCCATGCCAACCTCCCGTGTAGAGCCAGGGCCAAAACGTATGCTAGATGCAGCCATTTCAAAAGCATACTCTTTCATTCCTGCATGGTCTGTCGGCGTTGTAACCCCACGATTTCCATTCTTAAAGAGATTCGTCAAGGAGTGTTTATGATTATGATGATGTGAAGGTTGACCGTGACACGGACACGAAGGTGGGTGAGTGTATTGCACTGTTCTGAGAAGTCCTAGGGCTCGTGTGCGAGCAGTAGGGGCGACGCAGGCAACAACCATGATTGGGCTCTCAAATCGATTTCACTTTGGGGGGAGTTGGGTGAGCTGAGATGAAGGGAGATAGAGGAGATTGTACGGATTATGTACTAGTTTGAGCACCCAATACAGTCCTGGAATACTTAGATACATCATACAGGCTCGGACTTCAGGAGCGTATTGCGGGGTGACTTGTCGGCCCGAGCTATTGCATAGGTACATGTATTTACTTACCTATCGTAATCCAACGGAACTTTCCGAGAGTGTGGGGTAGCTGTAACGACCCACGGGCCACGAGACTCAAGTAGTACCGTGTTGAGGGTAAGTGATCAGAATCTGATAAGTGAATGTTACAGTGAATAGGTGTATTTGTCATCACTTTTCGCTACACACTAGTACAGAGGTGTCTCTGCCATCCAGTAAAGGAACCCTAAACCCTCGCTCCTAATTATTAACATGTACTCTACATAACATACAGAGAATAAACTATCAAGAATCTTTCTGAGTAACAGTTAGCAATGTTCCGCAACAAAAGACTTACATGCCCCGAGTATGGGGCTACTGCTTTGGCGATATGATGGGGGTCGGGCGCCCAATGTCATAGTAGGTACTAAAGTCAGACTACACAGCTCTTCCAATCTCATCATTACAATGTTTGTTTTGGTATTTAGCTTTAGTCGGGCTTAGTGATGGTTTAGCTTGATGGGGTACATTGCCAGAGTACTCATTTGACACTACATGTAGTATGGTAATAAAAAAAAACTCAAAAAAAATGTAGATTAATTAAAGTGTAAACAATTTTGTAGATGCTTTAAAGTCCTGAGTGCAAATATTGAAACCTGCAGCTGGTAGAGATGTACATATAGCGCTACTACGAGGGTTATAACAAATACAGGTGTTTGCGTATGGTTTTTTGTCGAGCAGGATCATTGATTTGGAGTGGGTTCTGGATCTTCCAGTGAGATACAGTACCAAAAAAGCGGGTGGATCCAGTACTATCTTTGGCAAAATACCGTATTGTTACGGTATTGTTACAGTATTAATACGGTATAATAGTTAGGATTCCGATTTAATTCGGAAGTTTTGCACGATTCCGTATTGGTATAGTACTTATTACATCCCCTTTTTTCGTACTATATAGCCTCATATTTACTCATACTCAAGTATGTGCAATTAAATACTGTATGTTTTTGCAATATTTAGGCCTACTCAAAGAGCAACTGTTGCGGCTCTCGCATGAAGCTCGGCCCCCCACTTCAGACCCGATCTTAATTGTCACAATTTTTAGGGTAAATTGCTGTCTCGGGAGTACACAGGATACTAGGTACACTAGAGTACCTACTCAGCTAAAGTACATGTACCTATGTAGGTACATGTAGTAGTAGATGTACCTACATGCACGTACCAAAATGACATCAACCCTCGTTGAGCCCTGGGGCAACCCACAGGCGTATTTATCATTCTGCGCGCGTTGCTCAAAGAACGACCGATCCCCGAAACGATCCCCAATCAAAGTTTCACCTCCCAGGTGACGGGCTGTTTCATAGATACACACCACCCCACCCCACCCCACCTCCATCCTTCTTTCTAACAACTACACTCTCTCTGAGTCTTTTCAGTATCACAAACGCTCATTCAACTCTGCGTTCTTAGGAGAAGCCATGGCTTCATCTCGAGCTACAGCCTCGCGTCGAAGCTCGAAAGATTTTACTACTCCGTTACGCCGCTCAAACCGTCTTAACCCCCGCCTAGTTACTTATGCAGACCCTCCAGAGGTCATCAGTGGGAATGGATCTAACTCGCCTCTCATTCCCACGAAGAGATGGAGTAAAACCGATGTAAAGGAACCCAGTCCAAAGCTTCGTCACCAATCTAGACCTTCGAATGATCTCACACAAAAATTCTCACAAAAAAGATGTCGCACCAAGGGTGAAAAGACACCCGATCCCGAGGAATTGGATGAGGAACTACTGAGGCGTACATGCGAAAGCCTAAATATCGACTACTCACTTTTTGACGACTGGACTGAGGATCCTAGAGGGATGAGGATCGAGGATATGAAGATCCCGTTTTTGCCGAGCGAGATTATGCTCCAGATATTTAGCGAATGCAGACCCGAGGTCCTTGTTGAATGCAAGAAAACCTGTAGACGATTCCGAGATCTATTGTCTGGGAACTCAAGGTATCTATTCTTGATTTTTAACAACTATTTTTTTCTCTCTTTTCTCCGGAACCCATATTGAAACATGATGTTTCTATGCAGTATCTGGCGTAAAGCTCGCGATAAGAGCTATCCGGGACTACCATTGAAACTTCCCCTGGACTTTGATGAAGAAGAATTATTCGATATGACAACTGGCAAGAAATGCGATTATTGTGATACTAAGAAGAAAGTCCGACCATACTACGTTTGGAGTGTCCGATGTTGTCAGGTATAGTTTATAAAATCTCGTTTTAGACACCAGCCCCATTGACTAATCAAATTCACTAGGAATGTATAAAAACTCTGACACTTTCCGCGTCCGAGTTCAAACGAATGCTCAAAAGGAAAGTAGGAGAATCATCTGATTGGGACGCTCAAAAACGTGAGCTCATATGCCATACTATCAAATGGCACGATCTACCTACAGGAGCAAGACTCTGTTGGAAGGAGGAAGCCTATGCACGGATAAACGAAGCCGAGGAGGTGTTGCTTGAAGAGAGGTTCCGGGAATGGTATTTGGAATCATCTGTTAGCAAAGATATGAGGGAAGTCTTCTGGGTTTTGGAGGATTGGGGAGCCGATGTTCCACGTATGATGAAGAAGGATAAGGAAAATGAAAAGAATAAAGTAATAGATGCTAGGAAAGAGTTATACAAAGCCTGGTGCTTAAAGGTTAGAAATCCTCCCTAACCTATACTAAATTAGAAATAGTGTTTATTGGTGCCACATAGATCCTTCCAAATCCCATACCTAGCGAAACCCTTCCTTTGCTCTCAGCATACAACAGTACCGTTAATAAACCTGGGTTTCTCACCAAAAAAGAGTTCGTTTTATCCCTTCCTCGTCTCATACGTGATAGCATCCGTTTCGACGATGAGGTTCGTCGTCACAAAGCCCTCGAGCGTCAAAACCGGCTCAAGCACGATGATCTGCTGGAAGAAACAGTTCAGCAGGTTATGCATGCCCTCATTCGTGAAGGCTCGGCGAAAAATTGGGGCAGCATAGTGAGAGAAAAGGTCAAAGAAGCAAGCTCATCCAAGATAGATCTGAAATTCCCTAAGGATACTCCGGAGGCTGTCTTGCGGGAATGGAGATGGCGTTGTAATGACTTAGGGATTCCACTGCTGTACCGTTTTGCGAACCTATTGGAAGAGGCGTTGGACCGCGAGACTTCTCCATACCGGGATTTACTCCATCCCAGTGTTTTTGAATTTTTCGAGAACGAAGAGGACCGTATCTTTACCTGTCACGGATTGTCGATGCAATTCACCCACATCGGGCCCACATTTCATAGGTGTAAATATAAAGAACGCATGACTTTGTTGGAGCTGGCGCAACATTTTGTTGAGATGGGGATACACCAACAGGACCTAACTCATTTGATCGTGGGTAAATGGGAGTATATGATCAAGTTTGCTCCTTCAGCAAACTTTTATCCATCTTGCCGTCACAGTCTAGGGAGGAGGGATAGGCAACGAAAAATTACACAGTTCTTGCAAAGGTCATAGGCAATCTTTAGTAGGATGCTTCTGGTAACCGAGTTTTGGTTTCTTCGTTGTAATAAATTGCTAACTAGTAGCTCGTTTATTATTCTTTTTACATTTTTCTTTCTTTCTGGGGGTAATGGTAGTGGATCATTAACGCTAATGGCATCTTGGGCATTGATTTGAAGTGAGTACATGAACGCGGGTCTGGGAAAACCTGACATGGGCCCAAATCTAATAATCACGAATCACCAACCAATCTACCCAAAAGCTTCCCCTGCTGCTATAATTTGTTTGTTCAAGGGTGTATATTATATTTCCAAGAATTCATTTGGCCGGTAGGAGGTTTCGTATCAAATTAGTTGAAACCTGCTGTTTAGAGATATTAGATAAGCAAATACTCAAATTTTTTGCTCTGACAGCACCACGAGAATTTTAGCCCTTGCTTGATATACTTGTTTCCCGTATCTGGTGGTTGTGCAGAAATGGATTTCTTTTTCGCTGCTTGTTGTGTTACGTCCTGGACTTCGCCGACCCATAAGTTAAATTTTACTAGATATGCGCTCACATGGTATATATATATCTAATTATGCATTATAAGAATATCCTAAGTCCACTATCAGATAAATTATAAGATATAATTAGGAGGAGAAATTTGGTGAGCCATTTTTATTGAATCCTGATCATTGACCCGCTAACAAAGTGGGTGGTATGGTTCCGGGATTCATGTATATATGTATTTAAGGCATGTGCCAAGAATGTTCTATCACATTTTCTACTTCCGAGCTCATAGGAGGTCATTACCAAATCTATACCGCTGTATGTACAGTACTGTAGGTACTCTTACGTACCAGACCCCGAGAATCTCACTGGGCTATGGGATACCCAACCCTGATCTCTTAGTTCTTCGAACATGCTAAGATGTATTGTTTTATGTAGTTTTGCTATCTTACAACCTTGAAGGATGCCCTCAATATATTTGAACTCACTTTTAATAATTATTAACTTTAATGTGTTTGATCCTTTTTCTCTCAACTACAGAGTGGCCGGTCGTTATCTAGGATTATGGGGACGGTAAGGATGGGGGGGGGGGGGGGGGGGCTATTTTACACTCCAGAATACCACACATACTAAGCAAGTTGGAATAAGTTATGCCCTCCTAGGCCCCTACCGTCAGGACCTCAACAGTATCCGCATTTAAAAGTTCGCCCCAATTTATCAGTTACGGGCTCAAACCTAGAGATCAATCAAAATCGTCTTTAACGTAAGATCAGGTATGTGACATATAAAGAAAGCATAGAAGGCTTAGACCACGCCTCAAGCTCAACGCTCAAGAGGTAATTTATTTTACTCGTTCCTGCAAGCCTATTATTTGAATTTATTAGCCGTAATTTTCATCCCACTCCTCCTCCTCCTCGTCATCAACTGGTGGAGGGATGGGCTCTTTTTTCTTCAAGAGGTCGATACGATCGAGGGGACATCTAGGGGAAGGACCCAAAAGTCAGCAGTAGTCAAGAGTATTAGTTACCAGAGCCCTTACGTCGAATGAAGCTTCAACCATGGATGGATACACTCCAGATCGAACATATGCGCTGTATGACAAGGAAGTACGACCACCAAAGGATATGGGTCTAAGTTGCCGATGTTCATTAGCCGCCATTTAGTGCTAGAGCTAATTCCTAAGAACTATATGTAGAGACTCACCATCAAGGAAAGCAGTATTGCATATACTACAAGTATCGTCCTACATAAACCCATCCTACTCTTAGCTCAGTCACACCTGAACTAGTAGAGCAGACGACATACCTTCTTCAGCTTATTCTTCGGCACCCTCTCCAGCCCATCAAAAAAGCTATCCGGCACACCTTGGACCTTTGCACCCGGGTCACTCGCTTCTGATATCAGCTGTTGCAAAAGACTTTCCATCACTGGTGTATCTGGAAGTTCTCGAAAAGCTGCAGCTAGCGACCGGAAAGGCGCTTCATTATCCTCGGCCGCCCCTCCTCCACTACTGTTTGCATTTGCGAGGTCGAGAGTGGCAAAGAAGCCGGATAGGTCTATGCGTTGACGAGGTGGCGGTTGGGATGTGACAGGCCCACAGATGTTGTGGTCGTCTGGGACTGTGTTAGCATCTCGGGTTCGAGACGAATATTGGTTTCATTACCTTCGTAGCTCGCCATGCTCTTTATTTATTTTGTTCAGGATTCTTGCACGAGATGAGATGGAAGTGTGAGATGGGGGAGCGCGGGGTTCCTTGCATGTACGTATGCACATGCCACTTCCCTGCGCAGACAAGCATTTGAGCCTCACAAGTAACAATACCTACAGGTACAGCCGCCTCTCGATATAAGGATACGGTCGGGACCGAAAATCTGTGTTGAATATGTTCTTATAAGGCGAGTATCACTATAAGGAGTAAGGAGATACTGGTAAAAGGTATTTCGGGACCACCAGTTGCTATTATTATAACGAGAGTATCACTATATGAAGTATCACTATAACGAGAGTCGACTGTATACGGTATTCAAGGATGGCACTTTCGATTCTCAAAACCAACTTTTACCCACTTTAAATAATGTGGGAAAGAAACAAGGAAACACCTAGACACAAATCTCAAGAGAGCCACCACAAGCTAAGGGCTTAAAATGTCATCAAAAAGAAGAAAACCATAACCCATACACAAGAACACCTTTTGATAGAGGAGGTTCCATCTATCTTAACAGCCCCACCCTAGATTTTCTCCCCAGAAAATAAATATCATCTACAACTAAAAGTAAAATAGCTCCTCTCCTAGAAAACAAAAAAATTTACAAAAAAATTAAAGTACCTAATTACGCCTGCGCCTGTCGCCATCCGAATCATCACCCTTTCCACCACCACCACCACCACCACCACCACCACCACCGTTATGAATAAGTTCAAGAATTATCCCCTTAGCCTTCTCAATGTCATCCTTGCTACCGTGAATAACGATTGGCCCCTCGGGAGGAGCTGTGGAGCCTTGTTGTTTGTTTGGGACATTGATTCGGCAACCTGTTTCCCGGCGAATCTTTTCGATCTGCGATCCCCCAGGGCCGACTACAAAGCGGTATTTCCGTGGGTCGGGCAAATCAAGGTAACCGATCCAGGTCTGCTTCTTTGCAACCTGAATGGCACTCTCGACGTCGGCCTTGGCCTTGGCGATATTCTCGGGTGTCCCGCTAAGAACCCAAGGATACTCACCATCATCTGTACCATGAATGTTCTCCTGGGCATCCCAGTTGTATTTGGGTGCTGAATCTACCTCATCGGTAATCAAAGGAAGGCTGTCACTGTTTGACTGGGGCTTTTTGTCTTCGGGCCTTGGAGGTCGGGGCTCGTTGTTATGGTTGACATTAACTCTGTAGCGCTTGTACAGCTCACGGATGATATCCGAGATGGAGTGGTGTAGATAACGGGGAACCATGATTGTTTCACCCTCGGGGTCTTTAATAAGCTCAAGAATGTGTTCTTTGGCCTTCTCGACGTCTGCTTCGGCACCGGTGATCTTGATGTCAGAGCTGACAGTCTGACCAGGACGGTTGCGGTTAGGAATGTCGATGGTGACCTTGAATTGGGCCTCAAGCTCCTTGCGGATGCTTCCTTCACGCCCAATCAATTTTCTGTGCTTCTCGGGGGCAACTTCAACATCGATGGAGATCTGGTTCTCCTTCTCTGTGACAATCTTCTCGATAGCCTTGATGATCTTGTCGACAATGGCTGAATTACCCTGGACCGTAATCTCGTCGCCCTCGGAATCTTGGTTAGGGAAGCGGACCATGCGGGCGAGTGCAGTCCTGTCATCTGGCCCGCCAGCGCCAACGACAATCTCTCTGAGAATTTTCCCTTTGAAGCGTCAGCAGTTGAAATCTAAGTGCACGAAATAATAAAGGATCCTACCTCCTTGGCCGATCAATGAGCGATGGTATTTCTTATCGACGTTAATCTTCCGAACAGTTGTTTGCTCGGCATCTTTGGCAATCTTGGAAAGGATTGCCTTTGCTTGTTTCACCTCCTCTACTGTTCCTCGAATCTTAATAACCATCTGCTCTTCTGATCCCTCCTCTGGTCTCTGGGGTATATCAATTCTAGCTGCTGACTCCTCGCGAAGTTGTTTAATCTCCTTTGCCGAATTCCTGAACATGAATTCTACAGCTTTGGCGGCAATAGGGATTTCTGCGGTGTGGCTCTTGGCCTCCTCGTACTTAAGAAGTGCTGTAATTTCTGCACGAGCTTCTTCAACTCCCTTCTTACCCCCCTTAATAATGACTTCGTTAGGCCCTTGTTGTTTGTTGCCGGCGTCATGTTCCTCTGTGTAATCTGACTTTGATGACCTAGGAAAGTTGATGCGAACATCATATCTAGCTTCTAGTCTTCGTACTGATTCTCCCTTCTGACCAATTATGGTAGAGTGGAATTGTTGGGGTACAACGAGCCTAACAGTGGCCTTATCCTCCAATTCCTTGATCTGGGTAGTGAGCTTCTTCCTGGCGGCATCAACGGCCACTCGGACACCCTTGATTTCACCCTTTCCTTCGTTGAGATTGATCTCAACACCAAGATCGTCTCTCAGCTTGTTGATGTTTGCTCCCTTCACACCAATCAAGTTTCCGGAGAATTGTGCGGGGTATTCGAAAGGCTCCGTAATAATCGCCTCTGGGTTTTCTGACGAAAGGAAGGCGTTGATATTCTTAATAGTGGCTTCAACATTGGATTGAGGTCCACGGACAGTAATAGTATTCTCATCCCCGGCTGGGGCTGGCTTTCCAGGGCGTGCTTTCGGAATACCAAATTGAACCAGAACAGAACTAGGATTCAAAGCATTGAGGGTTGTGTCCCTCTCACCCCGAATCTTGATATGATTTCTAAGTTTATAATTAGCAGATGTAGGCAATTCCAGTCGGGGGACTCATACTCTTTGGGAATATTGATAGTCTTAGAGACAATAGAAACCTGCTCTCCTGAAAACGCAAGTATCACTTGCTTTGCCTCCTCCAGGACTGTGCGAACTTCTTCCGGGTCTGTGGACTCTCCATCATATACGAGAACGAGCTCGGACTCTTCCAAGTCTTCCGGGAACAAAATCTTCACAGGACGTCCCCCAAGAAGCTTGTCCTTCTTGATAATGTGGCGATGGTGGAGAGGCTCCACATCTAGACGGGCAACCTTGAAAGGCGGGGCCTGGAGATAAATCGCCTGGATCTTTGAACGAGCTTTCTCCAAGTTCTCCTTAGACCGGGACATAATTCCAACAATGCAAGGGGCGGCAAGGTTATAGAGGTCCTCGGCGCTGGGGGGAGTAATCTCAACGTCGAACTCCCTCTCCAACTTTTTGAATTCACCCTTCTGTAGAAAATAGCGAGTGACATCGCGGGCTTGCAACTTTGCTCCGCCTGGAGCATTAGGGTATGCCTTGCAAACATCAGGACCGAAGTACTGATAGGCCTGGGAGATAGCGTTAGTCTTTGTGTAGCAGTTTCCGATTTGGTCTGCTGGCCCATAAACGATTGCACTGTCGGCCTTTTTACCGGAAGGAAAGATGAGTGTGCATCCTGTTTCCTCGAGAATCTCGTGGATAAGGCGTCCATTATTGGCCGTGAAGAACCTGTGCTTGGCGGCAGCAATAGGCACCAAAATGTGTCCATAACCCTGGGCCTTAAGCTCCTCGGCCTTCCTTTCTATGGCAGCGCGGACTTCCTGGACAGCACTTTTTTCTCCGGTAATAACAATAGGGCCTGAAGGAGGACTGAACGGCTGGCTTGAAGCACTGTAAAAATAGTCTGGCACAGAGACCCTCTCAACCTTGGTCTCAAATTCTGCCAAGTTTTTGCGATTCGGGCCCTGGATAAATGGGTATAGTTCACCAGGGATATCTGAGATACGAGTAGTGGTAACAATAGTCTAAACTTCAATTAGTCATCTGAACGGGAGGGAAATGGGGTTTCAAACTTACTCGCTCCCCTACAATCTCCCTAATTCTTTCAATTGCTGATGCAACACCGAATTCATCACCCTCAATGACCACGTCGATCATTATTTCATCATCGTAATCCCCAACAGGTGCTTGGACTTCAGAAGAACTCTGCTGAGGAACTCTAATGTGGGTCAAAGTTTCCTTCTCGAGCTCCTGAACCCTTGAACCACCCTTCCCGATAATATGTGGCCTCACAACGGCCGGAATTTGGATTGTCTTGGAGGCCTATAGATTTAAACAAAAAGGTTTCAGCACAACCGAAACAAAATACTAAGTTCTAGAGTAATTTAACATACCTTGAGTGACAACTCTTTGTAAATCTCTCTTCGGGCTCTCTGCCTACTAGCCTCGTTACCTTTAACAACGAAAACGGAAACACCAGTAGAAGTCTTGGCCAAGTCGATCTTGGTTCCGGTCCTTTTCGTAATATCCTTAACAATTTCGATAACTGGCTTCCGAAGCTCAGAGGCAGGCCTCTTCTGTGCCGGAGTCAATTCAACAGTCTGCTGACCAGCATTTCCGGCGAAGGACGCGGTGGGAGCCCTGGCGCTAGCCTCGGGGGTGCCATTGCTACCATTGACCGGAGGGGCAGCCATCTTTGCACCCCAGTTCATTGTAACGGGAGCAACCTTAGTGGGGGCACCAAGAGACGGGAAAGCTTCAACAGAGGAGACATCGAGGACACGAGCGGCTGCAGCCTTCTGCTTTTTGGCTGACTTCTCAGAGACAGCGGTAGCTTCGCCGGAAGCTTGGGATTCCTCGGTTTTAGCCTCGGCATCAGCGGGCTCCTCAGCAGCTAAGTGTTGCTGCTTCAACTTTTCGGCGGCAGAGAGTTCCTTGGGGGCTTCGGGGGTCTCATTATCATCACCGGTGGATGCCACGACATCTTCAACAGGTTTTTCCGGAGCAACTGACTCAAGAGCCGGGAAAGCGTTCTCCTCCACCAAAGTGGGAGCGCCACTGGTGCCGTTGGTTTCAGCCATTGTTTATGGGTATACCTTTCGATGTACTGGTGCGTCTAAAGGGCGGATTGAATTCTCCGCAGCTGATTGTGGGGAATCAAAGCTGTTAGCTGATGGAAAAGGGAAGGGGAAAATATAGGGGAGAGGAACGAATGAAGCAACACCCCGTGTAGAAAGCTTAAATAGCACACTAATAGGGTGCGGAGAGTAAGAAGGCAACCAGAGAAGGAAAGCTTACTTGAAATGTGTTTCGAGATTTGGCAATTGAACTTGACGGGGAAATGAAAATATATCAACGAAGCAACAATGTTGCGGCCTTACGGAAGGTATATATATTCGAAAGGAGACAAGAGTCTTCTAGGGAGGGATCAATTTACTAGGGGCAATTGCTGCCGTTCTCCGAACTGTATGTACTCGTTGGCTACTGCCAAGCATCAATCAACAAAAGAAGAGGCCACGAATTAGTTTACCTCAGCCCGTCCCAAAACTGCACCCTGGTCGACGTCAACCTTAGGATTTGGATTCTATTACATACACAATAGTGATACACTTGCCACCGCGCATGATCCTCGATCGACGTAGGTACTCAGAAAATTTTACCAAAACGTAATCTTTCGTAACTACAGGTACTATAGAGTAGGTATGTAGAAATCGGGATATCATTGATACTCGCTAGCCTTACATGATACCGCACAAGAATCTTTTCCTTTAGAAAAGAGAGGCGGTAAAAAAAAACAAATGAAAGAGAAAAAAAAGGATTAACTCCGTATAAAACACCTTACATACATACATGTATTCTACAAGGTTTTCTTTTTACAAATACTTGTAAAGGCACTACCTCCGCCGTCGTCGAAAGACAACAGTACTAACATGATATCTGGTACCTGATGATTTTACAAATGCAAGGCCAAACCCCCACCGTCCCCCCTTTCCTTTCCCAATTCCCATACTCCACTTACCCTCCGTCGTAGCTCGTTCCAAAAAAACTATAAGGATTTAAAATGATAATCGAGCGTAAAAAATATAAGAAAAAAAAGAGAAAAAAAGGCAGTAATGAGTGTGGGGGAGATATATAAGGGATTGCTATGTAAATGACTAAGCTCGGTAGAATATTAAGCTGAGCTGCATGATAGTCATCTTGGTTTTCAGAATCTCAGTGGGTGATTTAGAGGATTGTTAATTCAAACCCTTGGGGGTCTGACGAGCTGAGACAATAGATTATCAAGCTCTGCCCAGTTTTTGTTATCTGCAGCAAACTTTCGGTGACGTCTCGAATAGGTATGCTAAGGGGTTCGAGTTAGCCAGCATTGTGAATAAAGAATAAAGTCACGCTTACATCTTCGAAATCCTCAAACTTCTCCCTACAGTTCTCGCAGTAGCCAGGACGAGTTTCCTTCTTTACACCCTCTTTACTTTTTGGCTTTACTCTGGTTTCTTCAACCTCCTTATCTTCAAGAACCATCACTGGTTCCTCAACGCCCAACTTCCTCTTACGATCGTTCAAAACTTTCGCCTCACGGTCTTTTCCACCCGCAATCTTAGCCAAGTCCATCATACGCTGTGAATGTGTAATCCCTTTTCCATTAACATTCCCGATCAAGACATTCCCGGCTACTTTGCGCTTAAGCTCGTACAGCTCCTTGCTAGTTCCCGCACGTTGGCCCGGCTGATCAGCGAGAGAGGAAACCATTTGAGAACGAATAGCTGAGGTGATATTGGAAGGTTGCACACCAGATGCAACAGGCTCTGCGCCAAACTTTGTGGGCTCTCGGCCCTTTTCAGGGTTTGTGGCCGTAAAAGCCATCTCATTATTAGGGTGTGAGTTATCCCGTTTTGCAGATGGTACTTGAAATACATCATCTTTCTCCTCAGTCTTAACGTTTACTTGATTTGATTTACTGTTGTTAAGAAGACTTTCATTTTTGTTGAATTCGCCGAGCACGGGACGCTTAGCCTTAATTTTAGGCTGTTCCTCGGTCTGCTGTTGTGTCTTTGTAGAAGCCTTTGCCTTGGGTGCAGAAACTGCAGTTTCCTTCTCTTTCGCACGCTCAACTTTGCCAAGGTGTCTTTCTCTCTCTTCCTCCCGCTTCTTGTGAACTGCCTCTTCAATAAATGGACAGCGTCCTCCGCTAACGCTTCGGAATTGCGGCCAGGCGCCCTGCTCGCGACTCTTAACCTTCTGATATTCTCTAACCATAATCGGACGATTGATTGCAAGCAAGTCATGGACATAGAGAAAGGGACCTTTGAAAAAGACCAAATCTTTAGGCACGGCATTAGGATCTCGATCCGTCGGGCCATGAATCTTTTCGTTCCGAAGGACATGTGAGAGATCGACATTCAGGGCAGGAGCTTGCGCTGCACGATCGTTTTCTCGACCATAAGAAGCAGCCTGACCAGACTGAGTGTCGAACATGGCATGCATCATTCGCTGAAGCTTTTCCAGTGCCCATATCTTCATCCCATATTCTCGAGCCTTCAGTAATATGTCACTTGCCCCACGCCCTGGCTTCCGAGATTCTGCATCACGTGATGTCTCATGAGACCTATAAACCACAGTATAAGTATTAGTTGTGGAATGACCACCTCTCGATTCAACATGGCTAACATACTGTCTAGGAACGGCAACCCGTCGAGGTTTGGTTTCGCGCTCTAGTAGTGATGGATTGATAGTGGCTCCGGGAGTAGATTTGGCAGTAGTTGTGGTTTCAGGAGGGATTGGACGGGATGTTACGACATGAGTAACTTCATTTGAAAAGAACTTTTCCAATTTCTGCAGACGCGTAGATTAGAAATTGTCAGAGAGGAGTCGCCCAGGGCGAAGCGAGGAGATAACATACTGCTCCAAGGGACTGGATTTGTTTCTGGAATTTAGCAGCAACATCATCTGGTAAACTTTCGAAGTAAAAGACGTAAGAAGGAAACATCCGTCGATAGTGTCGCTGCCATGCGCGTACACTTTCTAAGCTGTTTTGTTGATCTGTAAATGGTTTTGCAACGGCTTTCCTCTGAATCTGTTGATTGTTATTATTTCCTACGCCATTATATGCTGGTGGAGTTCCAGCGGTGGTTCTGGTGCGAACAGCCTGTCTCCTTGATGGGTTGACTTTGGAGTCAGCATTGGAATTCCGGACAGGAGTACGCAGTACTTCGACGATTTGTTTCTTTTGTGGGGGTTGTTGGCCGTATGTTGTTTCTCGTTGTGCGGTGCTGAGGGAGCGCTGGCGTTTTGCTGCCGCTGCTGTGATGCTTGAATATGGATTTGAGTTGACCTCGTTGGGAAGATTTGAAAGAGGAGCTCGTCGAGACATGGCGGCCGGTGAGGGGGGAATCGATACTTGTGCCATAGAAAGGATGCTGTAGGTATTTAAGAGCCGAGTCCGGATGATGTGTTGAAACTCGACCCTAGCCTAGTTGGAGAGAGGGGGGCTTTTTTTTTTCTCCCTCGTCTGCTTTTTGTGGTCGGGTATCGGGTGTATGTATGTAGATGTGTGGTTGTGGTGGTGGTGGGATGCAACTTGAAAATTGAAAAGCAACGCAGTACACACAGGGCACACTAGAGTACTAGTACACTACCAGCATAACAGGATCAGGGGCAGCGATCTGTCTCTAGGCTTGATACAGACAGCAAGTCTGCGATGTGCCAACAAGACGACTGGTTAACTGAGTGGATGGGGTGTGGGGGGGGGGGGGGGGGGGGAGAAAGGAGGGACGCGAGTGGGTAGAAGGGATAAGTTATATGAGGATTGGGTAGAGCCGTAGAGGGTTGTGAGTTAAGGAGGGGAGAATGTTGACAAGCGGTTCTGTGAGAAAATTGGAAAGGCTTGGTTGGGTAAATGCACGACCTCTCCTCAGAAATGTATGTACACGGGTGCACTATGAAAAACGTACACAAGTCCATGTACCATGGAGGTTCACAACGCGCTGGTTGGCGGGGTGAATGGTTGTGTTTTGGCCTGGCCGTAAATCGATGTTTGTTTAGGCAACACGTTCCTCGAATTATATACAGTTTGTCAAAGATCTCCCTAGAATTACAATGACACAACTTTCGCACGTCGCATAGAACAGAAGTGTCTTTCATTATTTGAAAAGGCGCATATTCTCAGGATGACTCTTAATTATGAAATCAGATATTCTAGAAAAAGGAATCTTGACACTGACGCCTACTCACGTGACCTTGAGTGAAGAAACCGGTACCCTACTAGTATGTAGTTGAAAGTCCAAGGATTGCACCGCGCCCCTTGTAAGTTGCACCACCGGCACCATTTTCCGCGTCAACGACGAATTTTAAGAACCTCAGGGAGTAGCATAGTGGACCATTTCCTTATCCTAAGTATCAGTTTCAAGTTTCAAGTTCACACTTTTAGATCTGTCTAAGCATCCATCTGATGTTTCAAGAAAAATGCTTCAACCTGAAACCAGGGCTCCGAAGCCACGCGAGCCCGGTTTGTAGCAACTAGTAGAGATTTAAGGTTTGGGATGAACCCAACATCCACTTATCTCGTCCCCAGAGTTGAGAGCCACCCTTTGGGACTAGATCACATCTGAGGTGCGAAATAGGCTACTAATCTTGGAGATCGTCCGGGGAAGCGGTCATGATGTCAATGATCGAAATTAAGCTCCCCAAAATTTGATGACCTCATGCGCCAAGCACTCGGGCCCTTGTCTATCTATCCACCCCCGCCACACTGGACTCAAATACTTAGCAGTGCTTGCGGATAAGATAAACCCGCGATGACCCTCAACCTCTACTCTGATTATAAAAACAGTGAGTGGTATTACCGAATAAGAATCGAAAAAAGAAAAAAAAAGAAAATTCCAAATTCTCCATATATGCCCTTCTCTTTTCCAAGCCTCGTTACTGCCTCTTCTCGTATATTGCTTTCCTCAGCCCGTACTACAGCAGCTGTTGTCAGACGACCATTTGTCGCGCCCACAACTAGAAGAACTATAAAGTTCCTGCCATTGATCTCTCTCCCTTTCATGGGATCGTTCCTCAGCACTTCCACCAGCAACAACATGTCTTACCCAGTCCAAAAATCCAACGAACAGTGGCAGGCAGTTTTGTCTCCAGGTACTATCCCCCCACCCCCGCCCCCGCCCCCGCCCCCACATTCATGTTGCAAAGCTTGAATCCCAAGAGTAGAGCTCAACAAACTAACACTCCCCAGAACAATTCAGAGTTCTCCGCGAAAAGGGCACTGAACGCCCTGGCACCGGTGAATACGACAAGCACTCCCAACCCGGCGTCTACAACTGCGCTGGCTGCGATGCTCCCCTCTACAAATCAACCACCAAGTTCAACTCCGGCTGTGGATGGCCCGCTTTCTACGAGGGGATTCCCGGGGCTATTGAGCGGCACGAGGACCGAGCGTTCGGTATGTCTAGGATTGAGATCGTGTGTAAGAATTGTGGCGGACATTTAGGGTATGTTTCTTTTGGGCGCGTGTGGACTAGAGAGTTAGGCTAATGGAGGAATAGACATGTGTTTAAGGGGGAGGGGTATAAGACCCCTACGGATGAGAGGCATTGCGTTAATAGCGTGAGCTTGAAGTTCAACGAACCAGCAGAGGGCAACTAGAGCATAATCAGACCTTGGGGTATTTTGTTTTGTTTTTGCTTTCTTGCTCTTCCTGGTATTACAAACGAGTGATGGGTGGTGCATACATGTGGCCAATGGTGGTGCTGTAGTACCTACTGGTCCAAAATTGCACATTCCAAGAGGTACATACATGCTATTTATGTGATTCGACAACGGAAAACTGCATATGCCCCAGCCCACGATATGTACTCTAGAGATGAGCGCGTCTACCCGCAGTAAATACGATATCATTTACCAGACAAGAGGTTCTCGCATGTGATTTCCAAGAAAACTTGTACTGAATTCCAACTATTTTATCTACCTACATGTATCTATAATATCCTCTACTAAAATCCTTGCTTCTCTTAATTCCTATCCAACGTTTTATGTAACTTGTGCTCCCTCATCCACGCAGTACACACCATCGCCAATATTCCCATCCCCAAACTCGTATAGAACACGGCATGCAGGGCGTCCATATAAGCCCCCCTGACCCTGCCCACATACTCGCCCGGTATGCTATCAATCGCGTCGAACCTCTCCCTCACCTGTCCAATAATCCTCCTCGCTTCCTCACCGTTGCCCAAGTACGCCACCAGCCTTCTCTTCAACACGTTCTGGAAAATCGCGCTGCCGACTGTGGCGCCGATCGTGCTGCCCGTAGAGCGGAACGCATAGCTGGCAGATGTTATCACGGCTTGATCCTTCCGGCCAACAGCGGCGATCAGTGCTAGCAGTGTTACAGTAAGGACACCGCCATAACCACACCCGAAGACAAAGAAATTGAAGAATTGCGGGAAGAGAGGGGTATTGAGGTTAAATGTGCAGATTGCAGCGACGCCGGAGTTGTACACGAATATGGCGAGGAGCCCAAGCTTGTAGTAATGGCCGGTGCGGTTCATGGCAATGCCCGTACTAAGAGATCCAACGGAGATTCCGGCGGCGAAAGGTGTCAGGCGAAGACCAGCGTCGGTTGAGGACTGACCGCGCACCATAAAGTAGATCGGGCAGTAGAAGTACTGACTATGTTAGTAGGTAAAGAACGCAAGTTACGAGTCTAGCAAGGACGAATACCAAAGAGAATACACTCATAACCATGAACCAGTTCGTCATGCAGGCCGCCAATACTGTGCGATCACCCAAGAGACCTACGGGGATGATGGGCTCCTGTGCCACGTTCTTCTCAATATAGCCAAATGTGAACAGAAACACTGCACTGAGTGGGAGGCAGACCAAGATGAGCGGATGGGTCCATGGAAGCATGTTCCCGCCGGTATTAAGCGCAATCAACAGCAGTACCAGTGACATTACAAGTGTAAATGCACCCGCATAGTCGACTCGCCTGTGGCGTGCGATATTTGACTTCTTTATCGGAATCCTCACAAACATGGCGACCATAATCGTGGACACGATAATAAAGGGCACCTATTCCTTCCATCAGCATTGCACAAGTCCCCGATCGATCATGTGTGTCATTACCTGAATCAAGAACGCCCATCTCCAGCCAATACGATCATGGATGAAACCACCAAATACACCTCCCAGAGCTGCGCCTGCGCCGTAGGATAAATTACCTCCTCCCTGGACAATTCCTCTCTTCCTTAACGGTACCAGATCCGTAGCAACAATCGAGGAGATCGTGGTCATGCCTCCTCCGCCAGCGCCAGCAATAACTCGTCCCGCGATCATGGTGTACTCATTCTTTGCAAGGCCGCACATCAGGGTACCAGTCGCGAACAGAATATTGCAAATCACGAGCCCGGAACGACGACCGTAAATGTCTGTGAGTCGGCCAAATAATGGCTGTAGGGCAGCATTGGAGATGAGGTACGCACTCGCAACCCATGATATTGACGCGAACGATGAAAAGGAGCTTGAGATAGGTGCGAGAAGTGTGGAAATGACGGTGGTATCGATTGCTGCGAGGAATACACCACTCTATGGAATATATTGCTATTAGGTACATTGTATTCAACCAATGGAGTATAGGTACATATTTATGCGGTCAACTTACCCACACTGCCAGCATCACAACCGCCAATTTTGCCAACGACAATTCCTTCGGAAGGTCTGCATCATCATCATCCTTCAAAGGCTCTGCATCCCCACAACCATTATTACCCGCAACGCGCTCTGCAGCGCTATCGGCAGCTACATGAGCACCCCCGAGCAGTGGTGATGTCTCGTCCAGCGGGTCTTTCGATTGTGTATTTCCAGACATTTTGCGAGGCCGAATGTGCAAGATTACAAGAGCTGGAATAATTGTCAACACAGACACTGGACAACTGCGGATAAGGAGACTGTATATCAACTTATTATCAAGAAGAGCTGAAGTGAGTTGTCGTGACTGCAAGACTCAGATTTGTAATTCCGTCCGGTCTAGTTAGCTGGCAATCAACACTGCTTCCGGCATGACGTTCCGATCCCGAATACACATTAGGTTTGGGGGCTGCTTGCCGCTGCCGTCCCACACCTTTCCCTGGGATGGGGCGCAGGTGGCACCTGCTGGCCCCTGCATTGATCGATTGCGATTGATAGCCGATCCCTTATCTGCGATAACGCGGTGGGTACATCATTGAGTTTAGTGAAAGTGGGAGGAGTTGGCTTTACTACATGCATGTAGGCAGCCCCACAATTCTCGGCACAAACAACACCTTCAAAGGTACATCAGGTAATTTAGGAGTAGTAGAAGAATTCCTATCCTAAAGCTATTACCAACCAAAGCCAATTTCAGATATTTCTGCCCAAGTCTTACATGTATGTAACTAAGACAATATGATCGTCACCACTCCCAGCCCGTACCATTGGTTATCTAAGATTCATATTGCTTTTTGATTCATATATGCTTCGAATGACTCAATTGTAGAGGTACATGTAGATCTCTATGTTTCGGAAGGGGCTACTACAAATGCCGTCTTGGTGAGAATTCCTCTCCCACCCCCCCCCCCCCAAAAAAAAAGCATTCAATTAAAGCTTCTAAATAACCAACAACTACATATTGTATATATCTATTTATACCTTCAATCTCCACGTGTACTTGCATTATATATTTGAGTTTTGAGCAGGCTGCCTTATAATTATCGTATAATATTAGCCCGGATGACCAAAACAGTATCTGGTGAAATCATTCAAGTTGTAATGACAATGCTTCAGCAAATTTTCTAATAAACACCAGGCACTATATCTAGATAATCACCATGTGTTGTGTGCTATGATCAAGAACTTTCTGACCCTGACCGGAGTCTTATATGCATGTAGCTATAGTGTTAAAGATATTTGTATTCAAGTTATGACAGTGCAAAACAGACTCTATAGAAAATTATCGGGAATAATGGCATACGCATATAAGTATGTCCATATCCATATCCCCGTGAGGAAACGGTAAAATTGACATTGTACGCATATATATATATATATATCCTATTTAGAGAGTGTCAAAATAATACAGCACCGCACTTTCCCCCCACATACCTACAAGATGCATCATCTTAGACGACTTCCCTAGCCACTCGAACAGCCCCCTCAATCGGACAGTCAATGGTTATTGGTGGACAAGAAGTACAGAAGCCACTTGAAGCGTTGATCTTCTCTTTTCTACGTTAACTGTCCGAGTGAGGAAACCGTCTATGTGGTCTTTAAAGCGAGACTCTGATTTGGTAGTGAGATTTCTATCTTCCCTCCTTTCATGAATTCGATCCATTACATAAACTATTTGAAAGAGTTTAATTAAGCGATCTGCTTCTAGATGTTTCAAGCGTTCCAGGAATCCCTGAAGGCCTAGGCATCCAGCGTCACGGAAATAAGCCAACGTACCCACCGTCATGTTACGAAGCTTTCTGTATGCCCTGTTATTACATGGAGTATAAAAATCATATCTACTGCAATAATTCGTTAGCCCCGTGAGATCATAATTACTTCTATGGGAAACATCTGATGCAGATCGATCCCATCCAACCAATCACTCGAGAGATAATCCCTAGACGGAGCTAACGAGTTTTGGCGGTATTAGTAGATCTCCGGCATCATGTTCCAGTGGCAGCAAACACGGATGCTTACTGCAAATAGTTGTACTAGGGTGTAGCGAAAAGTGATCAGAATCTGGACAAAACACACAACATTCACTTATCAGATTCTGATCACTTACCCTCAACACGGGTACATCTAAATATCGATGAATCAAGTATATGCGGTCTCGCATGCATATGGCGCCACCAACACTGACAAATTTGCGTTACACATTCTAGGCCTAGATTTCTAAAATGAGTACTACGATCATACATCCTCGCTTCTCATGTCACTTTGAGCAAGAACAAGTTACATCTGCTCGCTAATTATTCAGTGGGAATAGACCAAATTCTTCTAACGCTACATAACAATGGCCAGTAATACGATACACATTGTGGTTTTAGACTTTAGACTATTGCCGCTAAAGTTAGAGCCGGCTAGCTAAAACGCTCGAATCACCGCCTTTACAAAAGCCCAAGGACGAGGAAGAATGATCCCTCGACCGGCGAGAGCCGCCCGAACACGTAAACCCAATCATCTCACTCGCACAAAATAAAAACGAATAAAGAAAGAAATTCCGGTTGCTTGAGAAGACAAGCCCCGGTATAATGCGGTTGTGTGTTCCCATGGGATGGGTCTCATTCTCTATCTCAAACCACTCTCCTGTAAAAATAAATCAGCACAGAATCACCAAAGAGCCAGGAAATCTCAGATAACTCACCAAGGCCTTTTATCCTCTGGCTCCTCAATCCTGTACTGGTTATCCCCAAAGGGATCGTCTGGATCCTCTTCATCCTGTTCTTCCACGGGCTCACTCTCATATGCCGTCGACTTCCCCTTTGCCATTCCAGGTCTAGGCGGCATTGATGGCCTATTCTCCTCTCCATCATGCATCCGCATATTACCAAACCCTTGACTAACAGAATCTACGCTTCTGTCTGGAGGATCATTCCATCCCTCGTCTTCACTGTCTGAGTCCTCCTCAATTGGCTTGTCGAGAACCTCATAAAGTGTCAACGCCTCTACTAGTTCTTCGTTCGCATGTATCAACCCCCCAAGCCACTGTTCACTTTCGACATGTTGGATGTATCGTAAAATACTTCGTCGCAGCGCCCTACAATCTTCGAAACGCTTCAAAACCTCCGGGTTCCCAGACGGTCGCTCTTTCTCGCGGTTGATAAGTTTCAATGCGTTTTTCAGATTCGTGGACGCAACAGATGCATTCGCAAGACTCTGTAACATCGCTGGCTTTTCCTTCTCGAGGCTGAACGGCGGCGTTTTTGACTTGCTCTTTGACGAACTCTTGTGACCCTTTTGTCCCACACCCAAATCCGCACTCTGTCCGAGTGTGATAGGAGTTGGCTTAGGAGATTTTGGCGAGGTTGGGGTCGCCTTGCGCCCAGTAGAAGAGCTTGGTTCTCTATCGTTGTCTGCGGGTACCTCACTGAGCACCTTGGGTTGTGGTCTAGGCCGTTGGCGCTGTGGGAGCTGCTTGTAGAGGCTTGCAATGCTTTGAAGGCCCTGTGTATCCTTGTATGCTACAGCCCATTGTCCGAACACTACCTTCAGCTTTGCTTTAACGTCGGGGTCGGTCATCAAGTCCGTTGCGGCAATGCGGAGACGTTCGAGGAGAGGTTCGTCCGCAAACGAGCGTTGAAAACGAATACCAGCATTACCAATCAAGGCATCGAGGATCTATGGATTATTAGAGAGAGAGAGAGAGAGATGGGTGGAGATTGTTTAGTGGGACGGACTGTGAGCGCGCGAAGTTGGCGATGAACGTTTCCATACTTGCTGGTGGGGTGTCAGCAAGTCTTCGAATGAATCCACGGATAATGAGTTTCTGCACACACAGCTTCTTTCGAATAGCTCTACTAGCTTCCGTAGGACCCGTGTCTTGGAGTTTTATTGATTCAATAAGCTCCGGGATGCCGCTCATATCGTGCTCATCATATTCCTCCGATGTGAGACGCTCGATGTGAACTGTCACAGCGGAGAACTGTTTTCTCTTCGGAGTTTTACATATATGTTAGCTTTGATATCCCCAGGGCGGTGGCAAAGAAGTCCAAGGATTTAAATTACAGATGATCCAAACATCACTGGTAGTAGGTGGCGGCCGTCTTCTAAAAGATATCGCTTTCAGGAGCCTTGTGCATGATGTTAGCCACTCGCGCATCCTTTCCAGCTAGCCACCGGAGGCAGGAACGGGATAGGAAAGGGATCACATACAGGTCACTGTGAAGCTGATAAAAGAAAAAGGCGTTTTTGATCACAAAGACAGAAGAAAGTGAGGGGGGGGGGGGGGGGGGGAAGCTTGGTCCTTGTAATAAACTACGAGCCTTTCCAAGGCTATCTCTGCGGGGCTGGTATTATGGCCCCACTGCCGAGTTAAACACCTATATCTAATATCTGCATACGTACTGCCTTGTGCTTCCCTCATCCATGGCATCTACCTTGCTGCGCATGCCATGCAGTTGAGCATCGAGATGCGACAAAAATAAAGACTCCCATGGATATCTAACTACCGCTCCGTCTTCCAAGGTACATGTAGGCAATCATCACTGTTCATCGAGTCTTATTCAGAGACCCTGTTATCTAATGACCCCACTTCCGGGAACAGGGACTGTGCCTTGTCACGTGGCTATGTTTATCGGCGTTTTGAGGCGGTGCACGGACCAGCTGAAGTCGTACCAATACATGTACTTATGTAACACAGCCAAAGACATTTGTCATTCACGGGGTATTGGCGGATACTGGGTGATGGTGGACAGGGCAAAAAATGAGACAGCCAAGCCAAATTTTACCTGCAATTCGCCAATACCTAGTATCCACCAATACCCCGTGAACGATAGTACTGTACATACATGACATTAATTGCATAGCGATCTAAAGTTTTATGGTTTTTCTGAACCCGTACGTGCTGCTGTGACAATTTAGAAGCAGGTTCTCTGGTATCTCTCTTGGTTATCTTCAAATTCTTGGCCTACGTATATATACAGCATGCGCAGTGCTGGCGGTATCAGCCAGAGAGTCAGAATCCATTACTGAATGTACATGCTCAAATTGTCAGCTCTATGATAAGGTGATGACGTCTTCTTCCAGGTTAATCAGTTCACACTATAATTCTTCGACGGAACTAACCTATTCTGAGTCTGTTGAAAATATCCTTCGAATTCCATTATTTCTTCCATTATTTCTTCCATTTATACTTCCTATCTATTACTCCAGGTTTCTGTATGAGCAGCTCATCTACGGGACCACATAAAACGGTCATATCATATAAGCAGGCATCCATCATGATCTCTCTACAGAGTGATCTCCCTCGTAACCTGCCCAATAATATCCCTCCATCTACAGGAGAATCTCATAGCGTCACCTGTCAACAGCCTCCTCGAACTATAAAATCACAAAACCCAAATGCCTTTTATTCTTCAAAAGATATTCCTGCAGGCTATGAAGAAATTGGGTATAAATCAAGCCTCTATGGATTTAATAGCTATTATATATTGGGATTCCTACTGATATTTTCTTGGCAGAGATGATGAAGAAGATACCACGCTGAGCCATATATCCACATCATTTCAGAACCCGGGATGTGTTTATTCTTACAAAATCTCAAGGGCACTGCGGGGAGCTCCCAATCTGAAAATGCAGAAGTCCCAATGCCAGTGCTACCCGCCTCTACCACCCATTCTTTAATGGAACAGAAAGGAAACGGAACAAGCATATCAAAAGTGATCCTTGCCACGCCTTCCCGGTCTCAAACTTACTCGGTCTATGAAAATATATCTAATGGTCCCCTATTGATACAAGATCAAAAAGAAGAACTTGGATACAGCACTGTACGGCGTGAGACAGTTAACATGAGCTTTGATAAGCAGAAATATGTGAGCGAGTCATGCCGGAAAGCGCTGGATAGATTCAAATATAAACCTCAAGTATTTAGCTCTGTGGGTGGGTGTGATAACTTGAAAGTTGAAAGTGAGCTTCATAATCCGAATTTCGTCTCGGGGCCCCTGCCCGAAGCAGAGCTTAAAGATGTTTGCACCGATAATCAAAACTATGCCGAAGATGACAAATTACCTCTCTTTCTAGGCGGGTTAGATTCGGATATGGCTTCAGACTATGGATCTGATAGTGGTTTGTTTGAGCTATGCCCTATGCTAGATATCCATCAAGGCCCTCATACATTCCCGAATAATGATGCCCACATTGTGAACAACTATGTGAAAATTATAGGCGAAGAAGAATTTGGAGATATTGATGACGACGAAATGTTGGAAGCTATAACTTACTTGGAAAAGCACACCACAACAGAGTTAATTAAAAATAAGTGGGACAGTGATTCGGATATGGATGGTGCCTCCATTTTCGATGACTACCCCACGACGGAAGGTCAAGCTGATAATGAGAAAGAAAATATTCAAAATGCATCTAAGGAGAAATTTCTGCAACTCCATTCACTTCCAGTCATATCTCATAAGCCAGCCACTCAAGAAAAACTATCTGCGGATGATATAGTTCAGGGTCAAAATCAATCTTTATCTACCTCTAATAAAGATTTTCATGCGTCAGAGATCTGCCCATCAGAGGAGCTTCCAACGGGCCCTGAGCCTGGGATTGCTACTGAAAACTTCTCTATGCCTTCTGATGTCAAGTTTGCCCTTAATGATTATTCGCAGGACCAAGAGGTATTTGATCTGGACTTACAAAGATCTGCGCCGCCAGAGAATTTTGTGGAAGTAAGTAAATATTTTCAGGATACTACCAGTGATACTTACGCCAGCGAGGCCAAGATGAGAGATTCTTGTGGGAATTTAGATATATCAGGTGATATTAATGATATCGAGGAACTTGTATCCGGGTTGGATACGTTCTCTTGTGAAGAGAGTGAAGAGACGCCGGGTGGTGCGGTTGGGCCAGAAAACGGAAGGAGTACCGAAGGGAAAGGCGATGAAGATGCGGATTTGGATGTGATAGAAATAGAGAGAGAGAGAGAGATTGAGGAGAATTTAGAAGAAGGTGAGGATGAGGATGAGAGTGAGAGTGAGGAAAGTGCACTATATATGAGCAAAAAAAAGAAAGGCTCAAAGGAAGACCAAGCCGGCAAAAGCTACGCGGGAGCGGAAGCCTCAAAAAAAGAGAAAGATCCGTGTAGTGGATCCTTCGCAGCCGAAACTATCTGACTATATGGGTTTCTCCAAGCCACCTCCTGTTAGACCCAGGTACGATGAAGAAGGGAATCTTAACCCTTTTGTAAGGCCAGCGTTTCTTCCAATGGTCCCTGAAGAACCACTTGTACCAGGAATAAGTGCTAAGTTAAGTATAAAGACATGTTTTCGTGTTGGTGAAGCTCTGAAAGTTGGAAGGATGATTGCAAATGGAAACTTCACAGGCGATGTTTTAGTCGAACTCTATGGTATATCAGCCCCTATCTTAATGATCATATATGTTTGGAGAAGTCATATTTGCTTAAGAGAAACGATATATATAACAGCTAGGGTCGGGTTCAGTGAGCGGATTGATCTTCGACAAAACCTCCAGTTCATTGATATCTTCCACGAGAAACCGCCCTTCTTGAACGGCTTTTACGAACTAGGAATAAAGTACCGAACCTGGGAGGAAACTATGGCTGTCTTTCTGGGGGAATCTGGAAAAGGGAAGATGATAAGAGTAGTAGGGAGTATGCAACAGAAAATTGGAATTGAAGGCGCTACAACTTTCATCATAAAGATATCGAGCATATCGGAAACAGATTGGGATTCAGTTGACTTGACAAGAGGCATTATTTGTGGGAATGTTACTGGATAAGAGCTCTCTTATCTGCGATTACTTTCAATTGCTTGGATTTACCACTTTACATATTCTCCCTTGCGAATATAGGGTGATGCTCTTTAACATGAAATATCGATCATTTCTCGTGTTTTCCTCCTTTTTACTTGCGTAATAAAGAAATTGGTAGCACGTCACCAGTACAGTAGCAATATAATAATTGAAGCCCGTATTGTACTTAGAGGATGCCAAGGGGGGTTTGTTTTCAACACCTTTACCTAAACCTTTCATCCAGCTCTACTTGCGACTGAAAACGTTGTTAAAAATTTAGTAACATCTAGTCTCTTGGCTGAATAAAAATTTTCAACCAATTCAACATCAACTTCAGCCCCCATTGAAGCTTCAAAACAGTTATCTGAGTAGCAATTGCAATACATGATAGCTCGAAGTTTACCGCATATCATATGTGAGCCCGGTGCTTGAGCCAACGACTAGACAAAATGGGAGCTTCGTGCGGGGGTCGAACCCGCGACATTGAGGTGTTCTTCAGGGATAAATTTCTAAATCCCTTAAAAGCCACACGCTCTACCACTGAGCTAACGAAGCGACTTGTTGTTACCGAGTTTAATCAAAACCATCAAAAAAGGATTCTCAAACACTCATACCAACTTTCAGCCCGGAGATCCGATTTCAGCTCATTTCAGAACTTCGCACATGCTATATAATGCGTGTACGTACGTATCTCCCGTGTTAGATGTTTGCCAATGTGTACAAAATTGGTACTAGCTTTGAAGTTCATATAATCTCACTCGGCTAACGCTATGGCAACGACGAAAAACACTACGTGACAGTTTAGGTTCAATGATGGCACAGGGGCAAATACGTAGTATACAGCTACTACACAGAAATGCTAGTACAGAGGAAATCTCTCCCAACTATATATATCCTGCTAAGCACTAAATAGGACGTATTAGTAATGGGTTTAAAGGACAGTTACTAAATTAGGTGGTGGGAGTATCGACACTTTTATGACACCTATACTTTGGAACTCCTTTAAACTGACATCTACATGATTAGTGCAACTTTTAGTCCCTGTACTATGCTCAATAGGATTCACACCCTTTTCAAATGATCCGCGTACTAAATTTATAGACTTAGTAGGCCTCGACTTTCCATACCCTGCGCTTTGTCGCTTTCGTCGCTACTATACTTGACCTCTTGAACGGCTGTACGTGTTATTTTTAGAAGGGCTTAATACAAAACTTCTTCCTAATTGTGACTAATGTCTTTCTCGATATCGTTACGCTCACCCAGAAATTTCCCAACCCAAGATATACAAACATATCAACCCAGAGCTGACTATTTGCGCCGGAGCAGTTAGGAACTTGGCTATAGCTTGAAGAGCTTTGACCATTGATCGAACTCTATTAATACACACAACCCGAGCTGTTGGAGCTTGGGCCTTCTTTATAAATATATACCGTGAACCCAGGATCGAGCTCCAAAATAGCTTTTCCACATCGAATACCCTAGGAAAGAACCGGAACTTCAACGGCTCAAGACCGGGGTTATTTCCAACGAGTGGCTCCGCGCAGAAATTTCCCCATACGGATTCTTATCCTCTAACTTTCCGATTCTTATTCCTACAGCCGAAAGAATCTAGACCGAGTCCTATGGAGATGCTAACTATTATAGCTAGCTATATGCACATAGCCACGCTCGCCGGAGAGCAGAATCAACTACCTTGCGAGCCCCGTCCAAATGAGATGAGATAATGCAAGACGATATCAAATTGATCTCGTCTCGTGACGGACTAATATTCCTCAGATCGAGAAGTTCACCAAACCTGTTGAGCACATGATGTGAGAGTCAGAAAAGAGTATTGATGGTCTGACACCGCCAAATCACACGTAATCCATGGTATGAATCATATCATATCATCGAATGTTTTGCCCCAAAGAAAGTGAGGCTGAGGTAGGGCCCTCTCAATTCTAGCTCTTATCGAGGACTCTAGTCTATAGATCAGATCTAGAGGTCACGTATAAGCTCTGCAGAAGCTTGAACCTCGATTGTCAATGATATGGCAATCAGCAATGCATTGGAATGGACCTTGGGACTACTAGAGGAAATGGATTTCTAGGCATAATCTCGATTCCCGAGGTTTACCCATGGCTACAAGGCGATAGTCGACCCCAATCGGTAGTCTGAGATGATTCTAGCTCTGGAGGCACTATCGCTACTTTGCAGTCAACTCTTGACTAAATCTTCAAGAATTGGTGGTAGGTTACGCGTACGTGGCAAACTTTTTGATGTCCGGTGTCCACAGCCTCGATCAGGTGGATTGGTGTTTTTTGATCACGTACCGCCTCACGCGCTGTCATCTGATCGGTGGATAGAATCGATTGATCCAGAGGGCCCGTTCGCCTCAAAATAAGCTCAGATGCTGGAATATTCCTGAACCTATCCACCGAGATGTCTTGGATCGCTCAGATCGTGAACCAGTATTACCGGCATTCGTCACTTGAAGGCGCCTGTGGGCGTAAATTTGTTCGTGCTTCATGTCGCTGATGGGGCCTGTTTTCGCAATATGGTATGCAGACCCAGTTGTGTTTGAAAACTTCTAGCAGTTACAAGGCTCTGGCATTAAGTGAGCGAACTAAATGGGGTGTTGACTAGTAAGGATCCGTTCACTCACTTAATGCCAGAGCCTTGTACTAGTTTGCAGATATATATGTCCAGGGAAACAAAGGTCCCCGCGGCCCGGATCAAACAGGCCACAAAGGCTTCTAAGCAGAGATCTCGATACTCGAGATACATTGGCCCCTCCATTTCCCGGGGCCAAGCATTCCGGGAATACTCAACAGCTATGTACATGTACATAGATGCCAAAAAGTCTAACTTGTCTCGCGAATTAGCCTTGATCTTCGTACAGCGGGTGTCCGGTTTGATTGGCTAAATACGCACAAACCACCTCACCTCAATTGATCAACCGGTACCGGGTATGGGTCAATTTTTTTCCGGGGACTCCGGAAAATATTTTAGCGAGATCTTAGGGAAGAAATGCACGGCAATCAGACCAATTGACAGGCCCCCCCATGTTTGAAGAATTTTCAAAAGTTGAATGCATCACATATTATCACTCGTTTTACAGATATAACCCCACTTTCTATAGGCTAAACTGGCTTTTGGTTTTTGTGGGTTCGTCCTGTGTTCATGACAAATCACTCGCATGTCGGATGGAGTACATGATCTTCAGTGGCCCTACTATCTCATGCTATTAATTACTGCAGCTTAATTCTTTCTGTGGCGACGGCCTTCTAATCAACACAAGCGAAACAGGCTTACTTACCAAATTATGAGGATCAAAGTGTATGTGCTGATGAGCGTTCCCCATGATCCGGGGGGGGGAGGACAGATATCAACCTGTTTATCCACCGACGAGAGAGAAGGTTTTTCCTTACTTTCTCAAAGCGTCCAGAGGCAGCTACGATATATACCTCACGCAAAAACCTTGGTTTTTCATTCGTGTCAAAGATTGTTTGGTCGGCTGTACTCCACAATTGTTCCTCTCTTCCTACAGCCTACGATGGACGGGACCCATCGATCTGTGCATATGTTCTTAGTTCATTTTCTGTGCTTTGTTGTTGATGCATAAGCGGATTACCCGGAGTTGCGGGGGGGGGCGTTGCTGCTGTGGAGCAAGGGCCTCCTGCGTGGAGAAACTATCGCGTACCCCAGGCGTCAGAAAACATCCTTGCATCCGAGTGAGATGTCGTGACTATCAAACGATACGATACCAAACAATTCGACCGATCCGCACTCATATCACGGGGAGCCATTTGGGATGCAAACATCTTTCGCCTCAAAATGCAAATACTCCACTCAGGCCGCGGTGCGAAGTTCTCATTGGATAATCTGTTACCAAACGTGCCTAATTTCCCCCAGGTTTTCTTCCATACTCTCTCTTTCTCTAGAGCTCTCTCTCGTGCTCTACCTACTAGGGTAGCTCTGGGTAAATACTATCCATCCGTCCATCGACAGCTCCATCTTGGACAAGTTATGGGGAGTTACACATATCTCACCGCGCGGGAAGGGGGACCTACCTATGCCATTCATCGCCCCACGATGTAATGTAGGTCCATTGGACGTTGTTTCTGATGATCTGCTCTGTAGCCATTAGCTATGTAGCCAAAATTATACAGCACTACTACATAGTCCGCAAGGCAACCACGGGTCCACGATGGATGGCATCGCACAGAGAACAGAGCTAGCCGCCTCATTACGTCGAATGTTTGAGTGATCCTTTTTAGCTATAGGCCCACGGAGCAAGCAGACGGGCTGCAAACAAATCTGCCCCATTTCCTTTTCCCCCGCCCCTTCATCTTACAGGTCTAAGAAGGAGAAGCAGGAGGAG